GGCGGAAGAGCAGGTTGTGTGACCACGCCCTAGGGGGGGCGCGGTTAACGAACTTAGGGGCCCGAGGAGATAGGATGTACGGAGGAGGGTTCTCCTTATATCCTATCCTCTCGGGTCCCGGCTTTTGCCTTTTGCTGTATTTACCTTCCCTTTTTTGCAGGATATAATTAGGAGCCTCCCCTATTTTTAGACAACCTCCTTAAACAGACAACAAAGCAGCCGAATTTAACATCGGAATAACCTCATATTTATTAGACCGAACCCTCCTCTACCTATTGCCCCACCATCTGGAAGCTGGCGTGACAAGGGGGTGTGTTGAGGAGAGAGAGTGGGCATAAGTGGCCATAGTTATGCTTAGTAGACCCAATAGTCATGCATAAGGAAGCCTGCCTAAATAATATGACTCCCCTAGCCTAAGGACACTATGCAGGCTTGACTCAGGTATAGGAACATCCTATTGCCCTCTTTTAGCTAGCTATATGTGGTTACTGTACCTATATAAGCCCCTCCCTTGTCCCAATAGATAGACCAAGACATGCATTACTAAATTCACCTTTCTGTGCCCCTATTTCTTCCACTGTGCTCTCAAGCCACTGCTTGAGAAAGGGAATATCGACAGATGGAGGGGTCAGAGTCAGACACAAGCAGGTCTGGATGCCCGACGCGCTACGAGGAGAATTGTGATGTGAAAAGGAGACTGCCAGTATTTCAATCGATCGACACAAATCACACATGGGCCGGCGATGTTCAATCCGTACATGATGCTCCGGTGAGGCCCCGGCCCATCCGGAGGAATGTGACTTGGTCTCAGCAGTCAGGGACTAAGTGTACCATTTCCAAGATCGTGTAAGTGCTCCGAGATGCCGGTAACAATTAGGACACCGCTAGGAAGACAGCTCCATGGTCGACGCCCTGGCAGGTAGTTATCGTGGGTAGTCTAGTTTCTCCGTACGCATCTCGTACTAAGAACCGAACCAAAAAAAACTTGTCCCGTCTAGATTTATCCTCCGGTTCTTATCCCTCGACTCCCTCTTATGTAGGCAACATGGCCCAGACATCGCTTTTCAATCCGACATCCGCTGCCCCTCAAACGCTGCCACACAAGCTCTCTCGACTTGGCTACCCTTATGAAATCTATATAAGATGAGGATTCAACTCGACAAGCCATCCGCTACCTCGGTTGCCGTAATAGCGCCGGAGGAGGAGCAGCCCATCGGTAAGGGGAATGTTGTAAAGGTCAATGGCCGTTAGGCCGCACTTTGCAAGGTTCACCAACCATATCTATCCCCATCGTCTAGTGGCCTAGAAACACTTCTTCAGGAGCAGCTCTTTAGCATGGGAATTAAGCCGAACGCGGTCGCGGATATATCCCCATGCTCTCCGCTGCAGGAGGGTGTCTTGCTTAGTTCATCATCGTATGCCGTCTACTAGATCTAGCGATGCGTGCCATACGACGGCAAAGAAATCTCGGCAGCCCGTCTTGAAGCTGCATAGAAGATATGCGCGAGCTAGCATGAAATCTTCTCCACCATTTTCTATATGCATCTAGAGAAAGCGGGCTTTGTCTAGATTGTCCTCTAACGGCGGGAAATTCTAGTGCGATAGTTGAAGGCGACGTCTGATTGTCTAGCCAAGACATTGGCCGCTCTCGACAGGCCAATGTTCAAGTCTTACAGGCCAAAGCATGTCTTGACCATTTGCCGGTCAGGAACTGGCGAGGTTGCCTGTAGGCTCGATATCTGCTATGCACTCTGCGATGCCTATTCTTTGTCTATTCTGTTACGGGACGTGGTGAACGTATATAAGAGCCGGATTCCGCCAGCCCCTCGGCCGTTTAGTGACGTCGTTCGATACATCAAAGGAAGACCTAAATCGGAGACGGTTGGCTATTGGACCTCATTCCTCCAAGGAGCAAAACCCTGCCAGTTTCCTATACCGCTACCGCATTCGCCATTAGACCCTAAGTTTCAAGAGGTCCACGACAGTATTTCCTTTCCCGTCGAGTCCTTGGCGAGCGTTACCGGATTCTGCAGGAGAAATGGGCTGACGCGCTCTGTCTTTGTGCATATCGCCTGGGCCTTGGTTCTCTCGCACTTTACTCGACTGGACGAGGTTTACTTCGGATATATGGCTTCCGGAAGAGACGCCCCGGTTAAGGGAATAGACAGAATTTTTGGTCCGTTGGCGAACATGCTTACTAGCCGGATTAACCTTGACAACCCCCTAAAAGCACTCGTGAATTCTATAGCGACATTTCTTAAGGAGCATCGGCTTCATCAATAGACATCACTAGGTGACCTTTAGCGGCGCTTGGGCATCTCCGGCGGACAGTAGCTTTTCAACACTATGGTAATACTCCTCCGAACTGATCCGTTTGGTATTGGCGGCAAGCAGTCCTTCTCGTTTGAGAAGTATTATCTAGTAAGCCCGCAAGAGGTACGTTGCGCAAATTCCTATTCCCTCCTAAAATTTTGCTTACCTAGATTAGTTTGACCTTATTCTTAAGGGCTATCTGGACCCTGAGAGTCTTGGACTTACGATGTATTATCGGACGGCTTCTATTAGCCGTGAGGTTGCGCAAGAAGCTTGCACGGTACTAATGTGGGCGGTCAACTATATCGTGTTAACAGAACCCTCGCTTGGGGCAACATCTTCGACCTATAATGGTGACAGTTATCGGCTAACTAATGACGATGCTGAAACCACGGAAAGTCTTTTAGAGAAGTTTTTCAAGTATATTTTCGACGCCGACATCAAGTCGGCAACGGCCTTTTAGAAGAACTAGTTTGCGAATTTGGAAAGCACCCCTTGTCCTATTCTAAAGAATCTCAAGTCCTTCCGCATAAGAGATCATTATGTGACACTGAAGGTGCGGAATCTCGAGTGGAACGGCCAGTTTGCAGAAGAGATTATGATCAGGGGGGCCTGGTCGATCCTCCAGGCACAATTGGCAGATTCCAACGAGGCTCTATTTAGAGCAGCGATGACGGGGCCTTAAGTAGCATTGCCCGGTATTAAGGCACTCACAGAAATATATGCTGCAGTAGTACCGGTTCGGGTTTTCTTAGACTAGGATGTCAGCATTAATGACTTACTGCAGAAGCTGTAGGGTCAGTTGGCAGACACTGCGGCATATGGTGGACCCGGTCTGCACTGGATGCGTTAGATTAACAAGGAGGTGGCGTCGGTATGCAATCTATAGTCCCTCCTCGTTGTCTAGTCCGCTATTCCTGGCGCCGATAACGCAGGGGGCAATGAGAACATAGCGCCATGCCAGGCTTTCAGCAACTACCCTATTATCACGGAGTGTATACTTGAGCAGAAGGACCTCTGTATGTGTGTGAGCTTCGAATCCAAGCTGGTTGCGAGGCCGCGCGTGGCGCGTATAGCAAACCAGTTCGAGCAACTACTCCGTCGGCTGCTTTAAGCCACGACGGGCGAGAGGAGGCTCAAAGACGTGTTAGGCATCAGCCAGCGGGACCTCGGGGATATCTGGACATGGAACGCTTCCGTACCTGAGCCGGTCGAGTCTTGCGTGCAAGAATTGATCAAGTCTAAAGTCCTTTTACATCCGCACAAGCTCGCCGTCGACGCCTGGGATGGCAGCCTAACATATGAACAACTTGACGAGCGATCCACCGCTTTGGCCCGTGTGCTCCTCGACTATGACATAGGCCCCGGGGCTATAGTGCCCTTATGCTTTGAAAAGTCAATGTAGATGTGTGTGGCGAGGCTTGGGGTTATGAAGGCCGGCGCAGCTTTAGTGGGTATAGATCCGAAGTAGCCGGTGCAACGGCTCCGGGCAATCACGGAATAGGTCAAAGCACCGTTGATTTTGTCGTCTACGGCCACTGAGGACCTGGTAAGACGGGTCGGCGGCTGCGACATGCTGATTGTCAACTCTGATAGTCTCTCCGCGGTTCCCACGGAGCAGCTGCGTGAGCTCCCGCCGGTCAGCCCTTCGGAGGTGCTCTATGTCGTCTTTACCTCGGGCAGCACCGGAACCCTAAAGGGGGTGCTGATTTCGCACCGAAGCTGCAGCAGTGCCGTGACATATCAGCACGAGCACTTTGGCTTCACCAGTACCTCGCGGGTCCTAGATTTCTCGTTATATACGTTCGACGCGGCTTGCTATAACCTTTTCCATACACTGACCGGCGGGGGATGCCTTTGTATTCCGTCGGGAGAGCGGCTGCAAGACGATCTCTCTAAGTGCATACAAGAATACAACATCACCCTAGTTTCCCTCACACCATCTGTGGCTCGCTCGCCACCTCGATTAGGGTGCTTTTGATCGGCTGGAGACGCTTATAGTTGGAGGCGAGATGGTTTTGCCGAGCGACATTCCTTTCGCCAACGAGAAGACGCTGATCAAAGTCATCTACGGCCCCTCGGAATGCACGCCGATGACGACACGCCATAACTTAGACAAAATCAAAAACATAGCCATAGGCCGCGGGGTCGGGGTATGCATATGGATTGTGAACCCGCAGGACCCCCAATCGCTCACACTAATCGGCATGGTTGGCGAGCTCTGGCTGGAAGGGCCTCTTGTTGGGCAGGGCTACCTCCACGATGCGGCCAAGACGGAAGCCTCGTTTGTAGAGGACCCCTCGTGGCTGTTGCAAGGGGGTCTAGAACAGAAGGGCCGACGTGGGCGGCTGTATCGAACTGGTGATCTGGTGCGATACGACAAGGGTGCCATCGTTTATGTCGGGCGAATAGACACGTAGGTGAAGATACGAGGCCAGCGGGTGGAACTGGGCGAGGTCGAATAGCACGTCCACGCGCTTCTACAAACAACCAGACTAGGCAGGGAGGGCCTAAAGGCCTAGGTCGTGGCAGAAACCATCCGTCCGCGGGAGGTTGATAGCGTGATGCTCCTTGTCTTCCTGTCCTTGGCCGGTGCCGAGAGCTAGATAGAAGACGAGCACGGTGCCTCGGCTCGACTGGCCACCAAGGGGCTGATAGATCGCCTGACCGAGAGGTTGCCGGTGTATATGGTTCCGGCGGCTCTGATCCCGGTCCGGACAATTCTAAAGAGAATCACCGGTAAGATTGACCGGTCTCGCCTCCGTGATCTAGGAACCGCCTAGTGGCAGCAATATCGTGCCGCTGTAGCCGAAGACGGCGAGACGCAGGAAGCATCGACTAGCATGGAGAGCGCCCTCCAGGAAGTATGGGCGTCGGTACTCAACCTTTCTTGCAAGTCCGTCTCCGTGGACAAGGCCTTCACGTCGCTCGGTGGCGACTCTATTACCGCCATACAGGTCGTCACCAAGTGTCGTCAACGGAACATTGCCGTCGCCATAACCGACATCCTATAGGCCAGGACGATCCGGAATCTGGCGCCTCGCTGCAAGAAGTCGACCATGACCCGGGATCCCTGGCGGCGTGGGACAGAGGATGATGTGCAGACAGGAAAGCCCTTTGCTCTATCGCCGATACAAGAGAAATTCTTCAACGTGTTTCCGGACGGTCTTAACCATTTTAACCAGAGCTTCGTCCTTAGACTGAACCGGACTTTGCCCGCAGCTAAGCTTCGTGCTGCGATGCAAGCTGTTGTTGGCCGCCATGCGATGCTTCAGGCGCGCTTCCAAAAGAACTCTGGCGGCGTGTGGGAACAGTCCGTTACCTAGGCCGACTCGCGATCCTTGCGCTCGCCGAGCACAGCGTGACGAACCGGTCCCAGGTGTTGGACATCGCGCAGGCCCGGCAGGCGAAGTTGGACATCTCCAGTGGCCTCGTCTTTGCTGGTGACCTTTTCAACATCGCCGATATTGGCAGTCAGATGCTGACACTGACTGCTCACCACTTGGTCGTCGATCTAGTATCGTGGCGAATTATCTGGAACGACCTGGAGGAGCACATCAAGTCTGGACGCCTGTCTTCCAACGTTGCTCCGTCCTTCAAGGCCTGGTGCCAGCTCCAGCGCGACATGGCCCGCGATCTCACCCCGGACTCGGTGCTTCTGTTCCAGGTTCCAGAGGCAGACCTGGGGTTCTGGGACTTGTCGTCGCTGACCAACAACACCCGCGAGAGTTCCCGGGATTGCATCACGGTTCTCGACCGCGATGTTTCCGAGCTACTCTTAGGCAAGAGCAACAACAGCTTCCGAACTGACCCCATTGACATCATTCTTGGGTCCTGCGCATACTCCTTCCGCAAAGCATTCCCCGAGCGCAGTATGCCAGCCATCTTTCTGGAAGGCCATGGACGCGAGCAGTCGGAGCCCCTACCGCTTGATGTATCGGGAACGGTCGGATGGTTCACCACGATGCATCCTCTTCCCATCGACGTCACTTCCAAGTGTACAGTCACCGATGCCGTGCGCCTTGCCAAGGATACTAGACGCAAGGTTCCGGGCAAAGGGCAGCCTTACTTTGCGTCTCGATACCATAGCAAACCTTGCCAGGAGGCGTTCCAGGGCCATGACGCCGTCGAGCTGTTGGTAAATTTCGCCGGCAGATACCAACAACTGGAGAGTGGCAATGGGCTTTTCAAGCTCGCGAGACCCTTTGAGCAAGATGAAACTTTGGCAGTAGTCTCGGAGTCCTCGAAGCGACTGGCCCTGATAGAGGCGAATATGACGGTGCAGGACGGGAAGCTCGTCATCGCCTTTACCTTCTACAAAGACATGAAGCACCAGGCCAGGCTGATGCAGTGGTTCCAGAGCTTTACTGAGACATTGGAACTTACCGTGCGTACCCTCATGCAGGTGCCTGCCAGTTTAACATCGAGCGATCTGCCGCTTCTTCCGCTCTCTTACCGTTGCTTGGATAGGCTCTTGAAGCAGCAGCTTCCCCATCTTGGGATCGAGGCGGAGAATGTCGTCGACATGTATCCCACTTCGCCGATGCAAGAGGGTATTTTGTTGAGTTCCAGTATCGGAGTCAGCTCATACGCAACCTACTGGATCTGGACCTGCATCTCGAATAGTCCAACCGACAATATTTCCCCTCGCAAGCTGGAAGCCGCGTGGCGCGAGGTCGTACGTCGGCATGGCATCTTGTCGACTGTCTTTGGTCCTCATCCCGAAGGCAGCGGTTTCGTTCAGATTGTCCTTGATGCGCCGCCCATTCGCGTCTCACACATAACCACATCGTCTGGCAGCCCAAGCGAGGCATTAGTCGGCCTTGACCGGCCGACGTTTGCGGTATCTGAGCCCGAGCATTCCTTCACGATATGCCAGTCAGGCGGCGAGTTTGCCTGCAGACTCGACATCAACCACTGTCTGCTTGACGGCGCCTCCCTGACTGGTCTGGTGCAGGAAATCACCGCAGCCTATGATGACATTGCTTTGCCGCCTCCACCATCGTTCAAGCAAATGGTCCAGTTTATAGGCAGCATTCAGAAAGACGAGACAATGTCTTTCTGGTCTAACCTCCTCCGTGGTGCTCAGCCTTGTGAGGTAGCAGCGTCCTTCTATCCTTCGGACAAGACCAAGGACACCTTCCGCTACATTCCCCTGCCAAGCAGGCTGACAAGTGGTATATTCGACTTATGCAGGCGTGTTGGCGTGACCAGATCTGTCCTCTTTCAGGTAGCCTGGGGCATGGTGCTCTCATATCTCATTGGAACGAACGAGGTTTGTTTTGGCTATCTGGCCTCGGGGAGAAACGCCCCAGTAGATGACGTTGAGAAGATAATTGGTCCTTTGGCGAATATGCTAGTTAGTCGTGTTGATCTGCGGGATTCGGCAGCCAAGGTACTCGAGACATCGTCGGACAACTCTATCGAGCATCTCAAGTACCAGCACGTCTCTCTTGCAGAGATCCAGCACGCCATCGGTCTTTCTGAGCGACGGCTGTTCAACACAGCAATGTCTGTGCGGGAGGCAGACAGATTTGAAACTGGCGATAAAAGAAGCCTCTCGCTCAAGTACCATGATCATCAAGATCCACACGAGGTTTGCATTAGCTTTCATAAATCTCGAGATTCCTCGTTCGGGCTGGGCCCGTGGTGAGTTTGTGGCTAACCTGGCCTAGTATGATCTGCTCTTGACGAGCTTTCTGGACAAAGAAAAGACGCATCTTTCAGTCCAGTTCAGACAAGCCTCCATCAACCGCCAGCTCGCCGAAGAGGCCGCCGCTGTTCTCGGCAAGGCAATTGAATATCTCACGAACCAGTTCGCACACAGCCCAGACCAAGACAAAACCGGTAAGGAAAATCCGGCGACGACAGAGGCGCTTCATCATGATTTTTTCAAATACGTTGTCGGAAGCGCACAAGACGCTATAATGGGGTTCTGGAAATCCTATTTTGCCAACTTGGACGGCGAATACCTCCCCCCGTTGAAGGCAGCAAGACACGACGCCCAACGGCAGAGCCATACATGCACCCGCTCGATAGACTTGAAATCTGCCGCAGACGACGACTGCACTACTGCGGCAAAGGTATGGGCGGCATGGTCGGTTGTGGCCGCGAGGAACGCCGGCTCCTCGGAGGCCCTGTTCGGAGCCGTGAAGGTCCCCAGCGGTCTGGCCACAAACTCGGCTCTCTCGACACTACCAATCCGGGTCATGGTAAACTGGGAAGATAGCGGTGGCAAGTTGTTGCAGTCGGTTCGGCATCAAATGACGGCCATGGCACCATATGAGCGAACTGGCTTACAGGTGATCCGTCGAGCTAGCGAGGAGGCTGCCAGGGCATGCAACTTCCAGGCCATCGTCATCATTGAAGATGGCACAGGCGAGGACTTCTCGGCCTCGGAAATCGTGCACTTCGACGCAAATGCCGTTGTAGTCAGGTGCCAAGTCAAGAACCATGAAATGCTGCTCACGGTTCGGGGCCATCTGGATTCCGTCAGCGAACCCTGCGTCAACCGCATCACCAACCAGTTCGAGTACGCATTTGGCTGGTTGTCTGATGGCGCGGCGCGGAAGTCGACGTTGCAGGACGCAATTCCCATCACCCCGCAAGAGCTCGATGACATCTGGACCTGGAACTGCCCCTTGCCAGACCCTGTCGAGAAATGCGTGCATGACTTGATAAAGAGCAAGGTGCTAGCTGATCCTCAGGCGCCCGCTATTTGCTCCTGGGATGGCGACCTGACCTACGGACAGCTCGACAGTCTGGCCACGAAGCTAGCTTATCAACTTGCCGACCAGAGTGTGAAACCCGGAAGCTTCGTGCCGCTGATCTTTGAGAAGTCCATGTGGATGCCTGTGGCCATGCTGGCAGTCATGAAGGTCGGCGCAGCATCAGTGGCCTTGGACACAACGCAGCCAGAGGGAAGACTCCGAACCGCTATGACGCAGGTGGACAGCCAAGTGTTCCTGTCATCTGCAGAGAACAAGCATCTAGCACATCGCCTCGGTGCAAAACAAGTCGTCGTCGTCGGTGCTGAGGAGCTTTCAAGGCTCAAACCCGTCTCGGAGCAGCAACAGGACTTGCCCGTGGCTTGTCCGTCCGACGCCCTTTACGCCGTCTTCACCTCTGGAAGCACCGGAACGCCCAAGGGAACCATACTTACGCATCGGAACATCAGCACCATGATCACCTATCAGCAGGAGGCGCTCGGGCTCACCAAGGCGTCTAGGGTATTCGACTTTGCCTCGTATGCGTTCGACGTGGCCTGGTGCAACTTTGCGCACGCGCTGACATGCGGTGGATGCCTGTGTATTCCATCAGAAGCGGACCGACGCAACGATATTGAAGGATCCATCTTGGCGTTGAGTGCCAACTATGCTCACATTACTCCGACAATCCTACGGTATATCAACTGGTCCAAACTGGAGGCGGTTACCGTCCTCAATATCAGCGGCGAGCCCGTGCTCGAGGGAGACGTGGCTCACGCACGTCAGGATATGCAGGTAGTCAACGCATACGGCCCAGCAGAAACCAACGTTGTTACAGTCCACAATCTCAGCTCATCTCAAGGGGGCCAAGTCTCGATCGGCCGTGGAGCCGGCGCGTGCACGTGGGTGGTAAACGCCCAAGACACGAGCAGGCTGGCGCCCATTGGGACAATCGGTGAGCTGTGGATTGAGGGCCCATTGGTGGGACGCGGCTATCTCAACGATGCCGAGAGAACGGCAGCCGCGTTTGTGGAGAACCCAGCCTGGCTGTTCCGGGGAGCCCCTGGGCAGGCCGGCCGGCAGGGAACCTTGTACCGTACTGGTGATCTGGTTCGTTACAACGACTACGGGACGCTGGTTTACATGGGAAGAAAGGACAGGCAGATCAAGATCAGAGGGCAGCGCGTTGAGTTGGGCGAGGTGGAGAATCACGTCGGACGGGCACTCCGCACGACGACTTCCACGAACACGGGCGACACGGGCGGCGGCGGCGGCGGCCTTCAAGTCATTGCAGAAGCCATCCAGCCTAAACAGGCCGATGCGGTGTTGCTGGTACTATTCGTATCCCTCCGCGGGGCCCAAGAAATGGCAGAAGAAGACCACAGCAAGGCAGTTCATCAAGCCACGGCTGGTTTGTCGGAGCGCCTGCGCGACGCGCTGCCCCAGTACATGATTCCGACAGCATACGTTCCAATTCGAGACGTGCCTCTCACGGCCACCGGCAAGGTGGACCGAAGGCAGCTCCAGGATGCTTACGCCTCGAAGACAGTGCAAGAGCTTACGACTCTGAGTCGGCCGCCCAATGGCCGCAGGCAGCCAACAACAGACATGGAGCGGCTCATGCAGAAGTTATGGGCTGAGGTGCTCAATGTTAGCCCTGACGACATTAATGTCAATGATAGCTTCTTCCAAATTGGCGGAGATTCCATCGGAGCCATGAGGCTTGTCAGCATGGCGCGGGACCAAGAGCTGTCCGTCACGGTTCGGGATATCTTCCAGCACCCAGAACTTCAACACTTGTCGTCTCTGGCCTTCTCGCGGAGTTCAAATCAGCGCGCTACCATTGATTCTTTCTCCTTGCTGAGTTGTAACGTTGACCTAGCAGACGCTCGTGATTCTGCTTCTCGGCTATGCAATGTGCGGGTAAATCAGGTTCTAGATGTGCTTCCGTGTACGCCACTACAGAGGAGCTTACTATCCCGCACGACTAGCAAAGGGGAAAACTTTATGAGCAGACACGTCCTAGAGATGCATAGGGACATCAACGCAGAGAAGTTCCGTTCCGCGTGGGATCAAGTCGTTGCCAGGAACCCAATTCTACGAACACGCATCGTCGAGATACCTCAACGTGGCTATGTGCAGGTGGTCTTGGACAGAACGGACGGATGGATGCCTGAAACGAGCCTCGACAAGTGCCTCCAGTATTCCGAAGCGAATCTCATGGGTCCAGGAACGCCATTGGCAAGGTTTGCCGTTGTTGAAGCAAGCAATGGCTCTCGCCGTGACTTTCTTTGGGAGATGCACTGGGCTCTATATGATGGCTGGTGCCTGCGACTCCTGTTAGCCGAGGTCGAGAAGATCTATCATAGCCAGTCCGCTCCGCCTCTGGAGAACATGTCGGCCTTTGTCAAGTACATCATGAGCAGCGACGAAAAGGAGGCCATGACATTTTGGAGGCGTCAGTTCGCTGAACTAGGCCGCGCACACTTTCCGCCACGTCAGCCGCCCAGGGTCCAACCCCGTATTGATAGCATGGTAAAACGCATGGCTCGAGGGATAGGGTGGAGTCGCGGGGACTTTACGCCGGCAACAATCATCAGGGCAGCCCTTTCCCTCGTCATTGCACGAAACCTAGATTCTAACGAAGCCCTATTTGGGGCAACCGTTATGGGCCGCCATGCTGCCGTGCCGGGCATCGAGCGAATGGCAGGGGTAGCATTTGCGACTCTGCCCATTCGAGTTTCGGTGGATTGGGAAGGGAGCATCAAGGATCTGCTGGAAAGGGTCCAGGACCAGGTGACGGACATGGTTCCATTTGAACAGACGGGCCTGGAACAGATTCGGCGCGCAAGCGACGAGGCGGCATCGGCATGCGACTTCCAGTCCCTACTCGTCGTCCAATCGGCCATCAAGAAGGGCGACCTCCGGTACAGAGACGCAGGCAGCAAGGTGTTTGTCGAGGGGCTCGTGGCGAAAAAGTTCACTGTTGTGGAGTTGGGTCAGCGCACCGGCGCCTACCCTCTATACGTCGAGTGCCAGCTTGACGCGGCTGAGGATGTGGAGCTGCGCCTCTGCTTCGACTCGGCAGTCTTGGGAGAGGTGCAGATGGAGAGCATTATTCGCCAGCTGGAAACCGCTCTTCGACAGTTGTCCGACCCTAGACGCTGTGAGGATAGGCTCGGGGACTTGGACGAGGTCGGCCAGCAAGATGCCAACGGCACCATTTAGGCACGGCCAGGGGCATATGACGGATGCAAGTCGGGCACCATTATGTACTTGGTCTATTTTGGTTTTAACTGTATCGATTGAGTCTTCGGTCTATTACACACAACGAAGGCGAAGATGGGGGGAGGGAAGCTCAGAGGTCTGCAAGTTCTTGTTTCTCGATTCTAGGGGAGAACGACCTGCTACTCCTACAATTGCTTGTATCCAAGAGAGGCCACCAAGGGGGTTTTCTGAGAGTCATGCAGGGGCTTGAGATCTACTACGTGAGGCGAAATATGTTCCAGCAAGATGGAAGTCCGTAGCAGGTAGCTGGCCTCTATTATGCTGACCCTGTCGTGACCATTGGGCGTATAGGGCACGTCGTGCACTATGTGACATACACCCCCATATTGGAAGGTATTCCAAGCTGAAGCAGTGATAGAGATCATGACTATGGGGTTTCTATCAAAGACTCTTTTGTGGTTGACTTGTGAATGCGAATAGCTACGGCACTGAAGTATATAAGCAATGTCGAGCTTGCTTTGCCGTCCTCAAGGTTTTAAGTGGCCATGTAAGCGCATAAGCGTAGAAGCGCATCAGCTGGATGGTCCTGCTAGAAGGCCTGGTCGCTGGAGGCTATGGAGCAAACGTCGTCATCCGGCTCGTCGTCGTCGGATGTAAGCCCTCCATAAATAAGCACCATCTTCCTCGCCATCACCTTTTCCCTCGTCTCCGTCGTCCTCGTCACCCTCTTCACCTTGATAGTAGCCCTCGCTCTCGCTGACTATCAACCCTGTCTCGTCAAATAACTCGTCCGGCATGGGAGTGCATTCATCCCGAATAGGGTCGCACCAGAGCACTTTGAGGGCACGGCTCTGCACCGGATAGAGCGTAAAACCTGTTAATTCCATTATGGTTTTCCGCGGTTGTGGCCAGAATCTAAAATCAGATTCACGTTTTCAGGGGCCTCTGCTGTAAAAGTCTTGCCTTGATATAGAAATGCCTTGCTGAAGTAGAGCATAAGGTCACCTCAGTAAGGGCATTATGCGTCGAGTCATTATTACCCACACTATATGCTCTGCAATCCCTTTCATACTTCCCGTCTCATTATCGATTGCAGTCCCATAGCGTAGGCGAACCATTTTACTTGGATAGCATGTCCATTTAAAGCGATGGCTTGACAATCATATCTTATTGCGCTCTTCTGCTCCCACAACCGCAGAAGATACGTTAGGTTGGACGTTCTGACTCAAATTTCGCGTCGACTAAGTGGATTCAGAGAGAAGAAATAGAAAGTTACATACATCATCTTCATCAGATAATCAACCTTATATGTAAGAAACGGGTGGGGACAGCTCTGGCTTCATTAGACTCTCATTACCGGTGGCTGTTCCGATTCCCCCGCTCTATCATCTTCAAATGCTCCTTGTTGGCCTTCAACCTGGTAGTTGCGAAATACCCCTAAAAGACAAAAGTTATATACTACCTGTAACGCTCCCGCCGCCATAAAAGCGGCCCAAGTAAGATGAAGCTGCACCAGGAGACCGGTGATCAAAGGTCCAAAGCTAGCCGCCACAGTTTTAACCATATTCATAATACCTATTATTGCGGTTCTCTCGTCGGGTAAAAGGATGTCAGCTATAAATGAACTTCGCGGGGCAGTTTCTATATACTGGGTGCTCGAACGAAATATGAGTAGAGCGACAGCAATAGAGGGTGATTCCGGAAAGCCGAGAAAGGCAAGAGCGACGACGGATGGAAGATGACTATACACCATAGTATTTAGATTTCCAAATCGACGGGCTATACTGGCAGCCATCAGGATTGAAAGTGCCGATATAACAGATGTTATAAAGAAGAGAGAACCGAGATACCCCGACTCTAAAGAGAACTTGCGGTGGAAGTAGTCCGATATCCATGAAAGCGTAGCTAGATTGCAAGCGAAGGCGTCAAACCCGAAGAGAAGCGCAAGCTTGATGCAGATATGGCGTCGCTCCGGACGAATTTGTGGGAGTAATGGCCTCTTGGTCCGACTGAGCCTTTGGCTGCTCAAGAGAGGAGTTCCCTCTTCTGAACACTGTGTTGGCCAGGACTCCAGTTCGCATTTATGGCTGAGCAAGATTGTCAGGAATACGTTCAAAAGACCAATTCCTCCGTAGACCAAGAATATAGCGCGATGAGCGTCGATGTGATTCCATTGCTCTCTAGCCCTAAGAGCGCTTTCAAGCCAGCCACAGCTAATTGTACCAAAGGCAATGCCCATAGTGCCAGTCATAGCATACCAGGCAAATATACTGGCTCGTATTTCTGATGGCGTCAGATGCGACAAAGTTGACTCCTCGATTGAACGAAATGGCCCTATCTCGTTTCCAGAAGGGCTGATAATGCCTATAGTTGCCGCCGCGAGTAAGACCCAGTAGTTGTCCGAGATTGCAAATATGAAGCCGCTGATAGACATCAGTGTAGATCCTAGACCTAGCATCCATCTCCGGCCAACTCCGTCGGTGATAAGGCTCAGAATGAGACTGATAAGAGCATCACCGACTAGAGTTAATGCCATAAACAGACCGATGCGACTATCACTAATACCGAGCGCAGATAGGTAAGAGACGAGGATAAGAGAAGTCCCACCATAGGCTATCATGCGAGAGAAGCGTTGTAGTATGAGAAGTTTTGAGTCTGGAGGGGATTCATAGGCGGCGGTAAGGCCAAGTTCCCGCAAAAGCCGCTTTAGGATATTCACGGGCAAGCTTGGCGGGCTCGCCGTCTCTTCGTGAGTCATGTTGACAATCTCGGCAGCTTTTTGTCTGCGCGGACCAGTCAAATTATGGTGCGGTAAGGAGGGATCAGGAGGTTAGGAAATGAACTCTGACCATGAGCCTTGGCGCCTTTTGTTTCTTTTGAGGGCATGAGCAAACCCTAATCAGCAACACATTGCTCCAGAACTGCTACATAGGCACCCGGGTGCAACTTAGGAGCTGCTAGGATCTTTCTTGCGGCGTCATCCGCACCTCGCTTATTGCCGGATGTCTTAAAATTAACCGCGGAACGACTAAGACGTCCTACATTTGCTCCAAAAGGATAGGTTACGGGATAACGGGAAGCTGTACTGCAGCGGTACGGCAGAGACCTCAGGGGTCAGGGGCCAGGGGCCAGGGGTCCAGACAACCAGCCGTGCTACTGTACTGGAAGCACGGCCGAGACCGTCAGCACGGCTGGAAGAGACTGAGGCGGCCCAAGAGGTTGGCATTGGGTATTTAGCTGGCCTCTGCCGCCTCAGGAGTGGCGTTTCTTATCTATGGAGCATACCATCTTAACTAGCCTTACGGTTATGTATGAGATGTTTGTACGTAGCACTATAACTCTGGAAGCTTATAGCGAAAAAGGCGGTGCGAATAGCCTTTAATTGGCTGTTGTCATGTTACTCGCGATGGTATAAATTTGCGGCATCGGCCTGGCCGCCCTGCACCTTGACTTGCCACTTCCCCACTCCAGTGTGCGCTGGCAAGCTAGTGATGCAGAACTGTGCGCCAAGACGGGGTAGTTAAGACTTGCATATAAATGCAGATACCCAGGTGTTCTTTATGCAGCAAATTCTGTTTTAGACCACATATCGCCGCAACATTACCTCACAGGCGCGGGCGTGAGGAATTCCCCGCGGGGTCGGTGCAGGGACATGCCCACCTCGAGTTGTTTCGGTATAGGTGAATAGCTCACTGGTTTCCAGACCAAGACAAGGCTACGGATGCTGTAATCGAGAGTGGAAAATGCGAGGAAGCTCAAACGTTCATAAGTTAAAATTACGGCCTTGTCTTAGTTGTATAAGCCCGTCCTCGTCCTATCGCCACTTGTCTTATTCCCTCACGACAGCATAGGCTCCTTCAAGCAACAGCAACATTGGCAGCAGCCCCCTCCCCTTGCAACCCATGATCCGGCCGCAAGAAAAAAGAGAGAAAGTATCTCTTCCCTGCCCCATCTGATGGCTGTGTCACTCTATGCAGCGGCGACTTGAACCTGCGACTTGACAAGCGCTCCAGCGTGTTTCCCCCGTGCACAAGCGCGCAGCCCTCTGGGGGAGGCGGTACGAAGACCCATTTCTGCTGTCGCTCTTCCTCGTCTTCACCAGACAAGCACACCTGGACGCCCCACCTGTCGTAGAAGAGCATGGTCAGGGTGCCGCTGTCACGATGCTTGTTCTCGAGAACGTTGGTGGCCAGAGGCACCGTGGGCTCGGCGATGAGCTTGAGGCCACTCTCACTTGACTGGTCCGAGCGGTGCTTCTCCTGCAGCGGGAGGGAGAGTGCATCTGCCAGCCGAGCGAGCAGTACATGGGCGGCGTCGTGGCAGCCAGAGTGGAAGTTGTTGACGAGTTGGGCCTGCTCTTCCATCAAGGCAGGGAACGTGAGGGTGCCTCGGCGCATCTCGTCCGTCGACATCTATAACGGAGAGCCATCAGTCCCAGCTGACGCTTGGCTGCTGCGCCCGCCGGCCTTACCTCGAAAGACTCATCGGTCTCGCACGATTTGTAGCTGTCGAGCAAAAGGCAGAGGAAAGAGGAGGGAGAGGGCAGGTTAGTTACAGGACAAGGGTTCATATGACAAGGCACATTATACATACCCTCTATCACTCGAGGCCGGTTGTCCCTCCCGTACATCCTTCATCTTGACCTCGGTGGGCTGGTCAAAGTATTCCTCAGTGACAGTGTAGACGCCACGCGCCTGCTGAGCGACATGGTTCATCGTCGGCTCGTTGCGGAAGTCGAGGTAGAAAAACCCGGGATTTTGGGTGGCTTCAAGCAGCCTCGCGACCTCGGAGGCGTCCTTCGCCGCAAGCCTAGCGATATCCAGGTTCGCGACCGTGGATGTATCTGGGAGGTGAATTTGGGCCATGGTGGTTTGTAGAGAGCTCCTGAGCTGATGTCAAGCCTTGCGCTGGGTACCTCGACCTCACTGTTGTTCGCGGTCGTATACCGAGGCAAGCACTCCTACGTCGGTGGGAGTAAGCAGATCAAGCGGGCACAATGTAGTCATAAATAGACACATATCTCGACCACCAGGCCACGAAGGCTTCGAATGGCGTGACACCTACCATCCCCTGGGAGCATTTCTAGTACAATATATCATATCTATTTGACTTTATATTCCGTACCCAGTATCATTTGATGCTACATTAGTATCCGAATTCGTATCGTACTGATCCCGCTCCGTGCTAATTCTATCGTACTTTTCTGTTGTGACAGGTCGTATCTCACCGCGGCGTCAATCACTCATTGTCGGTATCGAGCGGGCGTAACGAATGCCACCCAATCTTTCGGCCGCATTTTCACACCGAAAGCGGGGTTTCATATAGAGCTATGTCGACCTTAAAGAGTAGGTTATAGTCATGGAAGAATATATCGGAAAAAGCGCACAAAACACTTGAAGATATAAACGCACCGAAAAGAGTCTAAATGTTGGATCCACCTGTGCACTAGGCACCGATCGCGCACGTATAACTAATCGACCGCGCTAGTCACGTGCGAGTAAGAGGTGAGACACAGGGAGGAAGGTCTTTGCACACAGTTTGTATGGGACACGTTTCCCTAGTTACACAAGATATAACCAATTGAACCAGTTCGAATAACCTCACTGCAGTGAAGAGCCTGTCCACACTGATCAGTGTCGCCCGGCAAAGGTGACACAGAACAGCAAGACGGAAGAGAGCTAACCTATCGTCACGCTCTGCAAAGCGAGCTCCTGACGGTAGGATAGTTGCTACAACGCGCGGATTGCTACGAAGACTCTGCATCAGAGCCCACTCTAGTTATCCAACCGTGCCTAAGCTTTGCTGTCATCAGCGACCCTTAGGCGTGCCCTATCGCACATTGATAACCTCATTGACACCCTGTGCCCTGTTTCTCAGCACACAGCCTGTCAATATGTCTGACAATTCATCTGCCGCACTAGCCCCGGCAACAGCCCAGGATACCCCGGCCAACGTGTCTCTCGAAGACAGGCAACTCGTTGAACGGAACCTGACGATCGTGGAGCTCCCTTCACTCCCGATCAGGCATTTCGACGCGGATTTCCTCAACGAACCTATCACCCAGAGCTCCTCCTTGTCCACCGCAACAGCTTCTTCTTAGGCTGTGTGGCAACATACACGGTGGATAAACGTAACCACGGAATTGCCTGCTTGGGGATCTGTATAACGACTTCACGGGATGGAGCTATGATGACTTCGAACTAATCAACCCACGCCTTAGATCAAGACTCCGGACGCTTCTCAGAATTAGGGGGATCTATATGGGCAAGGCCAACTCTAGCATCTCTCGAGCTTTATGTGGCCTTCTAACAAGTAACGAACTTCCTGAATGGGATGAGAACGAGTTGCTTGGTCAAGAGGTTGCTGAAAACACCGTGGCATATAAGGTGAAACAGAAGCTGCTCCAAGGAACTGTTAAAGCGGCTATATCGTCACCGGCACCGGTAGTAATCCAGCAGCCAACTATTACCCGACCGGCGGAACCGGAATCCCCTCAGATCATTGAGACCCATCAACCCGCTCAGCAAGAGCCTCAGCATCAATGGCGCGAATCCTCGGTATCAGCAGACGCTCCCCGTACGGACTACCAACTTCCGAGATGCATACACGAGCATTCCACCTGTTCGATTCGAGAACGAGGAAGTTGAGGCCGATCTCACGATTAGATTCATTAAGATATGGGACAAGAAACTAGCCTATACCGGCGAACCATACGATATCTTCGATGACAAGATCCGGAAATTCATGAGCGTGTGCCGTCAAGCAAACATTCCTCCGTCTAAATTCCATGGTGTTTTCCTTCGATTCTGGCCAAGAAGCTCAGTCCTTCTTTCTACACGAAATCAGCACTGATTTAACCTTCGCTGAGATGTATCAGAAGATGAAAGAGCACTTTGACACCGAAATCAACCAGAAGATGTATCATACCCACTGGAGCACCCTCACCTTCAGCCGACTTCGGGCTGAGATGCCCGGTAAGTCATCTGACGAGGTCCTCCAGGCCCTTCTTACGAAATTGCGGCTCTGTAGGAGAGCACTCGGGGATAAGTCTGGCGGCGAAGGTGGCCTGATCGATGCAACGCTCAGGGCGTGCCGTGGTGTGCCTGAATTCCGACTCGCGATATACTCTCCGCACCTACATTTGAGGGATTGGCATCACAGCTTCGATCATCGCTATCTGCCATGCAAGATGAACGATCTGAACAACCCAGTGGCCAATATCCCCAAGACCTGGATAGAGGACATGATCAGCACTTCGTGGATCGCAAATTTCAGCGAAATTCCGGCGGAACAAGAGGTCAATCACAAAGGCGTCAGCCAAATTGGAAGAAGAAATGCTACGTTTGCGGCAAGGAAGGTTGTTTCTCAACGAGACATCCTGAAAAGGAGAAAAGCAGCCAAAGAGAAGTATCTACGAGAGAGAGGCTTCCACGGTCAATCTCGTTCGTATGCTATGTTCTTGGCTGACTATGAAGGGGAATCACAGGATCAGGATGACTCGAGCACCGAGGAATCCGATGATTCTGACTCCTCTGACCCTTATGAATCGTTCTACGCTGCTGCGACCTCTGTCCAACGAAGCTTTCCATCATCGGATCTCTCAGTAGGCATCAAGTTATTCAACAGTGACGAACCCACACAATTCATACTAGATCGTTACTCTCAAGACTCGTTCCAAGGAATCATGCCGGACACAGGTGCGGCATGCATATCGACGGGAGGAATCGAACAACTGCGTGCTCTCCAACGAGAGATGCCCCCAGTCCAATTCCGTGATGATCGCAAGCCCGAACCAGTTAGATTTGGTGCAGGAAGATTGGAAACACCACTTGGCGTGATCACCTTGAACACACCAGTGGGAGAGGTTGATTTTCATATAGTCAACGTGCCAACGCCATTCCTCCTATGCCTAGCTGATATGGATCGGCTCGGCGTATATTTAAATAACGTCACGAACGAGCTCGTTGGCAATGGTGTGAGCGTTCCAGTGATTCGAAGATGGGGTCACGCGTGGTTCTTCTTGCGGAAACAAGAGGCATCAGTGGCATATCTCACGGAGGCTGAATTGCGGCGCCTCCACACGCGTTTTGGTCATCCATCCGTGTATCGGCTGCACAAGCTGCTGAATTCGGCTGGCCATGATGTGGAAATCGAAGCTCTGGAAATGATCAAGAAGTTCTGCCACTACTGTCAGATGAAATCCGACCCGCCACGAAGGTTCAAGTTCAGCTTGAAGGATGATTGTGACTTCAATTACGAAGTCATCGTTGATGTCATGACATTGGGTGGCAGACCAGTCCTCCATGTTGTTGATCAAGCCACTGCCTATCAGGCAGGGAGATTCCTATCCAACATGACGGCCAAGGAAACGTGGCTCGCGTTGAAACAATGTTGGATGGATACATACCTTGGACCACCCGATGTGATCACTCATGACGCAGGCACGAATTTCGCTGCTGCCGAGTTCCAAGCAGAAGCGAAATTGATGGGAATAACGTGTCATCAGGTGCCTGTGGAAGCACATTGGGCTGTTGGGAAGGTTGAGAAGTATCATGTGCCCGTCCGAAGAGCATATGATATATTAAAGGCAGAGCTGAAGGATACCGTGAGCCCTGATCAAGTCCTTCAAATGGCTTTCAAGGCTGTCAACGACACAGCCGGTCCGGATGGCCTCGTTCCAACCCTCCTCGTCTTCGGTGCTCTGCCTCGAATGACGATGGATTCGCCGCCTACACCTTCCGCAATGGCAAGAGCTAAGGCGGTGTGGCGAACGATGTCAGAGCTGAGGAAGATCAACGCCCAGAGGAAGGTTCAGACCGCGTTAAATACGCGTAATGGGCCTGATACAGCGTTGCGCCTGCCCCTATCCCTGGCGCTAGGAAGCGAAGTTCGCGTATTTCGCGAGAAGCACGGATGGCAAGGCCCATATAAAGTGCTCGAGGTGACGGATACGGAAATCGCAGTTGACCTGGACAACGGACCAGCGAAATTTCGCAGTACATGCGTCCAACCGTACTATCGTCACCCGGAATCGCTCCTTCCTCAGTTGCAACCCGACCCTAGCCCTAGCCGCACAGACCCATCAACACAACAATCACTCCTTCCTCAACACAATCCGATCAACAACATCCTCTTCAAAACCCTCTTCCCCCACCCACAACTCAACAACCTCTTCCTCTTCCTACCACAGAAGACCAACCCAAACCTTTCGAATACCCTGAGCCAAAGAGGCCGCGCAGGCGTGGCCGACCTAGGAAGGATGCTGCACAAAATGGCACATCAGAATCCACTATTGTTTGCTCACCCGTTCAATTTATCGTTCATCATGAAGCTAATGCGTTTCTTGTTCGAAAAGAAATGGAACATCTCGGCCTAGCCAAGCGGCTACGAGCTGAAGGAAAGATCACAAGCACCGGTTTCCCATTTGAAGCTTCCGACACACTCGAGCTCACGAACCTCCTCGCCGCTGGGGTCATTGTACCCGAAGAATTCGATGCGAATAAACATGGTGGATATCGTGTCTTCAAATCACGAATGGTCAGAGAGGTTAAGGAAGAAATACTGCAACGCCATACGAGAAATCACGCCTCGTTGTGCAAGGATACAATGATGATGGGAAACGTGGGATCCTCACACAAGCCCCTACCATCAGCCGGCCCGCACAACGCGTGGCCTTGGCCTTAGCACCGTTTCTCTGCACACGGGATATGTTCATCATGATCAGAGACATCACGATGGCATACACACAATCCCAGACCAAGCTGGCCCGTGTCATCCTTGCAGCCCTTCCTCAAGAACTCAAAAGAAGATATCCAGAGGAACAATCCTGCGAATCGTGAAGCCGCTATATGGCATCGCAGAGGCAGGAGCCCACTGGTTCAACACATATCACGACCATCACTGCCGCAAGCTTAATATGGAAACCTCTTCGTTTGACCCGTGCCTTCTGATCACGGCAAACAACATCGCCGACAAGGACCTGTTTGGCATCGCGGCCTTGCAAACGGATGACACATTCATTGTTGGCACAGATGCATTTCTCAAGATCGAGGAGAAAGAACTCTGCTTTAAGGCCAAGCCAAAGAGATTCTCCAAGAAGGTTCCATCTGCGACTTTAACGGCAGCCGCCTGACCATACAAAATGGCTGTGTCATCGTCAGGCAGAAGGGCCAAGCCCAAAACCTCGAGGAGATCAATCTTCAGGCATCAAGTAGGCATCAGGATTATGCTGCTCAACGCGCCCGGGGCATATATCGCTTCGATTTGCCAACCCGAAGCAACATACGATTGTTCCGTTGCGGCACAAGCCCAAGAGCCCGTTAATACCGACTTCAAGGCTTTGAACAAGCGGATTGAATGGCAGATCAACAATCCCGACCGTGGCCTATGTTACATACCCATCGATCTCGAGAGCGCGAAGATCTTTGTGTTCACCGATGGATCATTCGCCAACAATAAGGATTTAAGCTCTCAAATCGGCTTTGTGATTATCATCGCCAATGAGACCGCGCAATCAACCGATTCATTTTCCATCCGCGGAAACATTCTTCATTGAGCTCAACTAAATGCAAGCGCGTTACTCGAAGCGTTCTTGCATCAGAGATCTATGGATTGACATCGGGCTTCGATCTCGCATTTGTGATCAAGCAAACGGTCAATACGATCGCACAACGCCTTGATCTGAAGCAAATCCCGCTCGTCATTTGCACAGATTCATATAGCCTCTATGAGTGCCTCGTCAAACTTGGCACCACAACAGAGAAGCGACTCATGATAGATATCATGGCGCTGAGGCAGGCATATGAATCAAGGGATATTGCGGAAATCCGTTGGGTCAACGGCGCAGATAACCCTGCCGATGCTATGACGAAGGCATCACAAACAGCGCCCTCACGCAGTTTATTAGCGACAATCAGCTAAACGTGAGGGTGGAAGGATTCGTTCATCGCAATAACACAACAATTCTCGACGAGATTTAATCGGTTTTTCGTTCCCTTCTTCTGCTTTACCGTCGTTCTTTTATTCCATTCACATTAACGAGGAGATCCTCGTGTCCATATTCCAACGTGGGACCGATGGAATCAGCTAGCGCATCCGGCGCTCGAAATGCGGCCCATGATGGCGTGTGGCAGAACACACCCAGTGTGGGGGAGGGAGAGCTACAGTCAGAGCACACTATCCAACATAGTGATGCATCGTGGTAGGAGTTTGTTGGTGTTCTTGTTCGTGTTTTTCCTATCTCATCTTAATTCGCTGTGTTTGGTGTGTTTTTGGTGGATTGATTAGTGCGCGATCATCGATTTAGAAAGAGGTTCCAGTGTTGGATCCACCTGTGCACTAGGCACCGATCGCGCACGTATAACTAATCGACCGCGCTAGTCACGTGCGAGTAAGAGGTGAGACACAGGGAGGAAGGTCTTTGCACACAGTTTGTATGGGACACGTTTCCCTAGTTACACAAGATATAACCAATTGAACCAGTTCGAATAACCTCACTGCAGTGAAGAGCCTGTCCACACTAAAACTATTAAGATATATGAGTGGAGAAACTACTATCAGGAGTAATAGAAAACGTATACAAAGAATATACATAATAGTATATGATAGAAAGAAGAAAAGAAAAGTATGATAAAGCCATTAATTAAGCTACTAGAATCTACAAGTATTTTATGTAAATAAGATAGTATAGAGCAGTTACAGAAAAGGCGTAACTGGCGCCTCTGGGACAGCTGTTCGATCGAGCTGCTGTCTGGTCTTCCCGAATACACCTCCAACGGTGGCTAACGCCAGACGTGCTGTCACGTCGCGTGGGGGAGTCTTCCCGTCTTCAAGGGTCAATACCCTGATCTAGATGCAGGAGATGACGCAAACTGTTGCCAAAACTAGTCATTTCCGATCCAACCACATGCAGGCGACTCCGTTTTGAGCTTCAGCAGATATTCAGTTGCGTGCCGAAGTTGTAGTATAACGTAGCGGCACATATCGCCTACGTAGGTAACGGCATAGTAGTGACGTAAACCCGCAGCCAAGCAATGGTCTCCGCGTCAGTAACGAAAACACCTGCAGGGCGACCTTCTTCGAGAGTGCGGCCAAGACTTGGAACTACGCGACGCAACTAATATATCAAGCAACATAACAACGAAGTAGACTCGCAACCATGCAATGCTACTCTGCGGGCCAGTCCTCTGGATACGCCATCTGGTCTGCCCGTCTCCACTCTTCGTTCTCCTCGTACATCTTGCGGATTGGCTCTAGCAGCCGGTTGAGTGCGTCTACAACCGCTTCCTTCAGTGCTGTGGGCTCAATCACTCCCGCCACGTAGTCCCGTTCAAGCTCCTCATACGTGCAGTAGCTGCGGTGCAAACGATCCTCGCATCCTGTTTCTAGCACGGCAACGCTGAACCAAGTTCCCTCCTGCAACTCACCCCTGGTTGCCGTGGCACCGTCAACCGCATTTGCCTTATCGCCCAGTCGGATATCGCCAACGGGCATGAGGATGTGCTCAACGATGGGCAGCACACCGTTACCTTGAACAGCATTTGCTGGGCACGAAGCCCTTGTGATCTTCTCCTCCACCGCCGCCGCATCGTCGAGGAATAAGATTTTGGTATGGGCCGGACTCGAGGAAGACATCTTGCCACCCGCCAAACTCGGGAGAAGCTCGTTCATCAGGTGGGCACGTCTCTCATAGCCTAGCTCAGGCAAAAAACGTTCGCCGAGGTTGAAGATGCCGCGCTGCGGGTCCAGTTATGTCAAATGTCAGCTTATTATCCCATGGCCAAGAATTTGGCTGTGCAAAGTGCACGCGCACCTGGTCCCTCCCACCAAGCTCAACATCCACACCCAAATACTCCTCTCCCAGCTCCTGGAGCAGCGGGGTGAGCAGAGGACTAAGCATCGTGGACCCGCCCACTTCTGCTCCAGTCTCCCGCGCGTCCTGTTGCGAGCACAGCGCGCAGAGCTTCCAGAAGTCTGCCATGAACTCGGGCGTGCTCTGGTACGAGGACATCTCGATCACCGAAATTTTGCACATGGAGACTCCAGCGGCCCGGAGGGCGGCAGTGATCAGAAACCGGTAATACGTCGTACGGTTGCGGACTTGATCCCAAGGGAACTTGTAGTTGACCAGGAAGGCGTACAAATCGACCAAGTCAACCGTGACCTGAGAGGCCTGTTAGCTGGGCAGATACGCCGGGAACGGCCAACAACTGCACCTCTCCACCGGCGCGAATAAAATCGGCAAATTTAATCAGGGGGATGAAGTAGCCTATGTGTGCTGGATGTACAACTAGTGGTTACCAGAGCGCCCTGCTCCCTTCAGATGATTTGCAGCGCTTACGCTTTCCAGTTGGGGCAGTGGCTATTCCAATGTCAACCAAAGGACCTCAGAACTGGTGGTGAATACGTTCTACTCACCCCATTGGTACTTGAGAGTCTTGCCCTCGGTGAGGAGTGACTGGAGCTTCTTGCCACACCAGCCATTCTGGAGCTCGAGGCGACGGGTAATGAGGGAGTATTTCTGTTCAACTCCGAGGGATATATCCATAATGGGCTGAGGATTTAGTAAGAATGATTTTTAGATGAACAGAGTGAGGGTAGCCATTGGAGAGCACGGCGAAAGCCTCTACTTATATCTTTAAAATATGCTTCATTCTGAACTTCTGATGTATTTTCAACAACCCCACACAGTACCAACGCGGTATGGCTAAGATACTATTCACTAAATTTAATTTGGTTTGCCTTACTGGTGGATTAAGCATAAACGCAAGTTAGGTGATGCATATGTCTACCGACGCATTAAGAAGGGCTATCGTAGGAAGGGCCTTTTTGAACCATTGGACTTGGAGATTATAGATAACTACCATGGCCTAGAAGAGTGTGTTCTCTCTATATCCGTCTTAGGTTGCATACATCAGCGAACTGGTTCCTCTGGCGTTGGCACGTCAAAAAGCTCTAGCCCGGCAGAAACCCAGTCCGGATGAGCGGGCCGGGCTGCAGTACGATGTTTGTAACGCTCCCCTACCTAGTCGCGTCCCGCTGTTTCACTGCATGGTCGCCAAGGTATGAATCGCGGATGCGGCTGAGTGTGAAAGTGGCTATGGTGCAGGAGTGATGCCCTGGCCTTCGTTCAGCTCCAGCTTTTCCCGTCCGTCTTTACTTATCTTGGATTCAGTGACATCTGGAAACCAAGGACTCGTCTACAGCGTCATGTTGCATGCAGGGAATCACCTCCGGGATACATTTCCATGCCGGAATCGAACCGAATGTCTGCATCTCATGGGTCTTTACGGAATCGCATATTGCATGCTGCAGCAATCACTTGCGGGACGTGCTCGGAGTAGACCCGAGTCCTTGTCTCGGCTTTTTCATGTTGCTTTACGAGTTAGTACGTATCTGGCCACTGTGTGTTCGCTTGAATGACCGGAGAGGTTATAGAAGGTAGCAGCAAGCTCGAAAAGCAATCAGGATATTTTGATCCAGTCTTCGCCATTGAAACGAAGTTCTAATGCCCGTCTGAGTATACGAACAATCGCCCGTGCAACCGCCTGCAGCATATGCAGTAGTGGCAGCTTTCGTACACCTTCGCAGCCCACGATGGAACTCTTGCTAGTACCATACATACTAGCCTTTCTTTTGGCTTCGGCAATTAGCATTATAATCAGAAGATCTCTAACGTACTGGTTTGCTGAAAGGGCCCTTCGCGTTCCGGTCAAGGCAAAAGGGGGGCTCTTAGAACCGGATTCAATGCCGTTCACCATTGACCGAGAACGGGAATGCCAGCCGTACAAAGAACTGTACCACAAGTTGCATAACCTCGAGCATCACGTCGAAGTGCTCCCTCGGGCCAAGTCTCTCCTTCTCTCGTTCTTCTCCGAGGCCTTGCACTCCGAGCGCAGTCGGAGCTCCATCCTCTCGCTCGACTGCTTCTCCGCCACCGCCCTAAATGGCTTCGTCCAAGAAGAGCTGGACGCTGTGACGAGAAAATGGCGGAAATACCTTAGCGGACGCAAGGCGGGCCAACCTCGCACGCTGTTCCAGTCCGCCGCCGATGCGCGCCGCTGGCTTGTCCGGATGGCGCCGGTCAAGCTTGTCGACGGTGCCTGGCTGGGCCACATCCACAAGATCACAACCCCTTTTGCGGATAGGCGAATCACAAGGGCCGCATGGCAGGTTCTTTCCGAGGAGCTGGGCGACGGTGATCTGGTCAAGAACCATGTGCATCTCTACGCGCAACTCCTCCAGCAGATCGGCGCGCCCGTCGGCGAGCCCGGCTCGGTCGACTTCATTCGACATCTAGGCATGGACGACCCTCAGGTCTGGCGAGCGGCACTTGCCCAACTGCTTATCTCCCTGTTCCCGCACGAGTTTCTCCCCGAGATCCTGGGATTCAACCTGCATTTCGAAATGCTAACTTTCGAAACCCTCGTAGCGATGAAGGAGCTACGCGAGGTCGGCTACGACGCTTACTATTTTACCCTACATGTTACCATCGACAACGCCAGTACGGGTCATACCGCCATGGCGAGCTACATCGTGACAGACTATCTGCGCTCCGTTGAGGTCCGCAAGGGACACGCCGCAGCGTACCAGGCGTGGAAACGCGTCCAGGCCGGGTTTATGCTGTCCGAGAGCTCGTCCAATATAAGAGCAGCCACCGATTGCCCCCTCGTCGCCGAGGTCCTTGCTATCTTCCAGAAAAAGGTTGACACCTCGAACCGAATTCATGATAACTGCCCTGTGGGCTTCGGCGGGCGATCACTTAGCTTATGGCTTGAGCCAGAAGCATTTTCCCGGACTGAATGGCAGATGGATTTCTTGCGATGCCTTAGCAGCGCGAAGCCGTGGGTGTATAAAGGTAACAGCAGGCGCAGTCGCCTCATCCACCAGCTCTCATGGCGCGGTTCTATGTTTGGCGCCTTTAGCGACCGCGAAGTGGCTGTACTCCAAGACTGGATTGACCGCCTGGTGCCTTTTGGCGCTGAGCCCTACAAAACGTTTACCAGAAGGACGGATATAGCTGAGTCGCCATCCCGAGACCTTGACTTGCGCGTCGACTATCCGGTTTTTACCACCACTGCCTTGGGCCATGTCGATGCAACGCAGGCACTCGTTGCAAAACCACTCACTCTCAACACGTCTAAGCTCGACATATATAGGCTGCTTTCCCTCTGGTTCACCCACCCTTGCCTACTTGAATCCTTTATCTGCATCCCCTGGAAAACGGCGAACCCTATCGGCTGCGCCATCGTTCGGTTCCTACGTTCCCAGTATGGCTTCCTCCCCGAACCCGTAGGGGTGGCTGGCATAGATGAGACGCGCCGGATAGATTACATGGATCTTGTAGACATTGGTATGGAAATGCTTCCCAGAATAGAGCCACCGTCTCTTCCTCCAGAGACATTGGCGGACGTGCTTGAAAGGTGGCCATCGCCATTCGCAGAGACGATGCTCGCGACGGCAATGCGGCCGCTGGAACACGGATGGGTTTTATTGGGTATGGCGCAGGCGTTTGTACAGCTACACAGCTCCTTGGCTTCTTCATTCGCAGTGATTTCGCCGCGTAGCCGAGCGGCTCTGGACGTTATGGCGCGGAGGGAGCAGGAGAATCTGAATATATGCGTTGAAGGGCTCCGCGAGGGTGAGCAAGAGCACATAGATTTCTGGAAGGGCTATGCAGTAGGGAGGCAAGAGATTCAGAAGTGCTTTGGCGGGACATAGTAAAACCATAATGTCTATCAACACCTAGCAGCACACGTATACACTTACTTGGACATGTAAAGCTTCAAATACGCGCAATGAATGCGAGGTAGCTTACATGCTCTGGCCGAAGCACATATCGCACAGAAATGTTCGAGGCCTTCGGTCTACTTTTCTTTCTTCGAGCAGGCTCTCCCTCATCTACCCATGTAGCCTAACTATCCGTTATATCTTCCCTTCCCCCATGTGCCTTTTCACGCATCACCCAAGGTTGGAAAGGTTCTGGGCACCGAAAACAGAGCGACTCCATCTGCTTTCCTGCTGCTAGATAGTTTGATTCCGAAGCTACCCACCACGTCAAAGCGCTGATCGGCTACTAGAGTCATCTCATTGCGTGGGCCGAAGACGGCAGATACATCATCACACCACCTCAGGGCATCCTGGTCCACACAGCGTTACCTTGCCACGTCCCGCTTCTATGCGGTCGCTCACAAAACGGGCTGCTGACACCAACGCTATGTTACATCTCGCAGCCTCTCCGAAACCGGGATAGCTTGCGGGTTGTCGAGTCATAGTACAGTAGTAATGAGTGAACTGCACATGCGTTTTCAGCCACTACAAATTCCACGTCTCGCCGCGTAAGCGAGCTTGCAAGCTTTGTTAACTTTACCGCTGCATTCTGCCCGACAACGATAACAGAATGGGTCGCTACGAGCTCGAGTATCCCCGAGATGCCACCAATCTCATCAAGCGTCACGGCGAGCGAGGTCAGTCCGCTGCGCTCCTACTCTTGCCTGGTTTTACCTCGCTCACAGAAACCTCCAGGCAGTTACGCCCTGGAAAAGATTCACAGCCTCATAAACTCCGCCCAGATCCTCCATGTCTCCTTCAATCCCCCCGACTCGCCCTTCCCCGTCATCCTTCCCATGATCGGCCAGATGGGCTCCTTCGACCGCCCCAGCGCCTCCCTCGGCGACCCCCTTGACGTATACCTCCACGGGTACGTCTCGGCGCGCATCTTCAATACCGGGCGCGCGGCAGGGTCTCAGGGCATGCCCGTGTGCGTAGCAGCTTCACACGTGGATGGCCTCGTCCTCGCTCTCTCGGCCTTTAATCATTCCTACAACTACCGCTCGGCCGTGCTCTTCGGCCACGCCACCATTGTTGATGACGAAGAGGAGAAGCTCTTCGCTATGCAGCTAATCACCGATAGCGTCGTGCCAGGCCGCTGGCAGAATACCCGGCTGCCGCCGACCCGGGCTGAGATGCAGAGCACCAGCATCCTGCGCGTGAAGATTGCGTCTGGCAGCGCCAAGATTCACGAGGGGAGCGCTGTCGACGATAAGCATGACCTTGCCAACGAAGATGCCCTCAATAGCATCTGGACGGGCGTCGTGCCTGTCTATACTGCCATGGGAAGCCCTCTGCCGGGGCCGCATAATCGGGTCGAGCTGCCTGAATATGCGTCTGAGTTTTTAGACCAGTTCAACCAGGAAAGTAAGGAGCACAGTATTGCTGCGGCTAAGAAGGAATAGCCCCGCGTTTCTAAATGAGAATGTGCTTTACCTGCGAGATTTCCGAATTGTTCGAAGTATACCTGCTTGGTTTTAGGCGTGCAGACGCATTTAATGCCGAGCTATTAGCTGTCTAAGTCAGCGCATAAAGTCTGTAATGCCTGCTGTGGAAGGCATTGAATGTGTGGTTCTACGAAGTTCGTGTATGAACGCCGCTGTGCAGCTCCTATTAGCTGGCCGCAATTGATATACCTACGGGCGCCGTTGAAATCAGGTGTCATATCTGCAATCGACATTTGATTGAGTGAGAAGAATAAATTAGCAATTCTCAATCTAATCGTGACTCTTCCATCCATGCTAGGGCTTTCGATACCGTCAAAAGCTCCCAACCCAAGCGCAATCGTCGTATCCAGTTCTTACGGAAGGTTCTGATATCCGGATGGACGGACCGTATATTAGTCTGACGTCTGCTCCCGGCTGCCCCCTTGTCCTGCAGCGGAGGTAGCTCCGGCTATTTTGGCACTTTTGCCTGCATCGCATCGATTGCCAGCTGTGGTTTCCGCCTCTCTTTACTTGACTTGGAGCTAGAGGCGCCCGGAAATGAAGAGATTGTCCAAAGTAATACCCTTATGACGGGCATCATGCACCATGTTTCTGATAACACTTAGCGATATCTTCACGACTTCTGCAGTTTTGACTTTCAGCCTCCTAGACAGATATATATCCGAATCAGTCGCAGGATAAGGGCTGATAATGCCCTTCAACCTCGCAGTAGGTATCAACATAAAAAAAAACCTATTAATTCTGCGAACCTCCAAAAGGCCAGAAAAGTTCGTTACAATGCTCTCAACTCCACTCGTGTCCGTCTTAGCGATCATACTTCTCATCGCCCCCGCCGTGCTTCCGACGGCTCGAGCTGAGCTGATCCATGACGAAGATGACCCGCCAAGGCTTGGAGCCGTCGCCTCACAAAGCAGCGTCTGCAGTGAAATCGGGATAGCTTTGCTGAAGAAGGGAGGCAACGCGGTCGACGCTGTTGTTGGAACTGTCCTCTGTGTCGGTACCGTTAGCATGTATCACAGCGGCATTGGCGGCGGTGGCTTCATGCTCCTGCGGAACAATAATGGGACCTATGAATTCGTTGACTTCAGAGAAACTGCACCCAAAACAGCCTACACAGACATGTACGAAGGCAATCTCAACGGTAGCGTATACGGCGGTCTTGCCAGGTATGCCCCTATCTTGATCTATTCCACCCCAACATCAAGGGAGAGCACTGACTCTGAAATCTGCAGTGGAGTTCCTGGTGAGCTTAAAGGGCTGGAATATGCCCACAATAAATATGGCAGGCTGCCGTGGGCTGATGTCGTTATGCCAGCTGCCAGCATCGCCCGTTGTGGCTTTGTTGTGACGGAAGACTTAATCCAGGCCATGAATCGCGTGTCGCCGAACAACTTCCTAACTGACGACCCAACCTGGGCCATTGACTTTGCTCCCCACGGATACCGAGTTAGGTTAGGGGAGACTATAACGCGGAAATGATACGCTAAGACGTTGGAAAGAATTGCCAAGGAAGGTATCAATGTCTTCTATACGGGAGATATGGCAAAAGCTACAATCGCTGCTCTAAATGCTTCTAATGGCACTATGACGCTCAAAGACCTCCAATGCTATACTATCGCGCATCGACAGCCCGCAGGGATTAAATATCGTGGTTATAAGCTAATCAGCACAAACGTGCCGTCCTGCGGCGTGGTCGCCTTAAGCACACTGAATATTATGAGCGGATATCCTGGATTTGGCAACTCAACAGAGGTCCTCCAACATACCCATCGCCTTATTGAAGCTTTGAAGTTTGCCTACGGGTAACGGAATAAACTGGGCGACCCAGCATTCGTGCCTGGCATGGCGGAGTACACACAGACGATGATTGCCCCCGAGACGGGTAGCGGGATTCGAGCCAGGATTTCCGACTTCCAAACTCACGGTGCTACTTGGTACGACCCCGAGAATTTCGTTGCAGAAGATATTCCTGGGACTTCGCATATTGTAACTGCAGACGCAAGCGGCATGTCTGTGTCGCTAACTACCACCATCAACACCCTCTTTGGGTCGCTCGTCATGGTACCGGAGACCGGCGTTATTATGAATAACCAGATGGACGATTTTAGCATCCCTGGCAAAAATAATTCCTACGGTTATGTTCCCAGCCCGGCGAATTACATATTTCCAGGCAAGCGGCCATTATCGTCCATATCGCCTATTATCGTCGAATGTCCAAACGGAAGGCTATACTACTCTCTTGGTGCCGCCGCCGGCAGCCGTATTATTTCGTCTGCGATTCAGAATGTCATCCACGTGTTGGACTCAGGGATGACTGTGCCCCAGGCTTTTGCGCAACCCCGACTCCATGACCAATTGAGGCCGGCCCATGTATCGTTTGAATATGCGTATCCCAACTCAACCGTCGCGTTCCTTCACTCCTTGGGCCATAACGTGACCCGGGTTCCGCCGACACAGAGCTTTGCACAAGGCGTCCGGCTGCTGCCCAATGGGACGTTTGAAGCTGCAGGGGAGCCAAGACAAAGCGACTCCGGGGGTTACGCGATATAGGAGGTGATCCAGGGTTACAGATGGGGATCATGCCATGCATATTTAGCACTATAGGAGAAATAGGAGATCAAAATACCTCGAACACCTGTTAGGTTGCCAAGGCAAAGGACTTGACGGCTGAACATACAGCCGGGAGGGTGGATCGCTATACACCTGCAATTCAACTTTCCTTAGGGGGGACCCCTAGAACCCCCATTCGCCTGCGGCTGCAACTAGCGGTTAAACCGCTTCAAACTCGTGGTAAGAGAGTTGGCCGCTGGTCAAGGGCCCCTCTCCCGCTTCCGGATAGACTCATTCTAATTATACACCGTACATCAAACCTTGCTTCCCCTGCAGCTTATAGAAACTTGTTTCCCGATTGACAGGTGCCAAAAACTCCGCTCTAATGTTAAGGGAACCCATCATCCACTAGTTAAACAAAGCGCGAAATGCTTTCGCTCGTAGCGGTACTCTGTAATCAGAATCGAGTGATCCTATCGCGGCAGATGGCACCATGCCTACCACTGTCCTGGAATGACTTACCTTCAGTTCCAAAACCATGATAACTGGCCGAGGGTGCCAGGGAAAACCACACTGCTGCATGCATCCTCACGGCTGCCTCCTGCAAGTCCATGCTGCAGCCTCGGCGACCAAAGGTATAAGACACGGACTAATTATATTCTAGCCTTGGAAGGTCAAGCACCGGATGGGCTCGGAATATTCTTCTCTTACGTGAGACGACTCGGGTTCACCGCCGCCGCACGAATCTTCTAGATGCAGCTGCCAAAACAAGGACCGGAGCAGAAGCAAGGATGCAAACCACTCCACGCTACTCAAGCGCGTTGACTAAATTGAATCACCGACGTCAATTTAATTCAATCAACATCAGGCATGATCATCTAATACGTTAACCCATTTTGGTCTTCAGTTGATTGTCATATATGTTTATTAGGTCTTGTGGACAAGCCGACCTTACCCCTTGAGCCGACCACAGTGCACAGTGCACACTAGAAAGTCAAGCCGCCTAGCAACAACGCATCACGTGCTTTTTAAAATTAGAGTTAGGGTTAGTTGGATTTTAGGCGATTTGTTTAGGATTATAGCAGGTCCATGGCTGAGAGTTAGCCATAATAGTATTTAATTAGGGTGGGGAGGAGGAGGGGGAATAGAGTATTACTGTTAAGTTATTATAGGCAATTGGGCTACTGCGCTGTCGTCTCAATCTTATAGGGAGTTTTTACGGTAGGTGGTGGTATGGTGGTATTAATTAGGACGTGTCGCCGTTTATTAGCTCAGCATGTCCCTTGTCTTGTCCCTCTTTCTTCGTCATGTCGACCAACTCTGGTCTCTCCGCCCGTCGATCATCACCAACAAGTCAGCATCAGAGAGGGCTGAACATATCAAAGGCTAATTAATCCGTGCACGTTCGCAAATCTCCGACTCGCTCTCTTGGCGGCGCGCCACAGGACACGGGAGGGACAGAAGCCGGTCTGCGACGGTGACGCATCCGCCTGCACAGTCACATCGCAGCTACAGCATGTGTGACGCCTCTCCCGACTCGGAACCGCACTGATTGCCATGCATCGTCGCTCTGCGCCTCGTGCGCTCATCTTCAGGCGGAAAGCGGCCCCCAACGGAGAGAGACACGCAGTGGCGGATCTGCACTCCCACGTTCCGAACGCCGTCGGGCTGTGCGAGAAGCAAAGGAAACCCATTCGAACATGCAGCCATCATCAACTTGCCTGTGCGACGAACGGTACCGGTGACGAGAGGCAGAAGGCGGAGCACAAGGCACCGCGAGGGCCGAGGAAAGCCTCGATACCTGGATTCTCGGCATCTTCCCGCCTGTTGGCTGAGTCGAGGCTTGTTGGAGCCCACGCACCAATAACGGGCACACCTCAGAGTGTGTGTGCACCGCTCGGCAGCCATGCGTCGCACGGCCAACGTCCACGGCCTGCTGTTCCTTTGCCCGGCGGCGCCTCGGTCGACCGTACCACACCGTCGTACCTACATAAGCACGCGGCGTGCCTTGGCTTAAAAAATAGCCCCTCACTACCGGCAACTCCGTCGGCAAAAGGCGCTGGATAGGTTCAATAAATGAGCCAGCTGCCGCCGTTCGAGACCCTGTGCCGATACGACTCACCCGCGACCATGGCCGCCGACCCCGAGGACCCGGCGCCGAGCAAGGTCTCGGTCCATGTCCGCCGTGACGAGCTTGCCCCCGTCCAGTCGGACCCCGATGCCAACCTGACCCTGTGGCAGGCCATCAAGAAATGGCGTCGCGTCGTCCTCTACTGCGTCGGCCTGACCTCGGGCATTCTCATGTTTGGCTATGACTATGTCATTGTCGGCACTACCTCCGCCATGCCCAGCTTCCAGTACGCCCCCTCGTCTTCTTCGTCCTCCTCCGAGGCCTCTACTCACCTCGTCGTCGCAGAAAGGACTTTGGCGAGCGCCTCGACGGCAGATGGATCCTCCCTTCTCTCTGGCTCGGCCTCTGGACCCTGGCCAGCCCCGCCGTCTCCATCCCGAGCTCCCTCGCGGCCGGCTGGTTCCAGGACTGCTACGGCCGCCGCGCCTCCCTCGCCCTCGGTTCCTTTCTCTCCGCCGGCGCCGTCGCCGTCTGCTACGTCTCCAATCTGCCCCCCAGCATTGGCCAACGCCGTGGCGTCTTCCTCGCCGGCAAGGGCTTTCAGGGCGGCGCCATCGGCATCGTCATGACCACCACCCAGACGTACATGTCCGAGATTGTCCCCCCCATCCTTAGGGGTCCCCTGCTCGCCTTCTTCCCCATCTTCGCCCTGCTGGGCCAGCTCATCGGCGCTGCCGTCATATTCGGCTGCCTCGATGTGGAAAACGGCTACGTCCTCTGCTTTGCCTCCCAGTGGCCCTTTTCCGCCGTCCCCTTATTCATGGCCCTTCTCATCCCTGAGAGCCCCACGTTTCTGGTTCGCGAGGACAAGCTGAAGCAGGCCTATAAGGCCCAGGAACGCCTGAGCTCCGACGATGCCGACGCCCGCAAGACCATTGAAGCCATCTGCCGCAACATTGAGCACGAGAAGAAGACGACTAGGGCCAGGTACATTGACTGCTTCCGCGGCACCAACTGTCGTCGCACCCTCATCGTCATGTTTGCCAGCATCTTGCCCCAGATGTTTGGCTTGACCCTGCTGGCCAAGGCAAGCTACTTCGTCCAGGTCGTCGGCATGAGTTCTACCACCAGCGTCCTCGTCCTCATCCTCGGTCTCGTGTGCGGCTTGCTGGCCAATCTGTCCAGCATTTGGATCTCGTCCCGTATTGGGCGGAGACGCCTCATCCTTATAAGCCTTGCCATCATCACCGCCCTGTGGGCTGCCATGGGCATCGCAGGCATTTGGAATGGGCCAGCCGTAGTCTGGTATGTTTCCGCACCCGTTGCCTTTTATGATATTCACTACGCTGAACCGTTGCTCATCACAAGCTCCCAGGTACACCGCCATAACTCTGATTCTGGTTGTCGTGGTCGCGGGGCTGGGCGTATGGCCATCTTCCTACGCCGTCGGCTCCGAAACCTCGTCGCTGCACTTGCGAGCCATGTCACAGGGCGTTGGCTGGCTGACATCGGGCTTCGGCGCTGGCCTCTTCGGGTTTGTGCTCCCATACATCTTCAACCCGGACAAGGGCAATCTCAAGGCAAAGACGGGCTTTGTGTTTGCGGGCTTGTGCGCCATTGCCTTTGTCATTTCCTTCTTTTGCGTGCCTGACATGAAGGGGCGCACGGCGTCTGAGATTGACCGCATGTTTGAGTTTCGGCTGCCGACCAGGCAATTTCGCAAATGGACCAACCATGACGATGCCTCGACCCGAGGGATGATCCGTGATGTGGAAGGCCCAGTATAAGACTTTGGATGAGAGGCTCTCTCCGCAAGAGCCACTAGAGACTAATGAGTGTCCCCGTGTTCAAACAGGTGATTTGTATATAACTTGTTCGTTTGTTAGCCTGGGGGTATATGAACACTTTATCTAGGCTAATGAACGTAGCTTCTAGCCCCCTTGTCTTAGAGCAAGTGGTGTGTTTACGCGGCACTAGAACTTGGATGCTCTACACATACTGGGCCACCGAACGGAATCCCGCTCTGCTCCCACCTACACCACCTGGTCAGCCATTGAAGCCAGGGTCTGATGAGTTGCGCCGGGTCGATTGACCCTAACAAGTAGGGCTATTCGTCTACTTCTGCGTTCCGCCATATCTAGGATGGGAAGTCGCTTGGAACATGCGACATGCGCTTGGGCGTAGCCATTACCCGGCGCTCGGCAGAGAGAAGAGATTAGCACGAATTGACAAAGCAGGGAATGAGCCTTAAAAGCTCAGCAGTGTCGAGAAGAATGGGAAAACTGAGCACGGCCACCTGGATAAAAGTGGCAACGGCTGAAATTGAGGCAGCCACACGCATGGATGGGTTGACCTTGATACAACGGGAATGGCGCAAGGCGATCTGCAAGGACTGCGGCGAGCCTTGGGAGGCCATGGAAAGGCCTTGGCAGGAAATTGGAAGCTTATGTGCCGTCGGGCGGACACGTGGAATCGGGGAGGGAGATAGATTCCGTAGATGTGGTGGCTTTATTCATGTCAGGCTGTAGCCATATCTCAGCCGGCGGCTGAATCGCTCCAGGGACGTGACCAGGTCACTTTCACCACACATACATTGAGTATCCAACAAGTCGCGGCAGAAACAAATTCCATTCAGTCATAAGTGGCCGTCTAGCTGGGGAAAAACCTGTGAATATCCACGTGATATCTCTACCTAATGTCTCCTCGCGTCTGGCCGAGGACCTGAGCTCTCGTCTTCAACTCGTGGAGCGCCGTTTGACCCCAGGTTTGCGCCGTGTCATACCAATCGCATCCCTTCTTTTTCATGTGTGCTTGCACTTGTGTTCCCCACGCAAGGGACCCGAACTTTCAGCAACCGCCAGTCACGGGACCGAAAGTGACGGAGCTCGGGGTCCCTCAGCGTTAGACACGGATTTCAAAGGCGAACGTGACAGCGTAGAAGACGAGCCATGCTCTTCTCTTCACTCGGAATACATTTGATCGAGGCAGGTAGATCACAACCTCACGCAAATATAGCATCATCCTCGATTTGAATTAAGTACGTGGGCATCAAAGCCCAACTACCTCGTCGGTCTGTATAACTGCTCCAAGTCATGCCCGGAATCTGGGTAGATACCGCCACGTGCTTTCATGTGAGATATATAATCGAACTCTGCTCCGGTCAAAGCCGCCACTTCGAGCCGGCTATCCAAGCCAGAGAGCAACCAATGAGTCGACAGCCTACGACGTAGTACGCCGAGCAATGTGGACGGTCTCGGGGTCTCGGGAGCATTACTCCGCCGCTGGCGGCTACGATTCAAGGCCCGGAATCCGCGCGGAGAAGCAAACCTCGCACCTGGTCCCCTCCTACATCGAGTATGCCACCCTGCCCATCGCCGCCTCATTTTCATATATCCTTCTTTGTCCTTCAACTAGCCTCTGCGCCAACCCTGCTGGCCAATCGAAGCATCTTGAGGCTAGACATGATGCTGCAGTGGTGGCGACCGTACCAAGTTCATCTGTCGAAAAGGGCCGATATCGATGCTACTCTACAGCGCGCCCTCGAGCATCTTCTGCGCTGGCAGCAATTAGCTAGTCTGCGAATCCAGGGTGGTGGGAACGTGCTGGCCCACTGCCTAGAACTTCCAGATGCCACATCGGGCTTGTACATGCAGCCAGTTGGTGACGAATCGGGAACGACGACCCAGCGGATTCTACATGTAGCCTGTTTTGACGTCGAGACCAACCTAGCTCGCTTCTGATGTGTCAAGAGGACTTGTAAGCCGATTTACCATGTTATTGAACTGAAACACTAGCCTCCGAGGCCCTCTGCATACACTAGTGGTCATGCCAGCCACTGGCTGGGGACCGATGCTATGAAGTTCCCCGATGAGTGTGCTGTGCAGGAGCTGGCGCCCCTTCGACTGCCTCCTTGAATTAGCTTGGAATTTGGAAACATCCCTGTCACTTTAAATCTCACCGGAATCTGGGATACGGCACGAACATCATAGCAGCAAGGCCCATCGAATGCCATCACATCGTCAATGGGCCAGTGAGTTGGTCATGCAGCCAAAGTGTAGAGTGACGGACAAGATCTCAACGACCTGCCCTACACAGACTGGAGCCGTAGTGTAGGTTGTCAGAGAGTCCAGGAATCCAAACATCCTTAACGAAGCTGCAAACATTTCAAGGCGTCCATGTGTAAATACTTGTAGAACTACAGTTGGCCTTGAGGCACTTGCGGGAATGTTGGTGTTGTAAAGCGCCGGGCATATCTGATTCTGGCCAAGCAACGGCCTCATGGACTGTCTATTCTGGTATCGCTCTCGTCAAAGCCCGCACGTACGAACATCATGTGGGTTCGAACTCGACATGAAGCTTTCAATGCTTTCACACCCAGCTTCGAGGTGCTGAAATGCCACATTGAAATCCACCCGGCTGGCGGCCCCTGGAGACTGAAAAGAGTCACACGATACACGCGTTTTGATCAGCCCGGCCTTCTTTGGTGTTGCAAGCGGGACTGGATGCTGGGGTCAACGGTTGCCCGGCTCCTTTTCCGCGCCTGACCACAACTCCATTCGACATATAATATGCTTGACATTGAACGTAGATATCACTCGGCTCAAACTCCAACTCTGGGGCCCTCCCCCGTCCCCTGGCTCCCCCGGTGGGGAAGCAGGGTTCGGTATGATCGCGGGCAGTTTCTTGCATCCCCCCAACCTTCCAAGTCTAGCCTCGCATCTTGAAATCCCACGTCGCCAGGCTCGGTGTGAGAGCTGTGCCCAAAGCCCTGGGCCAGTGCTGCCATTAAAGCTTTGAGGCCCTCTTGGAGATTGCATGAACGTGACTATGTGTGGGTCTGCCCTCCCCCCTTGGAGTCGATTCTGCCAGGAATAGCTGGCGCTTGTGAGTGAGGCCGGAGACGATGCTCTCCCTTTCGGCCCTTTGAGTGATTTTCCAGGAAGTGATCCTTGTCTCGGCACTTTAAAGGGCGGCTGTGGCGGGAGCATCAAGAGATGTCATTCAGTCGTCTTCGGGTGAGAGCTCACTGGTAGGCCTGAATGCCAAATCGTACACCAACGATACTTGGACGCACATGTAGGGGGTTCATGGTAGGGAGGCCGAATCTCCGAGCTATAAATCACAGGATGAGTCCTTGATTCAAGGGGTCGGAAGAGTTTCAGGCGCACTGAAGAAGACGGCATAAAAGGACAATTTGTTCCAGCCTTTTCTCTTCGACCACGATGGCCAACCGCATCGCCCTGGCTCTTCTGCCGCTCCTCACCTCTGGTGCCCTGGCGCAGATTTTCACCGTCAACTGCGCGCCGTTGACGATCCAGAGAGGCGACCCAATCGTCTTTCCGGGCGTCATCTCTCCGCATGTTCATGCCGTCGTCGGCGGGACCGCGTTTGCCCTCACCGAGTCCAACGAGGATGCCAAGGCTGCCAATGCCACGACGTGTGACAAGGTTCTCGACAACAGCAACTACTGGCAGCCGCAGCTCTATCATCAGCGCACCGATGGACGGTTTGAGATGGTAGACATGCAGGGGATTGTGAGTTTTGATCCACCCCTCAACTTTCTTGGGGCGTGTCATGCAGTTGAATGCACTTATACTGGGACACATGCTCTAACATGAAAGACGTGCAGGCAGCCTATTATATCGATCGAGCTTGCGACTACGTCCCCGGCCGTCAGAACTGCCAGAACACGCCTCACGCCAAGGCAGACTTGCAAATAGATAAATCATAATCAAATCAAATCAAATCAAATCAAATTTATCCAAATCAAATCAAATCAAATTGCCCCTGCGCTGAATCAAATCAAATCAAATCGCAACACCCAAATTTATTTGGATATCTGATTATTTGGATACGCCCCACAATGGCGACCTGGGCCAATAGTTTTGGGGAGCCAGCCCTGCCTGGCCTAGAGCGGTCGCTAATTACGGGCAGTTGCTTTTCCAGGCCGTGTCACCAAGCTTTCTTTTTGTGTTTTACCTGACACGTTTGATCGTGAAATATATCTTTGGGTGCGTCTGCCATATTACGGGGGGAGATATTTGTAGCCGATGGCCAAAATGGGACAGCTCTGCACTTGACTGCTGCAATGGCGCATATGGGAGGAGTACCGAACCCTCGCGGTCGAGCAAGATACGATACCCGAGGAGCCCACAGCTGCAAGGAAGACAACGGACCTAGATGACTTCATGACCTCAATTAGGAAACTTGGCGCCCAACCTGCGCCCTCACCGTCCTCCATGCGTGACGAGTACGCAGAATGGGTGGGCAGTACCGATCCGGGCGATTGTCTTGTGGACAATCCCATCCAGTACTGGCTTCTCCGCAGACGCCAATATCCACGCCTGTCGCGAATGGCAATCGACCTCTTTTCCATTCCGGCGATGTCTTCAGAGCCGGAGAGAATATTTAGCCTTGCCGGACAGATGGCCGCAGCTCAGAGAGCCGCCTCAAAGCGGACCTTATCAAAGCGGACCTTATAGGAGCGGCTCAATGTATTTTGTCGTGGGAAAAAGTGGGGCTATCCAGATATCCAAATGAGATCCAAATCGATTCAAATCAAATCAAATCAAATCAGATCCATGATTTTGCTATCCAAATCAAATCAAATTGGACCCCGGATTTGATTTGATTTATCTATTTGCAAGTCTGCGCCAAGGCCCCGCCCGCGGGTCTGCGCATGGTTGTGGGAGATCCGTTCCTACGGTCAGCTTCCAGTCCTGGCATGTAGACGTAGTCGTTGTGCTCTCAGTTCAATCGCTGGGCTCTCCATCGAGCCTCGTTGTTGCATGGTGTGCCTAAAACATCAACTCACTGCTTACCCCCGCTTAGGACTTACGATGCTTCCAAATCCGAGCAAAAAGCCATCTCTCACGTCTGCCTGGGCCCAGGTGGTGGCGACACTCCCCATCTGCCGACGGTGCAGTGCGAGCGCCTCCGCGCCGAGACCTTCTTCCCCTCCTGCTGGGATGGGAAGAGCCTCGATAGCCCGGACCACAAGAGTCATGTAAGAGGCAAACTGGAACTCGACTAGCACATGACGAGAAGGCGGCACGACTAACAGGGATGTTCAGATGGCCTTCCCGGCCATAGGCGACTACAACACTGGCGTGTGCCCCGAGTCCCATCCCGTAGCCATCCTCTCAGTCTTCTTCGAGTTCTTCTACGACACGGGGGCCGTAAAAAATTTCAATCGCTGGGTCTGGGCCATGGGCGACCCAACCGGCTACGGCCTCCACGGAGACTTTCTCAACGGGTGGACTGATCAAAGGGCCCTCGAGCGGGCCATGGACACCTGCACCGGCTCGCAGGGCGTCAACGATCCGCGCTGCAGTCTCAACGCAGGGCCCAACGGACCTGGCCAGTCGGGTCGTCAAGCCCCGGAGATTGCACCGCCAAGCGAGGACGTTGGCCTCCGCGGCCCCCTCGGGAGGCTGCCCGGAGACAACCCGATCACGGGGAGCCCGGTCCGAGGGTGAAGGCACCAGGTACTCTAGCCTCGAGATTTGCGCCGACGGTTGGTTTCATTACAATGTATTCAGTTGAGGTTCGAGCCTGGGTCTCTATAGCCGTTTGGCTACCCAAAATTGAGCGTTGTACGAGTTCTTGGTCAGAGCCTCCTTGTCAAAGCCGTAGATGGCCTCGATACTCCTGACGGTCGAGTTTGCAAACGTCAAAATCCCGCATTCATCGCTCGTTTCCAAAAACTCAAACTTCATGGCCTCTGCGACCTTGACAATGTCTTGCAGAGACAGCTGCACAAAGGGCGCCGTCCCGTAGAGGAGGGGCCCGAGGTTGATCCAGTAGCCGCCGGGCTTGAGGATCTTCTTGATGGTGTCGAAGTACATGATGAGATTCCGCGCGGTATCGATGAAGAAGTAGGTGACGACGACGTCGTAGAAGCCTTCCTGGTGGCGGAACGCCGTTGTAAAGTCGCCCTCCATCATCAGGACCGAGTGAGGGTTGACATCGACGTCTGGGAATTGCAGCTGCCGCTGCATTTTGGAGTCTGATGTGTGGTGGGACCAGCCGTCGACGAAAGGGTGAAATGTCTGTCCGTCTCTCAGCCCGTAGCGTTCGATGAATCGGTATACTACGTTCATGAACATGGACCACTCGTTGATGGTGACTTGGAAACCTGGGCATGGTCAGACGGACAAGCAGTCCAGCTGAGGCGAATCGGCCAAACAATACCTCGTAAGCGGTGGATGTCATGTCCCAGCCTACCGAGACCGGCCCCCGGCACCAGGATCTTGACTTTCTCGGCGGCCGCATGCCTCGCAGGGAAGAGCCCATCAAGCGTCGGCAGCATGCAGGCAAACGGTGCGCTCCTCTCGTGGTCCCCCTCGTCTGTCCAGTCTCGCACAATGTGCTTGAGCGCCTGGGACACAGAAATCTTGTCGGCTTGTTGGCCCGTTGCCTCGGTGTCGGCAATGTGCTTGTGGAGCTCCTCGTTTTCGATGCCATAGAACTCGAGTGCGTGTCTAACAACTCTGTCGCACAGGGCTTGGTTGTGAAGAAGCTTCTGCTCGACGTGAGTGAACTTTGACGAGTAGGACAGATGATGCTCGAGGAACTGCGCGGCCGTCAGCAAAACACGGGACGGACGTACGGATTCAATTAGCGGAAGGGCCATCATACTGCTTTCTGGGCTTTGGATACGTTCTTATACAGGCCGCGGAGCCGCTTCAGTTCCGCCGCCTGTCTCTCGCGGTATCTTGTGAAGCCGTGGAGGGCATCCAGGAGGCGATGCCGAGCGTGATTTGCCGTCCATTTCCCGTTGCGCTTGTCCAAGGTGCCGAGGAGGCGTGATCTTTCTTCACCGTGTCTCTGAATTGTGGATTGGTTGTATTGCTGAAGAGTCAGGGTAATCTCATGCACCTCGGTCACAGGCCCGACCTAAGCGGCACCGTCGATCAGAAGCAGTGTCAGAAATTGTGCTTCTACTAATGTCAACAAGTCTTACCTGTGCAGCATCCGCCGTCAACAAGTCGTCGGGCAGACAGAGCGCAGGCAAAGAGCCAGAGACGAGCCACCAGACGCAAGCAGCAACACGCATGACTGCTGCGAATTGACCCCGAGGCGGACGCTGTTGACTGCCGAGACGAGAGAAAATCCAACAAGTCGAGTGCTGGAAGGTTGCGTGAAAATGGACGTCGGGTTTGTGCAATGTGTGCCGCCGGGGAACCTTGATGGCTCAACGGCCAACACTGAAACCTGCGGCGGCAAATCCGAGTAAGACGGAGCCTGGCATTGCCACAGACCGTTGCTCCATATTGCCCAGAGGAGAAGAACGTCATAATTGTACTGGTCATCCGGTGATTTAAGCCCCTATCTCATTTACTTTGACTGGCATCTAGTCCATTCGAGTGCCAAAGATGAATTCACTTACATGCCCTTCCGGCACCTCCGGCTCTCAATTGCCACCGACAGGCTGTGTAAATGCTTGGAATAACTACATGAATAGCTAAGCCTGCATGCTGTAGATGCAAAACTATCCTGGTCAATTGGTTCGATGATCGCTTGCAACATCAAAGCGGCCGCCGTCTCTACCCCTTGGAGACCTGGCAACGAGCCTCGGCCTTGACCTTGGAGTCGGACTCGGAAACGGCCGTCAACGTCACAATGCCCGTCTTGGCGGCGTCTGCAGACGCACCGACGGCCACCTTGACGCCGACCGTCTCGCCAGCCTTCGCAGCGGCGAGGGCGTTGCGGACCTCGACGCGCCATCCCTTGCCCTCGACCTTGGCGTGCAGGCGGTATATGTCTGCTCCCAGAGAGGGGGCAGCCTGCCGCGGCGCCTTCCGGTGCTTCTCTCGCGCAGTGCCGTTGTTGGTGAGCCCAAAGGCACAGAACACGCCCTTTCCAGTCGGCCTGTTCCCCTCGCCCACGGCTGGCTTGCCCGGCGACAGTCGCACGCCGCCCTGGCCCTTGGCGGTGCCGTTGAGCGCGCGGACTCCCACCGTGTACGACAAGACACCCGCCCGGTCGCGGTGCTTGTCGACGACGTAAAAGTGAAGGCCGTTGGGCGCGTCCACGAACTCGTACTGGCTGCCGGAGCGGGTGCCGGCGTGGAACAGCGCGTCGGCCAGCTGCCGGTAGTCGCCCATGGTGGCCATGGCCACCGTGCCGTTGGGACGGATGAAGTCGGCGAGGTTGATGTCGTGCGGATTCGCGTCAATGGTCCACTGGAAGGGCTGTCGTCGATCCGTGTTCTTGGTCTTGCTGATCATGACGCCCGAGTCGGGCTGGAAGGAATCGGCCCCCATGCGGTCGACGACTTCGACGTCGTAGTTGTCGTAGCCTCCGCCGTCGCAGAAAAGGTCCGTGGCCACGTCGCAGCGAGGAGAAAGATCTGTTCCCATCTCCACGCGCAGTCCCATCAGGTCCGACTCGACGGCCCGGGCCGTGATGCGTGCAACCACAGGCCCGGAAGCAGCCAAGGCGTTCCTCGAGATCTTGCGCAGGCTGCTCTCGGCAACCAGCTTGAGCTGGTATTTGTCGCGCACCGTATGCAGCGAGCCCATGGATCCGCCCTGCAACGGCGGAATCTGCCACCGAGTATGCGGCCCCCCCGGCCCGTTGAAGGTGCCGCGAGACAGCATGGACCACGGGCCGGTGTAGTCTCGACGCAAGGGCTTCCCGTAGGGGTTGCCGTAGTTGTCGCCAATGTTGAGGAGGTGGCTCAGTTCATGGGCGTAGGTGCCCATGCCCGAGCTCTCGCACTGGAGGCTCGACCCGTCCCCGGCATTGGGCCAGATGGACGCGGCCGCGGCCCACGAAGTCCACTCGACGTATCGCGTGTGGGCGTAGTTGGGCAGAGACGGCTGCTCCCCCGACGCCAGCGGCGGTCCCCATGCGGCGGGAACGTCCTCCTTGGTCGCAAACTTCATCTCGCCAAACTCCTGCCACGTCGAGGACTCGTCCTGGCCGGCGGAGAGGATGAAGACCAGCTCGTACGAGTCGGCCACGTCGTCCCCCACGTTTCTGCGCCACACGCCCAGAGAATCCTCGCGAAGACTCATGTCGCAGCTCATCCCCGGCGGACACGCCCCCGGGTTCATGACACGATCCACCCCGTACTGATAGGAAAAGAAGGGCATGCGATAGGTCCCAAACGCCGTCAGGTTGACTCCGAAGCGGCCGCCAGAGTCTTCCATCCAGTACTCGTGGAGCGTGTGGCCGCGGTTGAGCTCGCTGGGCTTGTTGAGCAGGTCGCGGTAGAAGGCCGGCACCCGGGCCCGAGCAGTGTTTGCCGCCACGGGCAGCGGATTCCCAAAGAGGGTCGAGTTTGGAGGCCCGGTGATGGCAAAGGCCTTGTCTTGGTAGTCGACGGCGATGAGGGCGATGTTGAAGTTGCGGATGGAGCCCCTGCGAGAAGAGTCGTTCCATGCCGTGCCGGGAGGCGCCTTGAAGTCGGCCCAGGTCATGTTGTCCGGGTTGACCCATCTCTGCTCATCGACGACTTCGAATGGGTTAGTGACACGCAAGGGTCTGGAAGCGGCCGCCTCGCCCACGGCTGCAAGTAAAACAGCCGTCACCACAAAGGCCATGGTGGCGGCCGGGGCCGAGAGACAGCGCTTGATAGACACGGCCATGTCGCTGAGGAGGTATGATGTCGTTTGGCCTGCATCTCGTCAGCGATGCATGGGTAAGTCGACATTTTAAGAGCCATCTGAAGCACCGTCTCCCTTTACAGTGTCTCATCGCAAACATGCATTGTCGAGATGCAAACTAATGCGCCTTGTGCAGCGAGGGGCGTATCACCACCCCGAGACATGTATCCAAAAGTTCAAGAACAGGTGCTCCGGATCAATGATGATGACAGGAATGATTCGACCTTGAATCTTGACTCTGATCTTTCTACCCTGATGCTGTCGTGTCAAAGGCCCTATGGGCTTGTGCCTGATTGTATCCAGCTTAATCGGTAGTTAACATAACGTCACTGTAAAATTTTGGGAACAGGCCATTCCAGACTTCCAACCTTACAAGCACCAGCTATAATGGCCGTCTTTGCTACTGTGCAATATCAGATGTCAAGATCGTACAATGACGAGGTTTGCTGCCATCTAAACACGGCATACATGTACCCCTGGACGAAGTAGAATGGAAGAAGGACCAAGTACAAAGCCGATCTCCTATAACCTCCGTTTTTAAAACCGCCGTCACTTGAACATCTACTGGGCACACAACATTACAACAAGCATGTGCTTCAACTACCTCTCTGGATTCTAACTGAGTGAACAACATATACAGTAGTGGTGTCCACCAATATGCCCCAAGCATGGATGGCACCGTGGCAAGGTGAGTGGCTCTTTTGGCTTGCGATGAAGGCCTCTAGATGTTTCCCCAACTCCTGAGTCCTGATAATCCAAAAAAGGCTGCCGTCACGTTGCACGGGCGCGACGCTGCTTGCCGATCATTGCGAGATGAACACTAGGCATAACATGCCAACCCCGCGGTGCAACACAGTGCATGTTTGCTCAACCAAGATTCCAATGGCCTAGATCTTATTGTTTTTGCCGACGGAGTGAAATTAGGCCCAGGCGTGGTCTTTTGTAGTGGCAGGCAGACGAGGAGCAAAGCACTTGGCTTGGATAGGCAGTCCGACATTGCTTTGGCCAATATCTGCATGCCTCAAACACGACGCTGTTCTCACCCAGACCGGGGCCGGCGTCAGTGTTGAAGAGCTCAAGACCAAGCCGTGCCCAGCCCAGACAAAGCAATCCCGGATCAGCAAGCAAAATACTGAAATAGCAAACAGCTCACGGACAGACGCGAATCACCCGTACAAACAACAGTCACTGGCGCCGTTGTCGACAAGAACCACGGGGACGTTTTCCCGGACTTCACGTCGTCGCAAATGCAGGAAATGAACCAGCATCCAGTCAATTGGAGTTGGCAAACATCGCTGAAATAGCCCGCCGTCATCAACGTCCGTGCGCCGCACTTCTAAGACCGCGGCTCGTCCGCCCGCCCGCCGTTGCCGTCAAAGTAAATCTTGCGGCCCGAGATCATGGACTCCTGGAGAGCAGCCCCGATCCTGACCGCGGCCACGGCCGTCTGCAGCTTGACGGGGACCGGCGTGTCGTTGAGGCAGCAGTCGGTAAACTCGACGGCCTCGGTGGCAAAGGCCTTCTTGAAGCGATCCCAGTAAGTCTGGGGCACCTCTTGGCGGATGCCACCGGCCTCGTGGATGCGCACCAGGTTGGCCGTGGGCTGAGTGTTGACGCCGAGCTTGCCCTTGGTGCCGATAATCTCCGTCGTGTCCTCTTGGCCGGCGGCCATCATGCGCGAGCAGTAGAGGTTGACGATGCGACCGTCGGCAAACTCGACAAGGCCGAGGGCGTTGTCGCGATCGTTGTACTTGGCCAGGTCGGGCTCGACGGCCGTAATGCCCACGGCGCTCACAGACCGGACCTTGCTGTCTCCGTCCTCGCCAAAGTACCAGAGGGCCAGGTCAATGTCGTGGATGGAGCAGTCGACGAAGATGCCGCCGCTGAATTGGGCGTAGGCGACGAAGAAGCCCGACGGGTCCAGCATGTCGCACGTCTGGCTGCGGAAGACAGACGGCCTCCCGATGAGCCCGGCCTGGACCTTGGCATAAGCGTCGCGATAGCTCTCGTCGAAGCGCCTTGAGAATCCGCACATGACCTTGAGCTCGGGGCGACGAGCAGCGGCGTCGACAACGGTTTGCGACTATTGTTTCGCACTTGGTCAGCCTGGTGAACCATGCTTTGCAAGCCGGTCAAGGGAAGTTCAGCTTACCACCTCGGGCGTGGTGGCCAGGGGCTTCTCGCACAAGACGTGCTTGCCCGCGTTGATGGCGGCAATGGCCTGGTCGGCGTGGACAGCCGTGGCCGACGCTACGCAGACGGCCTCGAGGCCCTGATGCCTCAGCAGGTCGTCATAATTTTCGTAGATGGCGACGCCCGAGGGGGCCAGCTGCTCCTTGGCCCATTCTCTCTCCTGAGCGTCGGGGGTAGAGACGGCAACGAGGTCGGCGCGCGGCACCGACTGGAAGAAGTTGAGGGCATGTCGCTTGCCCATCCTCCCGAGGCCCGCGACGCCAATCTTGAGCTTTGCTGCGGCCATGATGGATAATGATGGGCTGTGCAATGGGGGCTTGAGTGAGTCGAGTCGAAGCGAGTGAGAGATGGTGACGGGAGCCGCGGGCTTTATAGGGAGATGAAGATGGGCTTGTCGCGCATCGCTGGACTGTGCTCGAGGTCGATGAGGCGTCCATGGTGGAGACGGTCAAGCTGAGAGCCGCAAGAGGAGTGAAAGAGAAGCTTGGCTGGGGTAAAAACGGGTCCGAAGTCGGGGAGCTTAAGGATAGGGGGCAGTCAGGAGGTCAGGCGGAGGGGCCCAACAGCGGGGGAAATGGCTTAATTTGAACGCCGCAGGGCAACTTTCCCCGAGCCCCGGATGACCCACAGACCGCTGCATCATGGCGCCCAGGGCCCTTACAGTGGCGTAGGCTCCCCAGCCTCGTAGCGGGTTACAGGGCATGTCGAGCGGAGACCCGAACGATTCGTGGACTGTACAGGAGACTGCAGCAGACTGGGCATGCTGTAATTGACCTGACTGCCAGGCTACAGGGCAACTGACGGCCTGATGATCGCTTCAAATTGCTCGGATTAACTGGACTAATGTACAAGTGGAATTCTTCCTGGCTTTACAACCAAAATTCGCCTCCTACACACCTCGATGAGCTTGCGAATCCTGCTAGTCAAGCAATGCCATCTCATCCATTCACGCCCAACCCCATGCATTCTTCAGACGGCCCTGTATCTTGCCCGTCGGCCACGCGTGATCCCCCTCGGTCTTGGTCAGCACATCGAGCAAGGCCATGCGCTCGACATGGTCGTCAAACCTGTCTCCGCACGTGGCGATGCCCAGCGACGCCGTAATCATGGCAGGAATCGTCGACTCGTTGGACAGCGCCGTCCCGCACAGCTGCAGAATCCGCTGCCGGATGAGCCGACCGCGAGCCATGCTGGGAAGCGCAGGATCGCAGCACATGAGGAGTGCCTGTGCCAGCATGCTGTGGACCACGCCAACCACTACAAGTCTCGTCAGCAGCCGCTCTCAAGCCTCCCCGATGACGCCTCTTACCCACGGCGTGGCTAAAGTACAGGATGTGCGGAAACACCTCCCCTCGGCTCGCATCCGCGTCCATGTAGGCAATGGGAACAAAGGTCGATGGTCGGCACCGCAGCCAGCCGTCGTCGTACTCGATCAGCGCGCGGTGGTCGTGCGGACTGTGCTGGCCTTGGCCAAAACAAAACTCGACAACCTTGGCGCAGTGGACAATGATGCGGTTTGCCCACATGGCGTCGTCGGCCGGCGAAAACGACTGGTCCACGAAGCTCAGCGACAGGGGAAACTTGATGGGTCGCTGGCTGGCCACGGCCATGGTCACCTCCTGACGCAGCCCGATCCAGTACGCCGCTTGCCGTAGGCTACTGACGGCTGCCGATGAGCCGCTTCGCGCATTCATAAAGACCTGGACCCCCATCAAATGCCCCTCGTTGTCGGTTCCGAGAAGAGGAACTGCCTTGGGTGCACACCGGCGGCGTCAGTCAACCATGCCGAGACGGAAAATCAACCAGATCACGCCCGATTCCGACGTTGAGGGTTTTTGGAAACTTACCTTCGAGCTCTTCTAGGGTGCGAAGCAAAATCGTTGCGGCCAGCAGGTCATCGTCGAGTAGTGCGTTGGAGTCGTTGGATACACTCGACAGTTGGCGGAGACAACGCTCGTGATACTGGTTCGAAATCCATTCGTCACACTGTCCTTCCTTCAAGCTCAGATGTCTGCTGGAGAGGGCATATATGGCATTGAGCAACGTCGGGCAAGACATTGCTTTGCGAGGAACATGGACGGCAAACTGCCGCGTTGTGTCGCAAACATCGAACTGGCGATGCCATGGGAGCCAGTCAACATTGAGGCCATCTCGTACTGACACAAGAGTACAGACGAGTTCGGAGTGGGAAACGCAAATGAACAAAGAGATGATGAAGTACACAACATACCCAATGGCACATGTACTCGAGATAGTACTTCATCAGCTTGGCCTCGCGCCAGCTGTGGAGCGGAAAGGGCCGGCCCAAGAACGCATCGTTGGGAGTCGCCAGCGAGAGCCCGGAGGCCGAGGGAATGGCAGACAAGGACCGCTGATCCAGGTTTCGGTAGCTGTGCAAGCGGCTTCCCTTGGATTCCAGCACCATCTCGACCCGGCTGTGCCCTCGAGGGCGCTGCCATGGGCCCAGCTCTTGGCGGGGAGTGGGCGGGCTTAGCGATGCACGCCACGCAGCACCACTTGCTTCGGGGACATCGTCGTCGTCGTCACCATACAGAGCCTCAATGTCCCTTGTTTCGTCGACAAAACGGACTGGAAGGGGGGGGGGGACCGTCAGTGGCCGGGGGCATCTGCCGTCACTTGGGGGGACGGGGCAAGATACCTCGACGCGGGTAAGCTACCCAGCGATGGTTACCGAAGTCGATGAGCCTTGCCGATGCACATGGGCTGGTCAGTGACTGGCCGTGGGGACAGAAAGAGTACAGCGGACTGGTTTAGTACCGGGTCGGGTAATGCCTGAATCGCACGTTTAAGCCGCGCTCGCATCTGAGTCCGCCCACGGTACACCGAACGCATCCAGTCAAGGCGCGGCCGTCGGAGGAACAGGCGGCGGCGGCGGCATCGATATTCCATTCGCACTTGAGGTGTTTTTTCCGGCATCCCTGCGGCGAGGCACAGACAGCATGTTAGCGACGGCCAGGTGTGACGACGGCTCCCTCCCCGCACTGCTTGAACTCCCTCAGAATCTTGAGTCTGAGTCGAAGGGAAACAGGGGAGGGGGTTCCTCCACGCGTCGGACGAAGCATGTCCAGGCGACGACGCGGAAGGCCGGAGTCCCGTTTGTGTAAGTGGCGTCTTACCGAACAAGCAGCGTTGGCAGCCGGGTCGGCGGCCCCGGTCATTGTGTTGATTGGACGCCTCCAGAGGCTCATGCTGGCCGGCGGCCGGCAATGATATATCATCCTAGCGTGCCAGGGGCCCAGAGTCATGGCCCGGCAGACGCCGGCGAAGCTAGCTGCATCGAGTAGCACGGGCCCTCGGGGCGCCGCCGATTCGATGCTCTCGCCGAGTCGGGAAGGCCTCGGCGGGCTTGTCCCTCTTTTGCCGTCGGCTGTTCTCCTCTGGCGGGCATGAGGGTGTCGTCAACACCCCGGTTACTCGTCGTCATTCTCAGAGGCCCTTCCTTGCATGCTTTCCATCATGCCAAGCTATCGATTCTTTGTCCCCAGCCTTTCACGTAATTGCTCAATCATCATTGGTGGTGGCGGATGAAGATTACCAAAGAGTGAAGAAGAAGTGATGGAATTGAAATTGCTAACAGGAAAGACAATCAGGTAGAAGCTCTCCTCTCCTCTCTCCGCCTTCACACCCACCCAGACACACACCCGCAGCAGCAGCAGCCGCACAACCCATCGATTCGGGTACGCAAATCGCCCCTTCGGTACGCCGGCGCGTGCACAGACGCGACGGGCGGCAGGTTCTCACTTCTCTTCTAGAAGCGCCCCGTAGGTTTCCTCTCTGAAACGACTGCAACTGACATGGGCCAACAAGTCCCCGGACCAGACCGTTGCGCTTCTGCACCACCTCGGCGCACGCTCCCCTGACCCGATCTGGACCTGGCCTCGTGACTGGACATGGTGGTGGGTTCGCCAAAACTCCTGGTCAATCACGTCGGCGTCCTTTTATCCTGCCGCCGTTTCAGGGGCTCTCCGCGTGTTTTGGTTGTGGTGAGATTGATTGAGACATGGGCCGTGGCCGGCGACGGCGTAGTGCAATCATTGCAGCACATTATTGTCGTCGTCCAGGTCCATTGTCAAGAGTACCGGTATGTATGTGGGTGTGTCTGCGTGTGTGCGTGCATCCATGGGGCCTAATGGGCCTTGGCATCTTCATTCTCCCCCATCCCCATCCTCCTCATCCTCCCCTGCTCGCCCCCCCCCCTTCTCTTACCCTAATCCTGGTTGCCCCTCCTTTCCCCGGTAGCGCGGCTCCATCAATGTAGACACGAGTGTGCAGAGAGTAATAAGAGAGACGAGAGAAGCTGATTCCAGGAGGCCGATCAAACCCGACGCCACCAAGCATCTGGGAACCCGCAGCAGCCCCATGGGGTCGAGATTTTTAGGCTCTTGGTGGGTGGACCGTTGAGCCGTGTCTCCAGACCACCTTGCAGGCATTGGGGATCCGGGGTCAGAGCCGTTCGGGGGACTGGAGAAGAACGAGGCGTCACAGCAGCCGTCTGAGCATAAAAGCATCATCACCTCGCTTCAACTTGCCTCGTTGCTACCCCTCCCCCTTCTCCATCCAGTCTCTTGAGATTTTACCACTCCCGAGACCGCTGCTCGCTGCCTCAACACTTTTTCTTTTCCATCGCCTTCTTTCTCGCGCCGTTGCTTAAGCCTTCTCCCGTCGTCTTTCCCCCAGCATGAACAAGAGCCTATCTGACGTCGCCGACGCCGAGCACAAGGAGAGCGATGTCTCTATCAACTTGAACACGGAGCCCTACGGCCCCCCGGGTGCGTCGTCCTCTTCCCGAGCCTGTCTGGACGCTTCCGCATGCCGAATGAAGCTGACCGGCCTGTTTGTAGGCTTCAAGGGCATTGCCGCATCCCGCTACGTAGCCTTGTGCGCCTCCTTCAGCGCCATTGGCGGCCTTCTCTTCGGCTACGAGTACGTTCTCGTGACCCTGGTCTCGGTGGCCTTCCTCGAGCGCCCTATTTGGTGTTGAGGCTGACTTGCGGAAACCACAGCCAGGGTGTCATCTCCGTCATCCTCGTCATGGACGAGTTCCTCGGGCGCTTCCCCGAGGTGTCCGAGAGCGCCTCTGGGGCCGGCTTCTACAAGGGCCTCATGACGGCCATGATCACCCTTGGCGCCTTTGTCGGTATGACGTGACGCTTCATTCCCCCGAAAAGCCTCGCTCAACCGCTCACACCCCGGACCAGGTGCCTTTAACCAGGGCTGGATCGCCGACGCCTACTCGCGCAAGCGCTCCATCATGATGGCCGTCGTCATCTTCACCTTTGGCTCCGCGTTGCAGACAGGGTCCATCAACTACACCATGCTGGTCATTGCTCGCCTCTTTGGCGGCATCGGCATCGGCATGTACGTGCTCTCCTAAAGCACTCCCTTGTTCAGCTTGAAATGACTTTACATGTTGACCTGGTCGTGATCAAGGTTGAGCATGGTCGTCCCCCTCTACATCTCCGAGATATCCCCTCCTGAGATCCGCGGCACCCTCCTCGTTCTGGAAGAGCTCAGCATCGTTCTCGGCATCGTTGTCTCCTTCTGGATCACCTACGGAACCCAGTACATCAAGTCGGACTGGTCGTGGCAGCTGCCCTTCCTCATCCAGATCATCCCCGGCCTGGCCCTCGGCTTCGGCGCCATCTTCCTGCCCTACTCGCCCCGCTGGCTCGCCTCCAAGGGCCGCGAGCAGGATGCCCTCATGAACCTGGCCAAGCTCCGGTGCCTGCCCACGACCGACTCGCGCGTCCAGCGTGAGTGGCTCGAGATCATTGCCGAGGCCACGTTCCAGAAGGGCGCTCTGGCCGAGCGCCATCCTGCCCTCGTCAACGGGGCCGGCATCCAGAAGCTCAAGCTCGAGCTCGTCTCGTGGGCGGACTGCTTCAAGAAGGGCTGCTGGAGGCGAACCCACGTCGGCGCTGGCCTCATGTTCTTCCAGCAGGTAAGGCCCCCTGCGTGGACCCAATGCCATCCCCGTTTCCGGGCAGCGTCGCTGACATGGAACCAGTTTGTCGGCATCAACGCCTTGATCTACTACTCTCCCACACTCTTCGGGTACGTTCAGAATACTCCTGGCCGGATGCTCTGGCCACTGCTAATCCAGCCCTCGCACAGGACCATGGGCTTGGACCACAACATGCAGCTCATCATGTCGGGCGTCCTCAACATCACGCAGCTCTTTGGCGTCGTGTCCAGCCTGTGGACGCTCGACCGTTTCGGACGGCGCAAGATCCTCATGTGGGGCAGCGTCGGCATGTTCATCGCGCACTTCATCATCGCCATCCTGGTCGGCCTCTACTCGAGCAACTGGCCCGCCAACACCAGCAAGGGCTGGACCAGCGTCGCCTTCCTCCTCTTCTACATGCTTGCCTTTGGCGCGAGCTGGGGGCCGGTGCCGTGGGCCATGCCCGCCGAGATCTTCCCCTCGTCGCTGCGAGCCAAGGGCGTTGCCATTTCTACTTGCTCAAGTACGTCCTCCTTTCCCTGCCTTATTCTCAACTCGGTACAGCTTCTAACGATGCTTGCTTCATTGTAGATTGGATCAACAACTTTATAGTGGTAAGCCTATCCCGGGACTCGTCGACCGTCACTTGTTCCTCCGCTGACTCGACTCCAGGGCTTGATCACGCCGCCTCTGGTGCAGAACACGGGCTTCGGCGCCTACGTCTTCTTCGCCAGCTTCTGCTTCCTGTCGTTTGCATGGACGTTCTACTTTGTGCCCGAGACGGGCGGCAAGACGCTCGAGGAGATGGACGAGGTCTTCAAGGACTACAGCAGCAGCGAGGAGATGGCGCGCAAGAGCAGGCTCTTGGCCGAGACCATCCGGGAGAGGTCAGGGCGCAACGAAGCGGCGTAGGCGGGTGTCTTTTGTACGTGTTTTCTTCTTCAACGGTCCACGGTCACGTTTCGGTACTTTTTTTTTTGAGAATATGAGTGGTTACGCGGAGCGGGAAGCGACTTGTCTATACGATTTCAATTCACGACTTTGACTTTTTCAACAAGAATTTCTCTTTATAGTCACAATCAAAACATGTTGGAGCCGGTATCTTCATTTTCCGGTCTTGCACATGCTCGCCCACTGTAAACGCATGGCAAGTCATTATTCATGTTGGTATCTTTAAGTCCAATTCGCCTATTCCTCGCTCAAATATCCAGGTAAAGCATCGCTTCGCTCACATGCCCAATATCGTCGCTCAATTTACATACTTGTGAAAAACATAGCAAGAACAAGAGTCCCAGATCTCAAGAGCCCATCTCCGCCATTTCCTAGCTTCTACCACGCAGCCCGGGCCAACAGACCCTCGGGATATTTCCTGACCCAGTAGCGCCTCGCCTCGTCGCCGATGATGATGAACAGGCCAAAGGCAAAGGGCAGGAACCAGTGCTCAACGGGGACGGCGGCGGTGCCGATGACGGCCTGGATCGAGGGCGGGTACAGCCATAGGACAGCCATGCCCAGGGCGAAGAGGATGGAGGGGAAGAGGTACAGGTTCTGCGTCTCGCGGTTGAACAGGGGCGGGTGCTGGAAGATGCTGAGGCGGCGGGTGCGCGTGGCCATGAGGTTGAACCACTGCATGACGACGAGGTTGACAAAGTAAATGGACGACGCCTCGGCGAGCTTGCGGTTGTAGTAGTCAGGGTCGATGGAGGCCGGCAGCTTCCCGAAGCTGAACCACAGGTCGCTAAAGGGGATGCCGTTGCGCTGCAGGTACCAGTAGGCCATGGCGAACGAGGCCAGCGTCTCCAGCATGCCGATGATGCCGTAGGCGTGGAAGATGAGCTGCCAGTTGACCAGCCGGTCCTTCTTGACGTTTCTGGGCCGGCGCAGCAGCACGTCGGCCTCGGGCTTTTCAAACGACAGGATCGTCGCCGCGGCACAGTCGGTGAAGCAGCTGAACGAAAGTATCGGTCAGCTTCGAGCACGAAAGGTCCCCAACATGACAGGAAGGTGTGTCGAGATGAACGTACCAGATGATAATCATGAGGAACGAGGAGAGAATCTGCGGCAGGCCAAAAAGAACAGACGTCATGACGGGCCAGAACTCGGAGAAACTGCCAGCGGGGAGCAGGTATGCAATGACCTGATGATCGAGTCAGTATGAGACCTTTAAAACCAGACATGCTGGTATTCATGAGCTGTGTGCAACAATTCTCTCACCTTTTTCAGGTTATCAAACACAACTCGTCCGTACTGCACAGCGACAACAACAGAAGAAAAGGAATCCAAAAGAACCATGTCGGCAGCTTCCATGGCAATGTCGGAGCCGCTGCCCATGGAAATGCCCACATCGGCAGCCTTCAGCGAGGGCGCGTCGTTGACGCCGTCGCCCGTCATGGCCACGACGTTTTCGCTCTGGAACTCGCGCACGATGCGCAGCTTCTGTTCGGGCGTCGTGCGGGCAAAGACAATCTCCTCGTAGGCCGTCAGCAGCTTCCACTGGTTGTCGTTGAGCGCCGTCAGCTCCGGCCCGCTGATGACAATGGCCCCCCGGGACCCGGCCCAGCCGGGCTTGGCCTCGTCGGCGTCGTCAGAGCCCGAGCCGACTTCCGGGTTGCGCTCCAGGCTGTCGGCCGAGTCGACGTGGACGCAGGTGACGATGCCGGCCTCGCGGGCAATGGCCAGCGCAGTGAGGGCAAAGTCGCCCGTGACCTGCAAAGTCTCAGCACATGGGACGGACTTTAAGCTCTACATACAGAGGCCAAGACGGGCGAGCGTCTTGTTCTCCGGAAACTCACCATGGCGAATCGGATGCCGGCTCCGCGGAGGGTAGCGACGACGTCGCGGATTTCCGGCCGCAGGGGGTCGACAATGGCCACCAAGCCGACGAGCGTCAGGCCAGACTTGGCCTCGTCCATCATGCCTTCTTCGTATCCTGTCGTGCCCGGCTGGTCCACGACCCTGTCGACTGGCACTATCTTGCGGGCCAGCAGCAGGCACCGCTTGCCCTGGGACGAGTAGATGTTCTTGACGCGCTCAAAGGTGGCGGCGACATGCTCGTCGAAGGGCACGATTTCTCCCGAAGGCGCGAGATACTCGGAACACCGCCCGATCAGGACGTCCGGGGCGCCCTTGACCGTCAGCAGCCTGCAAAGGGAGTCAGCAAAAGGCCCATGACAGCAAGCAAAGACGTACAAGTCTTGGTCTCCGAAATTCTCGGCAGCTTCGCCGTGCAGCGTGTGCTTGAGCGCCTCGCGGCGGGATATGCTAAAGCAGCGAATCATAAACTTGTTCTTGCTGTTAAAGGCCAGCTCAAAGACGCGGTGCCAGCAGGCGCGCAAGTACGACACGTTGCCGTCAGCGAGCGACTCGGAGAAGCGAAGGACGGCCGTGTCGGTTGCGTCGCCAAAGACGTTGCGCTGCTCAATGGGCACGTCTGGCTGGGCGGCGTCGATCTCGGCCGCGTTGCAGAGGGCGGCCAGGGCGCCGAGCTGGAAGAACGAGGCCAGAGAGGATGCGTCGTTGCCGCTGGACTGGTGCGAGGCAATGTCCTCCTTGAGCGAGTTGACGGACATGTTGACGGCTCCGATGGAGCAGTCTGTGAGAGACATTTTGCCCTGCCGAGATACTCAGTCTCCGAGTTACGATGCCAAGTCTGCCGTTGCCACGGTGAACCTACCTGGGTCAATGTCCCCGTCTTGTCGGAGCAGATGACGGATACCGAGCCCAGCGTCTCGACCGTCTTGAGGGACTTGCAGAGGACCATGTTTTTCCTCATCATGTTGGCCGTGATTGTCAAGCCGGCCGTGATGGCAATGGGAAGGCCCTCGGGGATAAAGGCGACGGCTACACTGACGCAGTCGACTATGAGCGTCGCCACGTTGATCCAGTTGGGGTAGTCTCGCCTCAGCCAGGCTCCCCTGCATCCGTCGACTTGGTCAGTTGGCTCTGGGCGAATTGCGTCTTGAACAGCCGGCACACTCACCAGACAATGAGGACGACGGTGATCATGGTAAACATGATGGCGCAAATGAAGAGGACAAAGTAGAGCACCTCCCTCTCGAGCGTCGTCATCTTGGGGTTCGGCTCGTTGGTCAGGGTGGCGATGCGGCCAAAGACGGTGCGGTCGCCCGTGGCCACGACGATGCCCGTGCCGGAGCCGATGATGCAGTGCGTGCCCTGCAGGCCGATGTTGTGCGTCTCGAGGTAGTTGGAGTCGGTGTGGTTGACCGTGGCGGCAATGGGGCGCGACTCTCCCGTCAGCACCGAGCGGTCGAACTTTGCGTCGGAGGAGATGTCGATGAAGCGCAGGTCGGCGGGCAGCTTGTTGCCCGACTTGATGGAGACGACGTCGCCCGGCACAAGGCTCTCGGCGGGAACGAGGACGAGCTGTCCGTCTCTAGTAACCTGGCAGTGCTCGGGGAGCATGTCCTTGATGGACGACATGACGCGGGACGTGGACCAGTCCTGGAACATGGCAAAGGCGGCCTGGATGAAGAAGACGGCGAGCAGGACAATGGCCAGGGCCTATGCGTCCAGGTCAGCTCACCGGTGCATCCATCGAGTTTACATGCAGCGTCAATGGGCGGCATACCAGGTTGGCCAGCGCTGGGGGTTGGCCCAGGGGCCGCCAGGAGATGAAGACGAGGATGCTGCCGATGAGGAGGATGCCGCCAAAGCCCTTGAAAAAGTAGCCCAGGATCGTGAGCGTCTTGTTCGTCTTGGGGGGCGACGGCGCGTTCCTGCCGTACTCATGCAGTCTTCGCTTGGCCTGGTCGTCGGAGAGGCCGCTCGAGGCCGACGTGACGAGTCTCTGGGCCACGTCGGCGGGCGTGATGATGTGCCATTCGAGGTCACTGAGGTCTGGGGGCCACGCTTAGTCGGCACGGCCAGCCAAGAGCAGAATCAAAGCTGAGTTGGGGTCTGTCTGTCTACCTTTGGCAGCCGTATCGGCCGCGCGAGCCAGCTGGGCCCGATCTCTCCCCTTGGACTCCTCGATCTGGAACGAACTGTGCGCGCCAGCTCATGTCAGCGCACGCGCACACACTCTGGGAGGCGGCATTGAGCATACACCGTCCGGTACTGGATCGGGAGGGTCAGGGCAGGGTCGACGGGCCCTCTCGAGTGGATGCTGCGGATGGCGAGCGAGTCCGCCGAGTTGGTGCGGCTCAGCGGCGGCCGCGAGCGGCGACGGGACCTGCCCTGCTCCTCGTCATCACGCCAGTGGACGCGCTCGTGTGTCTGAAGCTCTGCGGGCTTCTCGGAAGACATGGCGGCGACGGCCTGTGGGAGGGGGAGGAGGAGGACGGGGGAGAGGAGGGGAGGGGAGACGAGAAAGGGGCGGTCGAGAGTCGACGAAAGAAATGGGCAGCGAGCAAGCAGGTACAGTATCTCAAACGCAACTACAAGCAAGAAGACGGGCTCCGTGGCATGGGAGGCGCCGATAGTTATATCCTGGGGCCACGGCGCGAGCCACCAGGTCCGGAATCAGCGCTCCTCCTTGGTCGGCGGCGGCTCCGAGCTGATGGTGCTGCTGATGGCGATGCCAGAGCTAGAGCCGCCTCTCCTCGTCCTGCTCTGCTTCTCCACCACCACCTTGTCGAGTGTCGGCCGACGGCGCCTGGACCGAGTCGCCGCTCACGAGCATGGTCATCATCGTCATCCGAGAGAGAGAAAAAAGGGGGACCTGCCAACAGCGCCCATCACATGTGAGCGGTGACGATGCAGCCAATCGCAGGAGGTCGGATTCTTGACTCGCAGCGGTTTGGGAACCAGGAGGCTAAGCTGAGCCGGAGGGGGGTCACATTACGGCGGAGCTGACGGCGTGAGGACGAGCTTTGTTTCTTTCCTCCATGGCAAGGGTCGAGGTATCGAGCTTGAGGCTCGGGGAGCATGTCAGTATGAGCGATATACGTCGTCGCAACTTTGCCATTTTTTTTCTCCATCCAGCCCTGCTGATTTCGAGGGAGAGACGGCCGCGTTCCGGGCAGGCAAGGCAGAGAGGCTGTGCACACGCAGAGGAGAGTCGGGCTCCGATTTTTATTTATGACAGTACTCTGGTCTTTATGCCTCACCCGTGCTGGTGGTGATGTGTGTGGCCAGCAAGCCCATGCAAATCGACTCGACTTTTCCCCCCTCGCTCTCTACCGCGAACGGAGTCCCTGCCGAGTTTGAACAAGAGTCCCGTCTTGTTGGCTCTGCAAAGGCCATTGCTCGGGCTTTTCTTTTCTCCTTGTGGTGGTGATAAATCACTCAAGCCGTCAGCCCGCTCCATCCATCTCGCCAGGCGCGGCTCCGTCACCATCCGCGTCTGCAAACTTGATATAGCTACAGGAATAACGCGGTGTCATTCTCTCGGCCTGAGACATTCGGCCTCTCCCCTCTGGCTACTAATAGGCGCGCTTCCCCGTGGTCACGTTCCCGTGCTAAGTTAGAGCCATGAACAAACAGAAAAGGCGATCGATGCAAGCCAAATCTTGCTGCGCCCGGAAACTATCGACTCCATGTCGTCAGCGGCCACCAGGGCCGACAAAAGGCGACTTTTGGGCCCTGGGGCTCGCCGCCTCTCCACAGCCAAAACTTTTGCGTTCGATTTTTGGTCCCATGGCCCATGGCGCGGCCGCTCGTCCGTGGATCATTTCGTCCCGGGGTCTGGACTCGTCGCTTCCACTACGGCATCGCATTGCCGCGGCGCTCGTGCCGTCGAGGGCCCCCAAGGTGAGAGAGGCAATTCGCCCAAAGTGCCTCGTGCACACGCATGCAGACACGTCATTCATTCACGTACGCTGCGAGGGAGCGGCCGGCATCAAGCCCCTTGAGGGCTTCTACGTCTTTGCCGCCGTCGAAATCCTAGATGCGGCTTTGTGTTTTGCTTTTGTCATGACCGAGGAGGGACTTGATGCCCGGCAGCACATGACTGCAGCGAGCCGTTTATGTCGAATGCGCAAAATGCCTCGTCCCGAGAGCTTTCGATTGATTGTTCCACGCAGAAGAAATGGCTCAGAGAACGAAGGCACTCCAAGTGACCAGATGCAAGGCTCTCGGCCAAATCTCCTTGCATCTGCAAGTCAGCAGATGCCGCCTCCAAACAAGTCTGCTTGGTGTCCAAACTGCATCAAGCCGCCAACGGCATCTTTTGACAAGTCGCCCGTGTCTCAGTCAGCCAGCGGACGATCGGGTGGATATCCGTACGGTAGCCGCCGCCGACATGTGTAATCTGCAAAATCCGAAAGTCCTGTCTTGTAGGCCCCAAATCGCGTGCGGGAATCGGTCCAGGCCACCCCTCAGCTTGAAGCTCCAAACCTTCCCCTGCGCGGATCCAAGCAAAACTCAATCTCAGCTTGTTGCTTGACGCGCGAAAGCCAAAAGCTTCAGTCCAACGCAGGTCCCCGAGCGGGATCGGGATGCAACACAAGACGGCGCAAAAGTCTAAACAGCTGGCGTTGCCGTTGCTTCTGTACTTGCTGCACAAGGCGAGCTGCATGGTGGCTCCCGTACCTGTACGCTTGATGCAGTCGCCGGTTGGCCGCAAGGAGGAGGCCGGTTTGTTGGTCGCCAATCTTTGCCGGTGGGACAATGAGGGCTTTGCATCTAGCCGGGGGCGGCTGCGTCCGGAGACGTCAATGGGTGGCGGCTGCCGGCGTCCGGTCCTGGCACGGCCACAGGGAGCGGGTGTCCCTCCTTGTTCGCCTCGTCCTGTCTTCCTTGGCTGATTTTTCCGTATTGCATATCCCCCTCCTACGTAGTCGTATTCCTCCGTGTCTCTGGAATGATAATGGCTGTTAGCGGCGTGTCCGCATTGGGCCCTGGCCGGGCTGTAAGCGGAACCCGCCGTGGGAGAAGCAAAGCCAAGCCACCGGAGCCCACACGTTGTCTGTGGTGACTGGTGAATCAAGCCCCCGTCGTAAACAATCAATCAGAGACATGGCCGGGTGCGGCCCGCTCGACGGCCTTGACAATAGCCCCGTCTCAGCCCGTTCGCCGGCCACCTTGGGCGTCTCTGGCCTCACGGCCTCGGCGTCGTAAAAAGGGCAATCATGCCGTGTGCGAGAATGTCTGTCAGTACACACGTGTAAGTGGACGGGGGACCTCAACCTGGCCCGAGCCACCAGTCTCGGGCTCTTTGCCGCCAAGGTGCCAGAGGGTCGATGGGAGTCCAACAAACGTTTGGCCTGGTCAAGGCAACGGGGGAGGGGCGGCGGCCATTATGCTCAGCCGGTCGATGCGGTCGACGATGACGGAGAGGCGTCCAAGCCGTCTTGCGTCCTGAGCCCTTCTGCCCGCCTCCACTTGTCTCTTCGGCGGCCCGACGCAGCGCTGGGAAAGTTGGCAGGTCAAAAAGTCCGTGTGCGCAGGTAGTTGAGTGTTGGGCCGGGGACTGCTGTCGATCTCTGGCACATGGTTTTTATTGGGAGAGATGGTGCCTACTTAGGCCATACGTAATTACCAGTCATCCATTTGGAGGTGGCCTCCACTTTTGGTGACTGGTACATACGGCCTAAGTAGGCACCATCTCTCTCAATAGTTTTTCGACGCAGTCTGTGCAGCTGTCCCGAAGCACTGATGTATAAGGAGAACATGACCGAGGTAACCAGACACTTTGAGGACACTTGACAGGCAAGAGGATGCCAAACGGTAGCGAGGCAAAAGCGCCACGGTGCAACGTCGACGGGCAAGTACAGGTCGGGGCCTGGCCATGGATGCATCCATCCAGCTTGTCCCTTGTGGGAGGGCCGAGGAAGCGAGCTTTTTGCTGGAGAAGCGCCGAGCCAACGACGCGGAATCGCTAGTGGTCCGGGGTCTGGGGGCAGGGGGGGATCTGCCTCTCGATCGCCGGCGGCTAACTGGGTAACTTGGTTCTTTGCTTTTCCCGTCTCCTTGGTCTTTCTTTTCTCGGCCAAATCCGCCCGGCCGGCCACGGGGCGACAGGGCATCATCTGCAAGCAAGCATGTGGTGGCGGTGGTGGTGGCGACGGGGGGCGTTGCATCCGCGGGTTGCCACCCAACAGGCTCGGGGCGGGACGCAAGATGCAACGTGCTGCACATGTCTCTCTGCGCCTCGGCGGCGAAGGGGAGCGAGGCGGACCTGCGCGGCTCTGGCCCGGTCCCTTGCGTGTGTGGCGCTGGTCGGGGTCACGATGATTCCGGGATTCGGGGAACAAAGGCTAATTGGACCGAGAATGGGCCCTAGGGGCGGGGGAGACCTGTAGGGATGGTGTTATTTTTGAATTCAATTATACATACGGGACTGTTGTTGTTGTTGTTATTATTATTATTATTGATATTATTACCTTTGTTATTATGCTCCCCAGCATTGGCCTCGCATTGCATGACTTGGGAAAGAAATGAGGGGACTGGGGAGAGGGGGGGAGGGGGAGAGGGAGGGGAAAGGCGGGGGAGCATGTTGGCTTATCACCTACTGTATGTTCAGTCCAGTACAGTGCAGTACGGTAGGTTTACTGCTCTCGCTTGCATCTGCCAAAGGGGCCATTTGTTCCCGTACATGTATGTCATGACATGCAGACTCTTGTTGGCCGACATAGCGCTGAACCGCTGAAGCCATGGCCGACTCCTTCGCTCCTCGTATTGTTTGTTGCCCGCGCATAATAACCAGCCATCATTAGGTTTCCCCCAGGGCATTATGCGCCTGCGGCGGAGCGGAGCGCCGCAGGAAAAGGGAACTGCTCCATTCCGGGGGCATTGCCCACAGAATTCTCTGCTGTCCTCGTGACGGGCAACGACTCAGGTTCCCTCTGGTCTGGGCCCCCCGTCCCTGTATTGACTGTATCTGTACTTCCTTTTTCCGGGCCCCGCTGCGGAGAGCCGCGGACGACGTGAGGCTGTCGTGATTCCCCCCACGATGCCGGCGGCTTGTGCTTGACAAGCCCGCTGCACACACATGTTTGCGACGGCACGTGGCCGGCAGAGCCGATGGCTGTATTTGTCCTGCAGCCTGTTGCAGAGCAAGAGGTTTGTGTGCGTGTTTCAGGCCTAGCCAGGTAAAAGTCTGCGACAGCCGAGGCTGTAACAGCCAAGCCGCTTGTTTTACCTCGTTGCCCGTCTTGTACGGATCCGGCAGGCCATGGTCACATCTGCGGGCCCGGACTCTTGGGCAACCTCTGGTGCGCCGGCCAGACTCCGGACAGCACGCATGGCATCGTCCCCGGTTTCTTGGGGGAATCACGCGGGGAACAAGGGGGGGTGGGTGGTGGTACGGCAGGGCATAAGGTGCCAAGTGTGTCTGGCAGTGTGCGCCTGTATGTAACCAGACGGGAGCCAACAGAGTTTGGCGTTGAATTACACTCGTCTATTTTGCTTCTTGCTTTGTTGCTCTAAAAAAGACTATTCCCGAAAGTTTGATTCATTCTTGTCGTGACAGTATTCTTCCATTTCATCGATTCACCTGGACCGACAGACAGCCCACCGTGAAATCCCCCCCCTCCCCCACGACTTGTAGAAACCAATGGACAAGGGAAAGCCAGGCCAGCAGAGCCATTTCAAATAACCGAACCAAAACGGCCGGCCCTTCTCGGCGCTTCTCTGGCGGGCAGTGTGGGTCATCCACCCACTATATTCGGCCTTACCTCGTAGCCCAGGCCCTGCAACTGCGCTGCACTGGCGCCCCCATCCCCACGCGGCTTCCCCGGACGCAAGCGCGAGGTCTCGATGCAGAATCGCTGTAACAGCGGTTTCTCCCCTGAAGCCTCCCCCCTCTCCCCTCCTTCTTCGGGCAGTCTGCAGGCGGCGGGCCTTGCCCTGTCCCTGTTAGCCTCGACTGAATTCGATTCGAGGCCGCGCGATTCCCCACGACATGCAAGCGCGCAAACAGCCAGATGCATCCACCTCGCTCGACAATAAATAAAAAGTCGACCTCGCCCCGGACCCGACGATCGTCTGTTGTTTCTTCCCCGCTTGTCCATCATCAATCCTCTGCAAAGGCCTCGCCTCGCATCCTTCCTCCTCTCCAACGAGGTTGACGAGACGATTCGTCCCCTGTGTCTCGCCTTTTGGCTCTTCTGACTCGACACCCCCCCTCCGACTCTCGTCGCCCATTCCTCTCTCTCCCTCCCGCCCAGGAACCAGAGACAAAAAAGCCTTCTTTTTCTTCTCTGGGACACAACGCACAGAGACACATCTCGGAACGAGCCGACAGCATCATGTCTGACACGGTCAAGACGGGCGACGATCGCCGGGCCTCGGTCGCCCTCCACACGGCCCGCGATGTCGAGCACATCGAGGCGCCCGTCACCTGGAAAGCCTACCTGCTCTGCGCCTTTGCCTCGTTCGGCGGCATCTTCTTCGGCTACGACTCGGGTTACATCAACGGCGTCCTCGGCTCCCAGATCTTCATCAACGCCGTCATGGGCGAGCCCGGCCACAAGCAGGTGTCGGAGAACTACAGCTCCCTCATCGTCTCCATCCTCTCCTGTGGCACCTTCTTTGGCGCCCTCATCGCCGGCGACCTTGCCGACATGATGGGCCGCAAGTGGACCGTCATCATGGGCTGCTTCATATACATGCTGGGTGTCGTCATCCAGATGATCACCAGCCCTTCCGCTGCTCTGGGCCCCATGGTGGCCGGCCGCCTCGTCGCCGGTCTCGGTGTCGGCTTCGAGTCTGCCGTGGTCATTCTGTATATGTCTGAGATTGTGAGTTTTCCCCAAGTCTCTCGCGCGTCGACAGAGAGTTCGCTGACCGTCGCTCCTCGTCATAGTGCCCTCGCAAGGTCCGCGGTGCTCTCGTCGCCGGCTACCAGTTTTGCATCACCATCGGCATCATGCTGGCGTCCATTATCGTCTATGCCACAAAGAACTACACCGACACGGCCGCCTACCGCATCCCCATTGCCATCCAGTTTCCGTGGGCCCTGATCCTCGGCGGTGGCCTCATGTTCCTCCCCGACTCTCCCCGCTACTTTGTCAAGAAGGGCCTAATTCAAAAGGCCGTGAGCGCCCTCGCCCGGATCCGCGGCCAGCCCGAGTCCTCCGAGTACGTCCAGGGCGAGATTGCCGAGATCATTGCCAACGAGGAATACGAGCGCGCCCTCGTGCCCTCGACGACCTGGTTCGGCAGCTGGGCCAACTGTTTCCGCGGCAGCTTGTTCCAGGCAAAGTCCAACCTGCGCCGCACGATCCTCGGCACCTCTCTGCAGATGATGCAGCAATGGTAAGTTTTCTCTTTGGCCGCCTCTGCCATGGCGCACGTGCTGACCTCTGCATCCAGGACCGGCGTCAACTTCATCTTCTACTACTCGACTCCCTTCCTGCAGTCCACGGGCGCCATTGACAACTCGTTCCTCATCTCCATGATCTTCACCCTCGTCAATGTGCTGTCCACGCCCCTCTCCTTCTGGACCGTCGAGCGCTTTGGTCGCCGCACCATCCTCATCTCGGGCGCCATGGGCATGCTCATCTGCCAGTTCCTCGTCGCCATCATCGGCGTCACCGTCGGCTTCGACCACACGCACCCCGACCCGGCCGATGCCACCAAGGATATCGCCAACAACATCCCCGCCGTCAACGCGCAGATTGCCTTCATCGCCATCTTCATCTTCTGGTTCGCGTCGACGTGGGGCCCCGGTGCCTGGATCGTCATTGGCGAGATCTTCCCGCTGCCCATCCGCTCCCGCGGTGTCGGTCTGTCAACGGCGTCTAACTGGCTGTGGAACACCATCATCGCCGTCGTCACCCCCTACATGGTGGGCAAGGACCGCGGCAACCTCAAGTCGTCCGTCTTCTTCGTGTGGGGCGCGCTGTGCAGCTGTGCCTTTGTCTACGCCTACTTCCTCATCCCCGAAACCAAGGGCCTGTCGCTCGAGCAGGTGGACAAGATGATGGAGGAAACGACGCCGCGCAAGTCGGCCAAGTGGAAGCCGACGTCGACGTTTGCCAACACGATGGGCGCGGGCGATTACATGGAGAAGCCCATTGTCGAGGACCTCGAGCATCGCCGCTCTGCCGTCTAGACGGCCAGACTTGTCTTGTGCATTTTGCCTCGTTTTGCTTTTGGTTTTGCGCCATGTACGGAGTAATGAGCGGTCACACGACGGATGAGAGCATACCCCGGGGTACCCAGGCGTTCAAAGACATGAGAGGAATGCGTGGAGAGATTGACTGTTGGGTCGACCGCCAGTTTGATGTACATTCTACGCTAGACGTAGCACGTCAATTGTTTTAATGTTTGCCAGTGTCGAGTAGCCGTCGTTTGGTAGCATGTGATTCCAGAGACCTCGTAAGGTGTCAATATGAATGCCAGCCGCGGCAGATTGCACTGTCGAAAGCAAGACACGGTGTACTTGTCCGACTTTGTCCTTGATGCCTTGGCTGCGCTGCTTCCTGTAGAGTGATGCGCGCATGGAAATTTGCCTTTTTCCCCAAAACGGATGCCGAATGATTCCAATACAGGATAAAATAGCAGGGTTCTTAAAAATCTATTGCTTCATATGTGTGTGCGTGTATGTGGCCAACAACTTGTATGCTGAAGTCTCGAGACTCCATCCAAGAGGCCTCCTCTTTCCAAAGTCATCAATTTTTCCTGGGCCAAGTGTGTATATACCACAATAAGGCGGGGTTACTTCCATCAGAAGCATCTCCCATAGCTCAGTTGGCTAGAGCGTCTGACTGTTATAGGGTCGTTTCCCTGGTTTCCCAGGAGCGTGTCCACCAACGGTCATCAGGAGGTCGTAAGTTCGAGCCTTACTGGGAGAGCGCAGCACCTGTGTGCTTAATTTTTTTGCCAGGTTCGTGGACAGTTGACCCACTCTTTGGTTATCTGCGTCCGCGTTATTCATTCACTCGGGGTGGTTAACTCGGAATGGGCAGTTGGAGATGACACGGCAGCCGGACAAATGATTGTGCATGCCATGGCTGACTGCAGAGACGTCCTGGATCACAGGCGCCTCTCTTATCGCCGACGTCTGTAATTAATTACTCCGTACTGATGTTGCAGCTGCACTTTTTTCGGCGGGGCGCGCGCGCACAGAGATTAAATTCTGCCTTATGGTCGTTACCTTGGATTTGTTTTCTTAATTCGTTTCGCTTCATGCGCGCCTCAGCCTGTCCTAATCCTTCGGCTGACTAGACCAACTGCTCGCCCCTACTGTTCTGCTTCTTCAACGTACCGAGTGCTCCGCACATTATTGTGCTCAAGCCGTCCATCTACATACTGCGGACTCGGCCGGTCATCTGTCCCCGGCCCTGCTTCGCCCATCACCACCCCTCTCTCGTCCTCTCGCCCCCACCGCCGCCTCTCTATCATCAACACGCCTCCAAGCAACCGCGTCCGGGCACCGCGTCGACCATGCATAGGCCCGCGAGGTGACGAGACGCCGTTGCCGAAACAATCAGCAAAACAAACCAAAAAAAAATTAAAAAAAAAAAAAGAGGAAAAGGGAAAATGGCGTCGCGCGAGCCGCTCTCGCACGTGCTGCCGCCGCTCGTCCTGGGCACGGCCACGTTCAACACGCAGTATCACCACGACCCGACGCACATGCCCTACGCCGACATTGTGCGGCGCGCCCTCGAGCACGACATTGCCGCCTTTGACACGTCGCCCTACTACGGCCCGTCCGAGACGCTGCTGGGCGACGCCCTGGCCGCCCTGGACCCGCGCCCGCCGCGCGCCAGCTACTTCCTCATCACAAAGGCCGGCCGCATCGCCGCCGACGAGTTCGACTACTCGCCCGCCTGGATGCGCTACAGCGTCTGCCGCAGCCTCGAGCGCCTCGGCACGCCCTACCTCGACCTCGTCTACGCCCACGACGTCGAGTTCGTCGCGCCCGCCGACGTCCTCGCCGCCGTCGCCGAGCTGCGCCGCCTGCGCGACGCGGGCCGCGTCCGCTACGTCGGCATCAGCGGCTACCCGGTGGCCGTGCTGGCCGGCCTCGCCGAGCTGGTGCTCGAGACGACGGGCGAGCCGCTCGACGCCGTCATGTCCTACGGCCACTTCTGCGTCCAGAACGGCCAGCTGGGCCGGCCCGACCTACTGGCCCGCTTCCGCGCCGCCGGCGTCGAGTGCGTCCTCAACGCCAGCATGCTCGGCATGGGCCTCCTGACCAGCCGCGGCGTCGACAACGGGCCCATGGCCTCGTGGCACCCGGCCCCGCCCGCCCTGCGCAAGGCCTGCGCCGACCTGGCCGCCATCGCCGCGCGCCACGGCGAGCGCCTCGAGGAGGTGGCCATCCGATGGGCCCTGGAAAACTGGGCCCGCGTCGGCGCGCCCCTCGGCACCCTCGCCTACCCGTCGCGCGCCGTCGCCCTGCCGGCGCGCATCGGCGTCAGCGTCATGGGCGTCGCCGCCGTCGAGGAGCTCGAGGAGACGTGGGCCTTGTGGAAGAGCGTCGTCGGCGGCGGCACCGCCGAGCCCGCCGCCGAGGAGCGCAGAGCCAAGATTGCCGCAATCGTGGCCGGCTCCATGTGGCCCAGCCTGGGGCCGTGGAAGGACTTTGCGTGGGAGAGCCCCGGCGAGGCCTTTGCCAATCGGCGAGAAGCCCCGGGCGCCGTGCCGGACGACAACGTGGCGGAGCGATGGGGGCTGATAGCCAAGACGATGCTAGACAGCGCCAAAATATAACAATGCTCCGGAGTAGAGCGACAAACCAACAACAAAGAACCTTCAGCGTCATGGTTCTCCCTGCGCCCGGCTTGTATCCTCGGCGGGCTTTTCGAGCAGTGGCGTTTCAAAGAACATGCCATACGGAACGCGTCACTTGTTGGACCCTGCTCGTGTTGGGCCGTGGATTAGTTATGTAGAAGCCATGTAAGCACACGCAGCAGCCGAGACCCTCCCCCGCGTCGTATTTCGGGTTCGGCGGCCCCCCCTGCAGCGCCCGGCCCCGCAGCCCAGACCCGCTTTTGCCGGGCGTCGACGGGCTCCAGCACCGAGCTTGTGGTGATGCAGCAGCAGCACGGCCAACGACATGGATGGCTTTCAACGCTGGGCTGCCGCCGAAATCGACTCCTCTCGTATCTCGGTTCCGATGTGAACCGCCTCGCTTCGCCCCTGTTCCCCCCTCCCCTTCTTCGCTCCCCTTGGCTTGATATGGTCTCGGAAGCCACTCTTGACGGCTGTCATGGCCTTGCCATACGAGTATAAAGGGGAGAGAAGCAAGCCGTCAAGGCTCCGTAAAGCGCGGCCCACTGTCATCTCCAAGCGAAGCTTACACAAGCCTCCACTACATATCCGAGAAAACATCGAGTCTCGTCGTCATGATGAAGCACCTCTTGCTCAACCCGCTGCTCCTCGGCTCCCTCGCCTCAGCCCCGGCCTCGGCAATCCTCACCTGCCGCCCCGAGGGTCCCGTCTTGCCCAAGCCGCGCCTCCGGGACTGGCCGCCCTTGCAAGCCGCCGCCGCCAACTTGACCCGCGCCCTCGACGCCGTCGCCGTCTCCCAGACCGCACCCGCCGGCTGGCCCGTCGCCAACGTCTCCTTCTCCGTCGCCATCGTCTCGCGCGACCAGGGCGACGCGGGGATCCCGCTGTGGGAGTACCACCACCTGGCCGCCGCCAACGTCAGGGGTACCAGCACCCTCGACCGCGACGCCCAGTATCTCATCGGCTCCGTGTCCAAGGTCGTCTCCGACTACATCCTGCTCAAGAGTCCCCTCGACCTGGACGCTCCCGTGACGAGGTACCTTCCCAGGCTTGGCAGCTCCTCCTCTCTTGTGCGGTGGGAGGACGTGAGTCTGAGGATGCTCGCGTCGCAACTCTCGGGGGCTCCCACAAACTGTGAGTAGGCCGCAAGACGGTGTAGCGTCCATGTAGACCTACAGGGGGCGCGGATGCGCTGACCATGGCTGGAATCAGATGGCTTCTCCGAGTTCTACTACCTGAAGGACGTCTTCCGCGCGTACGGTTTTCCACACATCGAGGACGCGGCCTATCCCCCGTGCGGCGTCATAGCTCTCAACGGGCCCTGCTCTCAAGATGGCAAGCAAATCTGCCTCTTCCCAAGCCCCCATCGCGGAACGGCACGGGCTTACTGTTGTCGACAGACTTTTTCAAGGGCATGGCCGAGTCGAACCCCGTCGTGGCGCCCATGGAGCGACCAGCTTACTCCAACATTGCATTTACCATCTTGGCCCTGGCCATCCAAGAGGTGACGGGCAAGAACTATTCGCAGCTAGTCGACGAGCTGGTCGCCAAGCCGCTGCGCCTCCGCAACACGATGCCCTCCCCCGGCGACGACGCGAGGGCTGTCATCCCGCCGGGAGAGAGCAGTTGGGGCGTCGACTATGGCAACAACGCACCGTAAGCCTCTCCACCCCACGTCGAGACGACGCTGACCGGGTGTTGTTAGCGGCGGCGGACTCGTGTCTTCGCTCGCAGACCTGTCGAGGCTCGCCCACGGCATCCTCGCCCGCTCTATCGATCTCACGCCCAGTCAAACCCGCCAATGGCTCAAACCGCAGGCCTACAGCGGCGGCTACAGCGCCGTCGGCATGCCCTGGGAGATCTTCCGGCCGCACAACCTCACGCCCAGGCATCCGCATCCCGTCACCGTCCTCGGCAAGGGCGGCGGCGCCCAGTCGTATCACAGCCAGTTCTCAATCGTAGACGAGTACGGCATCGGGTTCATCGTCCTCTCTGCGGGGTCCATGGACGCCGCCTTGCTCCTCTACGACGCTTTGCTCGGCACCTTTGTCCCCGCGGCCGACGGGGCGTCCAGGGAGCAGGCAGAGGAGCAGTACGCGCGCACGTTCAAGGCCGGAGTGTGTGCCAACAGCAGCGAGCTCGAGGTGACTTTTGACCTGGACCAAGACTCTCTGCGAGTATTGTCAATGCGAAGCAACGGCTCCGACATGCTCGAGGCCCTGACAAAGGTCTGGTCCCTCACCATGGGCCAGTTCATGGGCAACCTGAGCCCTGCCGCCCGCCTCTTCCCCACAGAGCAGGATCAGGAGGCAACGCTGCGCGGCAGGCCTGTCACCCGCGAGGTGTGGCGCCTCTGGCCCGAGCTGGGTCCAGCAGCCAAGTCCCATCTTCCCAGCTCCGGCACCATGGCCGATGATTGCCTTTCGTGGACGCTCGCGGACTGGGTGCATTACGGGGGCGAGCCCCTGGACAGGTTCCTCTTCTACAAGGACGCCCAGGGCCGCGTGGTCGGTTTCGAGGCTCCGTTTCTGCGGTCGGGCATCTTGCCGCCCGCCGGGGAGAAAGGCCTCTGCTGAGGTCAGGCTTGACGATGCTGCAGCTGCTCGTCGTTGGGGATCGCCAGTTTTTCGCACAAAGTTAGTTTCCGTAGTCGTTATTGAATTGTTCATCCATTTAGACCGTCATCCGTTCTCGACACAGCCCGAAAGGTTTTTGATTTGTCCCGTGTAACAACTGATGATGCGAGAGGTGCGAGAGGGAGAGAGGGAGAGAGTGATGGATGTCGTTGGCGGCGCTTATATAAGCAATCCCGCAAGCTGAGAGCTCAGCTTCCTTCCACAGCCAACTCGCTTTCGCCTGTGACCACGACCAACTCTCCCTCAACCGGCCCGCGGGGCCAACACGTCGACGGCCGACCGACAACATCGCAGCCGAGAGCCCTTCCTCGACCCTCAATGGCAGGCGGCCCCAAATCCGAGGGCGCCGCCCCAGCTCGCCCCCAGACGACGCTGGTGCTCGACAATGGCGCCTACACGCTCAAGGCAGGCCTCGTTGCGCGCGGCAGCAAAGACGACGACACGGCCGCGCCCCTCGTCATCCCCAACTGCATCGCGCGCGACCGGGCGCGGAACATCTACGTCGGCGCCGACATCGACAAGTGCCGCGACTGCGGCGAGATGCAGTTCCGCCGCCCCGTCGAAAAGGGCTTCATCGTCAACTGGGAGGCGCAAAAGGAGATTTGGGACCATCATCTCTTCCGCGGCCCGCTCAAGTGCGATCCTGCCGAGACGCGCCTCGTCTTGGCCGAGCCGCCCAGCGGTCTGCCCGCGCTGCAGGCAAACTGCGACCAGGTCGTGTTTGAGGAGTATGGCTTTGCGAGCTACTACCGTGGTGTTGGTACGCAGCCTCCACCACCGGTTTTGACGGAGAGAACCGCTGGGCAGAGAGAAGGATGATGCTTCGGGTGTCGCATGGCTGACGCAAAGGTGAACATAGGCCCTGCTTTCAACGCCTACCACGACATCCAGGGCCTCTTCCAGACCCTCCGAGACGCACCAACCGTCGCCAACGCGCCCGCCGAAGTCGTCCTCGTCATCGACTCGGGATACTCACACACGACCGTCACCCCCGTGCTGCGCGGCCAGCCGCTTCACCCGGCCGTGCGCCGGCTCGACGTGGGCGGCAAGGTGCTCACAAACTATCTGACGCGCCTCATCTCCATGCGCCACTTTGACATGCGCAACGACACCTACATTGTCAACGAGATGAAGGAGCAGGTGTGCTTCGTCTCGGCAGACTTCAAGGCCGACCTCGAGGCCTGCTGGAAGGGCACGCGCGGCGACCGGCGCCGCCATCAGGGCCTCCTCGCCTCGTCCGGCGACCTCGTCAAGGACTATGTCCTGCCCGATTTCCACACCCGCGCCAGGGGCATCGTCCGCGACTACGACCCGGCGCGGCACTCTAAGGCGCGCAAGGTGGCGGCGGCTGCCGGCGCCGCGGCCGGCGCAGACGAGGACGTGGTGACGTTGCGCAACGAGCGCTTCGCCGTGCCCGAACTCATCTTCAACCCGTCCGACATGGGCCTCCGCCAGCCCGGCCTGCCCGACCTGGTCCAGCAGTCGCTGCGCCAGTTGCCCCTCGGCCTCTGGCCCGGCCTCGTTGCAAACGTCATCGTCGTCGGCGGCAACGCCCTCTTCGACGGCTTCATCCAACGCCTACAACGCGACGTGGTGCAGCGCCTGCCCGCCGACTGCGTCGTCCGCGTCGCCCGCCCTGCCGACCCCGTCACTAGCACCTGGCGCGGCGCCGCAAACATGGCCACCAGCGCGCACATGGACCGCGTCGCCGTCACAAAGCTCGAGTACGAAGAGCTCGGCGCCGCCCTCGTCGCCCGCAAGTTCGCCGCTGGCCTCCACGGCCCTTGAAACCCGCTGCCCCCTCAACTCGCCAGCTTCGCTCTGCTCGTGCTATTTTTAACGAGAAGGTCCCCGATCCCGTCTCCAACTAACCGCCCCCCGGATCCCAAAATGAAAAGGGGGGCTGCGAGTCACCAACTGCCCAGCCTGCCGAAGCACGGCACGTCGCGCCCCTTTCCGCGCAGCGCCGTCCCACCTCCACTGCTTCTGTGGATGTTCCAGAGAAATGCCTACCTAATTTTGGAAAAAGCACTCCCCCTTCAGGGTAGTGTTTGGAGAAACGTGGCCTGTGCCCGGACGTATGGGGCGCTTCCCCCCTCCAGGTTTTGCACCAAGGCCGCGACCAGTGGAGCAGCCTACACTGCGTGAAGGGGGCAGGGGAGAGGAACAGCTGCTACAGCTCGCGACCTGAGAATTGCCCTTGCACCGTTCGGGGAGGGCAGACCATGGGATGAAACCATGTCCTCAAAATGAGAAAATGCGCCCTGCAAAATCCATACTTGCGTGGGCGTGGCCACGGAGCCTGTCTCTCAAGAACCCCGTGTAGCGCTTGGCAAAGTCGAGACCACCGTACGACGAGCAAGTCGAACGCAGGATCCCAGGTTGGGATTCATGGATGCAGATGACGCGCAACTACAGGCTTCTTCCGGTAAGAGAGTGGTGTCTTTTGCATTTTAGAGGAGTACGTCCCTGAGCAAAAAGTAACAGAATGGAGATTGGGCTCCGGAGACTCAGTGTCCTCCGTCGCATCATGGCTCCCGCCCTTGTCCTGGTGACGATTGCCCCTTGACTGTCGCTGCTCTCGCCAGATCCGCATGACATGAAGTTCCATGATATCGTCGTGAATAAGCATGCTAGCATTTTCGTTCCGCCTCAACCCGTGTGGTGATGAACACTTCTTGGTGGCCCATGCCAACGCAACCAGATATTACCCCGGCGCACGTCGTCCTTGCGTACCGAGGACCCTCGCGAGGGGTCCTTTCAGTCGCATCAAAGTCACAGCCGCCCGAGGCCGCGGCCTCGAGAAACACACCCTAGAATCCACGGGTCAGCATCCTTGTCCCGCGCGCAGAGGAAAGTCGGTCAGGGAGGCATACAATCGCACTAGCGGGCTCGTTAGTGAATATCCGGTCACGACTTGTCTAGGGAGAGTTCACGTACGTGGCTCGCCGAGGATCCCTCGTTGTGGATGATGCAGTACCCACCGCAGCATTTCCTGCATACCCTCTGCGTTTGATCTATGCAAGAGTCGCACTATGAGTTCAGATCAGTGCCATTCCTTTCTGAGCCAGTGTTTGTGACGAGAGGCTCGACCCACGTTGTTGCCGCATTCCCAGCAGCTCTTGGAGATTCGGCTCTGCATTTGTCGCGTTGTCAGCGGGTCCCAAAGAAAGCAGAGGGGCCGTGTTGCTTTCCAATCGCTTGAAAAGGGACGGCCGGTTCGCATACAAAGTTGAGATACCTTTCCCGCCAGCTTGACAGCCAATGATGCCAGCCCCTGTCGTGAAAGTGATCCCAGTTCTCTGCTCATGTTGCCGAATCGGACTCGGTGATGCATTGATGACAGAGATTGTTTCGTACCTTGATCTTGGTAGCTGTCTGTACCAGTTCCAAGCTCTCGAGCGCAGGTAAAGAGTCGTCCTCGTCGTCAACTACGATGACGCTGCTGATGTCGGCCTGAACTTGTCCAGGGAGCTTGTAACACGCCTCGCACCACCACTTGTGGCACGCGATACAGTATCGCTCGCGGAGGCAGTCCATGCATCGAGCAACAAATGGCTGATGGGGCAACTGGGGAGAGGTGGCGGCGCGGATAGACGATGACAAGATTGGAGGAGGGGCGAGAAGCGGAAGGCTGGCTGGAGACGTCGACGCCGGATGGGCCAGACCCTCGGGCGCTGTGCCGCAGTTCTCGCAGCCGGACACTGCAAAGGTCGCAGCCGCAGGACCGCTGTCGGCGGGGAACGATGTCTTTCCAAAGGCATGGGAGTTGCGATGGCGAGGGCCCTGGCACAGGACCGCGTCAAAGGCGATGATGCCCTCACAGGCCACCATGCAACTGGCCCACTCGTCCGAGATGAGTCGCGATATGATACGGCCCCTCTTGGACCACCAAGCGTCGCCGTCCGGTCGGAGTGACGACGTCAAGGCCATTTGGCTCCTGTGGTTCCAGTCGACGCTCACGGAGGCGCAGTGATACTGGCCGGCGTTGGGGGCCGTGTCCGACGGATCCCTGGAACCAAAGATATATAGTGCCCTCAGCTTCGGAGAGTTTTCTGGCCTGGTTCTACGGCAGGCATACTGCAGGGCGCCCCGCAGCTTGCTCTGGTTGAGGTTCTTGACATCCCGGATGGACAGAATGCGGACGCTGAAGGAGGCATCGTTGATGATTTCGTGGCACAGCTCGGATGTCACGGAAAGACCGTCGAGAACAAGAGTCTGGACATGTTGGAGAATGTGGCGACGCCGGAGAGTCGAGAAGACGGCCCTCAAGGGTCCGGAGTAGAAGCTGCTCGGGCGGCCATCAGACACGGCAATTCATCGACACGGTCTCACGCGGCACTCACTCGTCCTCTGACAGGTTCTCGTCGAGCTGAGCATTGCGCCAGATGTTGCCGCCGCGATCGATTTGGTCAATGTCAAACTGAGCATTTTTGACCCGAGTGAGATCAAGGTGTCGGAACACGCCTGGGGTGTTGTATACGAGAGCTCTGGAAGCTTGGTCGGCCGCAGCTAGGTTCAGGATGCCCGATGCGTCGAGATGGGGGACAATGTTTGCGAGAACAAGGGAATTGTGCAAGACATCAAAAAGGCACAATGAGGTGGACTCGGGCTCTTGACGCGTTCGGCCGATGACGGTCGCTTGGCTCATGTCAGGCTGCCAGACTGTGGGACGAGCGTTGAAGGAAGGCTGGAGGGAAAGGCGACAAGTGGACGAAGACGGGTGTCGACGGCGGCGGCCTTGTGGTCTTTAAGGCAAGTGAGCGGGAATGGATGCTGTTGAGTGAGACAACGGTCGCCGTCTGGGAGGCTATGGAGAGTAAAGCCCAGCCGAAGGCATCTGGGGTGCGACATGAGATAAAGCTGCCGGGTAAGGTTATCTGATATGGGGGGTGCGCACGCACGTAGCCGACTGGGGCATTCGAGACAGTCATTCCGCCGCTCAAACGCGGCTATTGGCTGAAACGGAGGCGTGGCAAGTTGCTAAAAGCAGAGACGTGCTGGGTGCCGTGGGTCGCAGCCGGCGTGCAGATTTGACGCTCGTGCTGATTCGTGTGGAGACGTTTCCCGTCTCGGCCGCAAACCACGGGTGAGTGCCGAGATGGGGAGATCGAGACGGCCATGGGCGAGGGACCACACAGAGGCCAACACGCGTCGAGAGGGGGGCGGCTTATCGGACCATTGCTGGTCGACGTGATGGGATCATACGAAAAAAAAGGCCCAAGTTATCTATCCACCCACTTTCATTAACTGTACACCCAAAAAGTGGATTAACTGTGGCTGACGGCCGAAGAGGGCCGATACCGCCAATTTGTATGCACACATTCTCTACGATAAGTAGAGCCAGGTAGTAACAGTTCTCCTTCAACGATAAGGCACCCAAAATTGAAGCTATTCGTACTGCGCTTTCTATGCTGATGAGACTATTCTTTGGTGTTTACAACAGGCCTCCTTCTTCGAGTGCACTACGTGCCTGATCCGCTTCATCTAACTGTGATTCCAATTGATCCCATACATCCTCAAGGGCGGCATCGTCCGTGAGGCCGGCGACGAAGATGCAGTCTTGGGTCTCCCGCCGTACCGGCTGATCGTCATCATCAGAGACTGGCGTTTGACGCCCGGCTTGTTGATACGCCCGTTGCATCCGTGTGCCTGCCTCGTACGTATCGCCGTTTTCCTCGATGTGCCGCAGCCCTCGTTCCGTTGAAGTCATCGCGGCCGTTACCGTACCCGTCATCGCCGCTGGTGCCGTTGAGGAGGAGGCAGTCGTATAGCCTCAGCCCGCTCATGCCGTTCAGCGATCTCGTGATGTGACGGATCCCGCCGCGTTGATCTTGACCGCCGTGACTCTTCGAGGTTGAGTGAGCCCTTGGGGCGGCCCTTAGCCCTGATAACTTGTGGCTCGTATGGTGCCCGAGTAGGGCTTGTGCCCTGAGCGCTTGTATCGATCGGAATATACCAAAATGGGTCGAAGTCGTCGAGTGTAAGGGAGGTATTGGTGTTGATAGACTCGAAGATTCGATGGCAGCACGGTAGCCCTCGACTAGTAGCCCAATTACAAGGACATTGACCTGGCGGCGGTTTGGCCCGTTGACTTCGGGGGTCTAGAGGGATCTTGCGATGCTCATCTATTAGTAGCTTTAACGCATATGACGATACTCGCTCGCGGATCGGCATATACGGCGCCTGTAGGAGAACGTTGATATCTTGTGGAGGTTTCGATTCTCTATCGCTGTGATCTGAGCAGCCTGATGGCCCCAGAAGCGTTCGAATCGTTGGAAAACGGTCGTCAAATCGCCCGTACAGGACCAAAGGAACTTCTTCATATGAGAGTGAAGTCCTCGACGATCGAGGTCGTTGTACGCCCGAAGTGGCGATATTGATTAACGAAACAAGATACAAACTTCTCCTTCCAAGGCGTTAGCCACGTATTGCAACAGTATTGTATAGCTGCAAGCGGGTGGCGGCCTGGTGTCTCAAATTGGCGTAAACGTTCGTTGAAGCTATTCACATCTTGTGACTTGACGATCTCGTTCCACTCTTGTAGAAACGCTTGGAATGCCGGGGCCCGTACGACTCGATTGCCGATTTTTGATGCCTTAGGGAAAATTGCTTGCATTTCGCAACGACATTCTGGTTAATATGCCACGTGCAGAAGGTTAGTACTGTTTTGAAGCTCGCGAAAGCTATCTAACGCCTTAAGCAACGCAGTATCTCGGTCCGTGACAGTGACCCTTGGAAATGGGATCGACTCCTTCTCGCAAAGGACTAGCAGCAACGAGATAGCCCAATAGTAATGGGACTCGGTCTCGCCGTTCAAGAAGATAGAGGCAATAGAGAACGTTTTGTTATCTCGAGTGGCCGCGCAGATATTCAATAACGGCATATTGAATCGGTTCGTCTTGTAGGTACAGTCGAGGACGAGGACATCGTGATGCTGACGCCATCGATGGAAGGTAGCACGAGGCGCGAGAAATAGCCCAGTTAGCCGGCCCTGGGGATCACGACTATCTCGATGAAAGAAGTCGGACTTATCTAGCCGGTCGTAGAGAAACTGAAGAGGCGTACGGCCAGCTAGTTCTTCCTGACGGTGCCTAGCCAAGGCGTTACTCACGTCTTGAGCCGTGATACCGGCTAAACGAGGATCGTCGTGAACCAGGTCACGAAGCTCGCCAGCAATATCGGTCGGCCGGGTATTGTTATTAAACTTCCGGATAATGTCGTCGCGATACTTCTGGATAACAAGCGCCCGGTACTTCGGAAAGACCATCGGGTCATCAACAAGGCGATGATTGTGAACATCGTGAAGATAAGAGATAGTCCAGTAACCGCGTTTTCCTTCAACGAGAGGCGAAATTCACAGTCTGTTTTCTGGGTTGCTGTATTGAGGCGACGACGAGAGATATGAGCAGCTTTATCCTTCCGATTTTCGTAGGGGCCGGCCTTGATACAACGAACAAGTGCAGACTTGCGTTGGCCAGCGTTATCCCGCTTCGATGTTCGAATGTGTAGGGCGTAGCCCTCAGCCTCAACAACGGTATCGGCGGCTTCCATCGCGGCCTGGAAGGTCGGGAATAGTGTCTTCGTAAGCGACTCCATGATTCGGGCTCGTAAGGGCAGAAAACGCGGTGCGAATAGCTTCAGTTTTGATGGTATTGCTGATAGTTACGGTTACAGGATGTTGTTACGCAAGCATCACGAACTGGCCAGCTGGCCGGCCGGGAATGGGCGCACCAAAATTAGCGGCATCGGCACTGCGCCTGACCCAGCCACAGTTGATCCACTTTTTGGTGTACAGTTAATAAAAGGAGGTGTATAGATAATTGGGCCCAAAAAAAATCCTGGGTGCGGGTGGGGACGAATGGGCAGCCACGACGTAATGCGCTGACAAACGAGGTGCCGTGTAGGCGCATATCTGCCCGTTGCCCTCTTGGCAGGCGGGGCAGGGGGGGTTCATGTACCCTTGCACGCACTCGTGGCGGGCGGCGATACCTCAACACAAGTTTACTTGGCTGCCTAGAGGACGCGTCGTCGGTTAGACGGGTACGGATACCTGAGCTGGCCTACCGCCACCCAGCAACGTAGCGTCTTTGGTTGGCTAGACCAGGCCCTCGTCACCCAAAGCCGCTGCTGCAGCTTACCGCCTCATTACTGTACGGTATAGCCGTCCTCCTCATGTCCAAACTTCCATGTCATGGCCAGCCGAGTGTCGCATCCGAGAGTTCCACGCGCCTGCATATAGGCTTGATTGCCTGGGCCGTTTACCAGCACTCACCGAGTCCAAGCAGCCAAGCAATCCGTCGCCGGTGCCAGGCTCGCACTTGGACTCACAAGTTCCCTAGATCGGGAGACCAGACGGGCGGGAATGAAGAAGCTGTAGATGAGGCTGCATCGCCCTGGGGCACAGAGAACGAATGAGTCGCCAACCGTCGTGGCGCTGGTCAACGTTGGTTCCGTCAAGCTGCCCCAAAGACAGCACGTGACGCGTGCCGGGGGCGGATGGAACGTGCCGGAATCCGCTGACTGATCAGAGTCTCCCTCGAGTTATCATCAATCGCGGTCGCTGCCCTCCATGAAATTTAGTTGAACTGCCCTCGACTCTCTTTCAACCTTGCTTCACTTATTATTTAGTCATGGCCTGTTTTTTCCCACTCTGGTGTCCTCTGCTCCTCTTGCCGTAGCTGCCATGCCGTAGCTGCTGCTACTTGAACCACCACGCAACATCATCCTCGCCTGCTTCGCAGAACATAGCCGTTTCCCGCCCGCCATGGACGAGCCGGCTCGTCTTAGCTGGTCCCGCACCTATTTCGCTCTCTCACACACCTCCGTAGCCTCCAAGAACCCCCCAGGCGACAAGATCATCCTCCCGCAATCCGCCCTGGAGCAACTTCTTGCAGCCGCACCATCCCGTCAGCCATCCGGCGCCACCTTCACCTCCTTCGATCCTCTAAATCCACACAGCAATTCCCGTCACGAGAATGGCCAGCAACTTCCGCACCCTCTCACGTTCCGTCTGGTAAACCCGGTCAACAATAAAGCCGTATACGCAGGCATTCGCGAGTTTTCTGCTCCAGAAGGCACCTTGGGTCTCAGTGCCTTTTTGTCCGAGGCCCTGGGCATCGACTTGAAGGATACACATGGCACCGCGAGCTCCGACGGCAATGAGATGGCTTCCTCTGCGCAAATAACCGTCCTCGCCCACCAGTTGCCCAAGGGTACCTATGTCCGCCTGCGGCCACTTGAAGCGGGCTACAACCCCGATGACTGGAAGTCGCTGTTGGAGCGTCATCTCAGAGACAACTTTACTTGCCTTACCAAGAATGCGGTCCTCTCCGTCCCCGGCGTCCAGGGGGAGAAGTTCAACTTTCTCGTTGACAAGCTCTCTCCCGAGGGTGACGGGATATGTGTCGTCGACACCGACCTCGAAGTGGACATTGAGGCTCTAAACGAGGAGCAGGCTAGGGAGACGATGCGCCAGATCATGTCCAAAGCGCAGTCCGCCTCAGCCAACGGCACCTCCGAGGGCGGTGAGCTGGACATATGGAAGCACGTCCAGGGGCAAGTGTCGCCTGGCGGCTACGTCGACTACCTTCTACCGTCCTGGAATCGATCACAGCCAGTGGCCATCACGCTCAGCGACATGTCACGCCAAGATAGCCTCGACATCTTTGTCACCCCAAGGTCGTCTCGGCATCGGGCTTTGCCACGGGACTCAACCCACGTTTTTGGAAGCTTTGGCACTGCGGATCGCGGCTTTAAGCATGTGTTCATCCCTCCCGCGAATGTCGAGCTGGACGGTGCAGATGGCCTCCTCGTGTCAGTCCACGCACATCGGCCGGATGACGCCACTGAACAGCCCTCGGAGCCGATTACATACAAGCTTCGAGCCAAGGCAGCTTCCACTCATAACCCTGGCGATGGAACCACAAAAGCCGATAGCGAGGGTCACGACACCGACGACGTGCAATGCAGCAACTGTCTACAATGGGTGCCCCGGCGAACCATGGTTCTGCACGAAAGTTTCTGCCGCAGAAACAACGTCGTCTGCGCGCAATGCAAGTCCGTCTTCAAAAAGGGCTCCGCCGACTGGGAAGCGCACTGGCACTGCGACTACGATGACGCGCACGGAGACTCGGCCTCGAGCAGAGCCAGGCACGATGACGTGTTCCACAGGGAGCGCTCATGTCCGTCTTGCGAGTTTTCCACAAACTCGCTGCCGGACCTCGCAAGGCATCGGACGACCGTCTGTCCCGGCAAGCTGATACTCTGTCGATTCTGTCATCTCGAAGTGCCGCAAGAAGGAGACCCGTTTAACCCATCCCCAGAGGTTGTTCTCTCCGGGATGACGGCACACGAACTTGCAGATGGAGCACGCACCACCGAGTGCCACCTGTGCGACAAGATTGTTCGTCTTAGAGACATGGACACACATCTCAAGCACCACGAGCTGGACAAGGTCAATCGATCCAAACCCACCATTTGCCGCAATGCCAACTGTGGCCGGACTCTGCACGGCGTCGGGCCCAGGGGTCAGATGGGTGCCGGGACGGCTCAAGGCCAAGGGCCCGGCAACGAAATCGGGCTTTGCTCTCTTTGCTTCGGCCCCTTGTACGTGAGCATGCACGACCCAGAGGGCAGGGCGCTTCGAAGGAGGATCGAGAGGCGTTATCTCGGGCAGATGATGACGGGGTGCGGAAAGTCTCACTGCGTCAACGAATGGTGCAAGACTGGGAGAGCCAACGCCGGCCTCGAGTCCAAGGGGTCGTCTGCCCAAGCCATCCTGCCGTTGGTGAAGCCCCTGCTCGAAAAGGTCCCGGAGCCTGACAAGCCCATGTTCTTTTGCGTCGACGAGGCCAACCAGCAGAGGCGGAACTTGGCGATTATGATGGCCGCCGAGAAGGGCTGGGACCTGGAGTGGTGCGTCGCGGCAGCAGAGGCCGAGAAGGGTCGGGTAGAGAAGATGAGGGAGTGGCTGCAGGCTTGGGCGCCAAGGAGATAGAGCATGGTTGAGGCCGGCATTGGGCAATGGGAGAGATTGTGTTCGGGATATACCCGCGGGACGTTTCTTGGTTGTTTCCCGAGGCCCCTTGGTGATGGACCCGGGTCATGCATGCATATGGACGGAGTACAGGCAGGGATAAGTCATTTAGGCATGATGAAGCAGGTCCAGTCTTACACGTCAACTCGTAATGAGGCAATGCCCGGAAGATGCTCGCGCTTTGGGCGACACATGGCTAACACTGTAAGGCTTGAAAGCCGGCGGCTACGGCGCTCCTGTCTCGTATGACACCATGAAGAATGTGTCGAGGTATAGGGTAGGTCTGCGAGAGTGGAGAAATATATGAACCATCCATGGGAGTTTTCTTGGCAGACAAGGGATAGGACGCGGGGCTTTCGTGCTTATTGATTGGAAGTATCCATCTCTTATCGTCCTCCATTCGTGACCATCACCAATGCGTGTTGATGGCATGTTAGTTTGGGGATATCTGTGGCTGAGTGGTTGGCGCGGGTGATCAACTGCCGACCAGAATGTTCCGGGAGAAGGGCCCAGGGACAGGGTTCCTATTGGTTGTCACGCATCGGTTGCATTCGACACGGCAATGAGGGGGATTTCTCATCTGCCCGGAGCATTAACCAGGCCAAACATGGGGAACGTGCAGCGGCAGAATCCTTCAGTGGCTGGACAATGCACATGCGCCAAGACGAGGAGCGTCCATGTCCTCGATGCGCGGTGGTATTTTACGTGTCTTTTTGATCACACCAGGGACCATGGGCGGGCACGGGCCGATGGCGGAGCTCCAAAGCCAAGCTCTGGATGCCTCGGAAGCAGTCAGATAGCCTCGGGAGGCGGACTCGGGCACGTGTGCGGCTTACGACGACGGAGCAAACAAGCTTTCCGAGCCGTCACTGATCTTGCGCGCAAGTCGGTTCGGTGGACACGTCACATGTTTGGATGCGCAGATCAGCAAGGCAGAGGCACAGAGTCACAGAGTCGTGGCATTTGACATTTGACATAAGACGACTTTGCGGTGACAGGTGGGTTGCAGAATGTCGACCCCTGTTTCGCGGGTTCGAATTGGCAGCTGTTCCCAGTGCTAGCCATGACGGAAGTTGCCAGTGCCCGCCTTAACTGAGGTACCCTTAACTGAGGTACCCTTAACTGAGGTACCCTTAACTGAGGTACCCTTAACTGAGGTACCCTTAACTGAGGTACCCTTAACTGAGGTACCCTTCACTGAGGTACCTTGTACATATGTACAAGCCGGGATCGAATCCATGGAGTTTCAAGGCCGCATAATGAATCTCGTCCTCTCCTCTCCCTGGACGAGGACACGAATGGCTTGCGTAGCCACCAAGAATGAGCCATGTGGTCTCCCCAGCATCCCGAGTCACCAAACAAACCGGCGATGTCGACAGCGTTCTCCAATCAATGATTACACGCGGGCATGATGACGCGGGCATGATGACGCTGGCGACGAGGACCATGATCTCAGTGGAGCGCGCCCTCCACCCCTTCCGCTTCTCTGGCAATCTCTCGAGCTCGCGTTCATGCTTGCTGCATGATCTCCACGGCCAGACAGATTGGCGTTGCCGCTCGGGCAGCAGCAGACCATTCACCGCGCCCAGGGACAGCAATCAGGGAAATGCCACGGAAATGCTGTCCCGGGTTGGATTCAAGGCACGACGCCATGTCTGCGGGTGGTGTCCTTGGCTACAGGGACTGGTTCGGCATTGATCGCCTGTGCGCTCCATATCTAGTTACCCGTAGTCCGTAGGTAAGGAGATGGGCGATGATGAGGCAGGCAAGATACCTGTCTTATGTAAGTACTCCATGGCGAGGGAGGTATCCATCCCTGTCCATCGCAGTAGCCATGGTACCTTCGACCGAGAAGCGGGCAGGCGTCTTGCTTGTACTGCCTCCTCGTCGTGCACCGATGCCGTTCCGCGCCTGTCCCACAGCCCGTCACGTTCCCACTTCGAGAAGCTGGAAGCCACCAACTCGGACGCTTCTCTCTCTCCCTCCTCACTCTCTCGCTCCGGAACCCCCCTCCATCGTCTTCTCGCGCCATCCAATTCTGCATTATATTTCATCAGTGCATCCTTTGGCGACTCTGACAGACATTTCCGCTCCGGTCCGCCATTATCCTTCCCCCATCGCTGCTGGCCTCATCTCGCCCGGCTCTAGATCCTCACTCTCCCAACCGCTGTCTTTCACCGTCCCGACGCTTCGTTGGCAGCTCGCTCGCTCAGGAATATACACCATCATTTTTCCGTCTGTCTCGCCGTCGTTCTACAGTCGCGCCTTCTGCAATCCGCCGGCATACGATCGCACCAACGAGGCTTAATCGTCATCGCGAACTGCAACTGCTGGCTGCCTCTCCCATCTGACAGTTCGTTGCCAGACGACCCGCTTCTCTACTAGGTTCGTCCGTCGACGGGCCATACACCAAGCCACGACTCGCACCTTTCTCTCTCAGGTTGATGGGGATTGATACCGGCGCCTTCTTGTTCGCCGCCGCTGACACAACTGTTTGCTTTGCTAGACGCATGAGCGGAAATATCGACCAGGGCTCCTACTCGCTTTTGCTCGAGGTGGCAGACCGAGGCCTCTCCATCGGGTAGCCACCAGCTTTCCGTGCGGTGTGTTCGGCTCTTGTCGGCGCCCGCTCTCGCATCCCCCCCGAGTATAAATCGCACATCATTCGACCCCATCAACGGCTTGTCCGCCGCCTACCACCACAATGGGCAACTCTAATACAAAAGAATCACGCTCGGGCGACAACCGCGAAGCCGGTACCGACGGGCGGGGGGAACCCGGCAGATCCCGCAACCGCTTGAGCAGAGGCGACTTGAGCGGCTTCCTGAATCTTCAATCGAGTACTCGAGACCGCGATCGTGACCGCCAAAATGCTCCATTCGAGCGCCGCGAGACGAAGCAGGAGCGTGAAGCCCGTCGACTGGAGCGCGACCGCGCCGCTCGGGCCAAGGAACGAGAACGCAGCCTGCGCGAGGAACACGTTGATGGCGGATTCCTTGTTACCCTGGGCACGTATACCGGCATCGAGGACTTCAGCAAACCAGTTGTGAGACAGCTACAGGTGCGTCACTTCTATAGCCCCCCTACTGCGCGTCCAGATAGCATGCTTACCCGTTGTCCCCCTAGATCGAGAGGAAGCTCGCTCCATTCTGGCGTGGACTCAACGACTGGTCTGCAAACTGGGCCGAGCACCAACTCGTCGCCGCCGCTCGCGGCTTGCCCATACCAGCTGCCGACACGCCTCCAGACCCTGGGCTGATGCCCCGGCCTCGCCCATCTGAGCCAGGGAATCTGACCGTGTCGATGGGAGAACGCACCCTCTCTGCGGCGTCGGATCGTAGCGAGGCTGCCGTCGCTTCCGACCTGCCATCGCCGGCTGCCACGGGGCCCGTCAAGAGCTCGTCGTTCAAACCCAGGGCAAAAGCCATTGCGGCGGCTCTTAGCGTGAGCTCCCGTAACGCGTCGGCTACTGACCTGGCACCAAAGGAGATTGCCCTACCCAACGACCCGTTCGTCAATGGCCAGCCAATCGAGGTCTTTCTTTACAAGGAGGCGGATGACTGCCCCATTTGCTTCCTCTCTTACCCGCCATATCTGAACCGAACCCGATGTTGCGACCAGCCCATCTGTAGCGAATGCTTCGTGCAGATCAAGCGAGCCGATCCCCACCTTCCCGAGCACCATCCGGACGGCCAAGCCAGGGACCCTAACCAAGGGCTTACCGCCGATGACCCGCCAGAGATGCTCATATCGGAACCTTCGGCGTGTCCCTATTGTCAGCAGCCCGAGTTTGGCGTGACGTACGAGCCACCCCCTTTCCGACGAGGGTTGGCCTTTTCCGCGGCATCCTCCGCCCTCGCCTCCTCGACAGCCATGTCCTCGCAGAGCTCCCTCAACTCGACCCCTCCACCCATGTCACCCCAGCAGGTCGGGCGACGACGCACGCATAGTCTGTCGGCGACGGCCCCGAATGTCATCACCACGGATCGCGTGCGGCCGGACTGGGCAACGAAGCTGGCGGCGGCGCGTGCCCACCAAGCCCGGCGCGCGGCGGCCGCAACGGCCCTGCACACGGCCGCTTTCCTCGTGGGTGGCAACGAGCAGCGGTCCCTCTTGCGCTCCAGCAGATTCGGGCGCAGAAACACTGGTAGCAACGGGTCAAACACGCCAGCAGCTGAGCAAAGCGGAAGCGCTATTGGAGGATCCGACGCCCTGCAGTCTGGCGAGGGCGGATCGTCAAATAGGCACATGGCTCTACGACGCCGCACCCGCATGGAGGAACTGGAAGAGATGATGTTTATGGAGGCTGTGCGCTTGTCTCTGGCTTCAGAAGAGGATCGAAAACATAAGGAGGACAAGGCCCAACGCAAAGAGGAGAAGAAGCGTCAGCAGGCAGAGCGCAAGGCGCAGAAGAAGCAAGGCAAGGATCCGTACGGCGGAGGTGTCAGCGGCGCAAGTGCCAGCAGCCTGTCGCTCGGGCTGGGTCGCATGAGAGGGAACAGCGCGGCTAGCAACCTGAGGATGGAGGCCACATTACAGGGAGCGTCATCGGCGTCAAGGATGGAAGAGACGCAAGCCACAGAGCACGAGGATCAGGACGAACACGCTGCGGGCAAGGGCAAGGGTGTTGACCGAGCCCCTCGGGAAGCGATGGGCTCTGCCAGCACTCCCGCGGGCTCCCTTAACGTGCCTCCGTGCGCCACCCGCAGTGGTTCCCATTTGAGGCAGATGAGCAACACCTCCTCGCTAGTTTCATCCTCCGCGGACAGCCCATCTGGTAGCTACAGTGGTCAAGGATTCATTGGGCCAGAGGGCGGCAGTCCGTCTCGCGTACCTCGCGTCGACGATGCGGATCCCGATACTGGCAACGAGCCTTTGTTCAACTTTCGGAGCTTGGCAGAGCTTGTCGGGGTCAATATTGAAGACGGGTCTTCTCAGGCGGCAGGAGGCGACGGTGTGCCCTCGGCTCATAATGACGTGCAAGTATCGGGCCGGCCGCTCTCACGGGTCAACGAAGAGGAGAAGGAAGAAGACGAGGCGCAGCCCGTCGAGGACAACAAGCCAAGACAGCCTGGCGACGAGAAGACTCCATTGCAGACTTCCATCAAGGCAGCAACAGAAGGCGCCCCGTCTTCCCAGGAGACGACTGCCCCTGCGACGCCCGAGAAAAACTCGGATCGCGACGCTGCGGGCCGTGGGAGCAGCAATCCCTCGCCGGGAGTAGCACTCGCCCTCGAAACATCGATGGCGGCCGACGACGCCGCAGCAGACGACAAGTCTGTCGGACGCTCAAGTGTCACGGAGCGGCCGTCGTCGACGGCGCATTGACGTGGAAACTTGCAGCACTTGAGAGTTTGACAAAGCGATGAAGTGACGTGTAATCCGATGGAGATTGCAGATCTTGTATACAGCAGCGTGTTTATATTACGACTGACAGAGCGAGTACGTTGCCAAGAGAAGAGACCATTCCCTTTGAGAGGACGCTTCTCTCCCAACCAGTGGATGACAAAATGTCTCAGGCTGGCTCGATCAAGGCCGGCGAGGCAAGATGATATAAAGAAGCCCCACCGTTTCGAGGGCACAAAACCAAGTCCCGACCCGTCGTTGCATACACGGTGAACAAATAACATGAGCGAAACCAAGCCTTGATGCAAAGTGAAAGTCGCCATAGTCCACTGTCAGGCCATGCCAAATTGTTTTGACGACGTGTGGTGAACAGGGAATCTATTCTTGTTGCATGCGGGGGAGATGCTTGTTTTCCGCAATACTGAGGCTGGTAGGATATAGACACGCAACCAGCCCCCCCGACCTGTCCCTCCCTCCTTCTCATTCCTAGGCATTTGCATATATGGTGGGTTTCACGATGATGGACGGAATGGAGGAGCCGACGCGCAAGTAGCGATGTCAGCGACAGCGCTCGGGCTCGTACGTAGAGACGCGACCGGATCTTGTGCGGGACGTGGACCGCCTTTCTTAGAACCCGGGGCGATGCGCGGCTAACAGGAAGCGGTGGCCTGACGACGTAGCAGGTCTCGGGTGGTTGTCGGCTCTTTGACAGTTGGGGGAGAGTCAAGACAGGACGGCCTCGGTCACCTATCTGACTTGATTTCCGTCTGGAACCTTTGGATCCACTGCGTGAATGCATCATCCGCGCCATCCCAGTCGCTGGCCAACAGCTCGCTCGCGGCGAGCGCATCGCGAAAGCACTGGTCCATGGCCGTGTCAATGTCGGCGGGCTGCAGCTCGTAAAAGGCACCGGCCAGGTCCTCGAACCGTTCCGGGAGCTTCTCGAGGACCCGTGCCAGCTGGTCGAGCCGGGACGGCACGCTGGACTGAGCCGTGGTGGATGGCGGGGAGGGGAGCTTGCTGAAACGGCGGACGCGGGCGGCGCCGTAAAGGAGGGTGACGAGGCGGAGGCGCTTGAGGGTGGATTCCAGGCGAGGACGGATGCCATGGGGATCGTCTCGCGGGATGGAGTGATGCGAGTTCATCAGGCCATCGATTATGTCCTGGGCAGAGATTTGGGCCTCTCCCAGCTGGTCTGCTAGGTCATCCACGTCGTCGTCGTCTTCGCCGACGTCATCGGGCTCTTCCTCGCCCCATTCCTTGAGCTCCTCCAAGATATCCTTGAGCATATCGCCCCACTGGCGCGTCTTGTCGGCAAAGAGGCCGCCGGCGCCCATTTTCGTCAACTTGATGACGTCGTCGCAGGCCGACCAGAGAATCGCCGTGACCTGGATGCTGCCCTCCTTGCCCGAGACCTTGCCCGAGGCCGTGTTGGCGACCAATGCCTTGCCGTCCTTAGGAATCCTTTGCAAGAGCGCGTGAAGCTCGGCGAGAACGCGCCGACACTGCAGGGCCAGCTCCCGCCGCACGGTGGCGCTATACAGTCCGGGATTGCACGCCTGAACGGCCGAAGTGATTGCGGGCACGGGACCGGAATGCAGGTCGCGGACGACGGAGGAAATGGCGCTGGGAGTAAAGGGTTCGTTGATGATGAGCAGGGAGAGCTTGGTGCTGTGGGCGCGGATCAGGGACGCGGAATCGTGGGCGAGGGCGAGGGCGTCGAGGGGGGCGGGGGGATTCGCTGGCGCGTCGGACGGTAGGGGCTTGGAGGCATCTTTCTGGACGTCGACGAGGGCGGCTTGGAGTTGGAGTAGCAGCGCAGAGGCTGTGTGGATGAGAGAGTCGAGGCTCTTGAGGGCGTCGGGTGGTGCCAGAGGAGCCATGGGTTCCAACTCTTCTTGGCCTTGAGCGACAGCAGTTTTGGAAAGGGTGGTGTTGGAAAGGCAGCAGCCGCTGCAATCGAGGAGGACCTGTGGATGCGCGAGGGCGGCCTTGGGTTGCGATGCGATGGCGATGAACTTTTTGCCCGCTTTGGAGGAGGGAGAGGCGATTTCGGCCCCGCAAGGGAGTACAAGATACTTTGTAATCGGAGGTTATGGCCGAACCTCCACACCCCAAAAGCAACGTCTTAAGTCTTAACAAGAATGAAATGGCGTGCGGATGTTGACATGAAGAGCATTGCAGGTTTATCCTCGGCGGGTTATCAGTTCACGGCCTTGTGCATAGCCGCGAGCACCTCTGCAGCAACAGCGCGAGCATGCTCCAAAGACCCCTCGCCACCGGCCAAGATGGCCAACCAACCTCTGCTGCCAAAGCGTCCACGGCGCCTCGGAAAAGCCGTCGGGACCATCCATGCCAGAGCCACCATGCCAGAGCCCGCCGTCCCTCGTGCCCACGCCCCCTCTCTGGCCCTCCTTGCAGCGAAGATGCAGCAATTTACCGGCGTGCAGGAGCAGATGCGCCGCAACCGCGAGGCTCCCGGCTCCTCGGCGCCGTGGCCGAGCCCCAGCGCCTCCTGGATGGCGTCGGTGGCGCGGTCCAGCCCGGCTTCGTACGAGGATAGCGCGTCGTCGCCTGTTGCTGCGAGGCTGGCGGCGCATTGGCAGGCGTTGCCAACGCCCAGGCTGTCTTGCGCCTGGCGTGCTCGTTTTGGCTGACGGAAGCCCCCGAACGACATGCAGGATCGATACGATGGTCGGCTGAGCAGACGGCAGCGAGATGACTGTGTCGTTGAGCAGCGTCTACAGCCCGCCGAGCCGCGCCTTGATCTCCACCGGCGTCGACGAGGCTTCGGGGTATCGTGTGATACGCCTGGCAGCATCTGCAGCGGTGATGTTGCCAGCCACGCATTCTCTAAGCGTCTTGATGTGATCGTATGTAAAGTCGTAGCTCTCACGCGCTTTGTCAAAGTACTCGACCGATATTTTGACCGAAAGAGAGGAGGGGGTGAAATCTTGATACTGAGTGAGTTGGGAGCCAAAACAGCTTGGACTTTGGCGGACCTGAATTGATGCTGGACGTCAAGTCACATTGGACCTTTTGGCTGCTTACGATGCCGGATTTAACGTCAACGGTAGATTGTGTCGGAGCTGACACAAGCGCCAAGATGTCACCCGTTTGCTTGTTCTCGCCTCACACCAGTTCCGCTGAAGGCGACTGAAGGGGATCGGGAATTAACTCTCCGTGCTGCCATGGGGACTCTATCTGTGCGTTAGCGTCGGTTCTTTTTCTCTCCACTACCAACAGTTGCCCAACTGAGTACACATGAAGTCAATAGCAGAGGTTTCTAGGTGTACAGATTATAAGACTCATGGGAAATGCACCCGACTTACCTTGCTGTGTGTGGCTAGCTATGATGATCCTGTGGATGCTATGCTTTCTGCACCCCCCTCCCCCACCCCCCTCTTCCCGGAACCTGTTCAGAATATCAACTTCTGGCGTTGGAGAAGAAGCACGTTACGGACAGACCACACGACTCTTTGCAGAACCAAGCCGGATACGCTAACATTACGTACCCGTGTGATTACTTACTATGCCCGCGTGATGAACCAAGGAGCGGTTGATGCCGGTTATATGGAAGAATGTCCGAATTCTGGTCGGACGGCTAAAAGCCACCTATCCCATTGTTGAAGAGAGTCACGATATCTAGGTAGGTGTAGACTTCTATGCTTCAGGTGGGTAAGTTATTAATACTGGCAGGCATTTCTGCCTTTGGGCAGGCTTGGTACCTCGTACATGCCCTGAACCCGCTATTCCATTGCGGTAGTGGGGAGTTTTAGGCGTCTGTCGAGTCCGAAAACAGCCATTCGCCCTACTTACTTAGGTGCTAGAGAAGGCCCACCCATCAGGGAGGAGAGCTCCTGTGGAGCCCGGAGGTCAGTGCCTCGACTCATGCGATTACCGTGTTCTTCTTCCAGGGGCCTCGTCACTGTCCTGACTTGACTTCCTTTCCTCCCCATTGCCTTTCCACACGCACTCTTCACGATGCAGCAACGACATTCTCTGCTACCGCTGCTGGGCGCACTCTCCTCCCTCACTGCGGCTGCTGCGGGCAGCTTGCCGCGCGGTGTCGGTCCAGAATGTCAGTCCAGTTGACCTCGCTCCCTCGACCGCTTCTGACTCGAACACCAACAGTTGCATCTTACTACGCGGGCAAGTCCGACTTTGCCTGCATCACCAACCCTTCGGTCAAGCTCAGTCCCTCGAGAATCAACGACAACTCGTGCGATTGCCCCGACGGCTCCGACGAGCCCGGCACCGCCGCCTGCGCCCACATCGACCCGCTCTCCCCCCAGCAGCCTCTCCCCGGCTCTCCCTCGGGCACCACCAATGCCACAAAGGCCCTCCCTGGCTTCTGGTGCGCAAACAAGGGCCACGTTGGCGCCTACGTGCCCTTTTCCTACGTTAATGATGGCGTCTGTGACTACGACGTCTGCTGCGACGGCTCCGAGGAGTTTGGCCGCGTCAAGTGCGAGAACCGTTGCGCAGAGATTGGCAAGGAGTACAGGGCCCTCGAGGAGCAGAAGCGAAAGAACATGGAAAAGGCCCAGAAGACGAGGGATGCAATGATCAGCGAGGCAAGCGACCTTCGCCGCCAAGCAGAGTCCAAGTTGGCCGACCTGACGGGCGAGATGGCGGTGCTCGAAGCAAAAAAGACGGACCTCGAGGCCAAGCACGCCGAGGCCAAGGCTCAGGATACGGGCAAGGTCGTCAGGGGCCAAGGTAGCGGAGGCAAGCTCGGCGTGCTTGTCAATCTGGCAAAGACCAGGGTCAACGAGCTGCGCGAGACGCTCGGCAACGTGGCCCAAGAGCGCACCCATCTGCAGAGCAAAGTCGACGAGCTTCAGGCCCTTCTTACCAAGCTCAAGACCGACTACAACCCAAACTTCAACGACGAGGGCGTCAAGGCCGCCATCAAGTCCTTCGAGGACTTTGCCGCCCGTGAAGCTGCCGACGCACCGAGCCAACTCATCGATTCCGATATCGAAACGGTTCTCAAGGAGGACGGCCCAGAGGGCGGCGTCAACTGGATCGAATTTGAGAATCAAGGCGAAGATACCGATATTTGTAAGTCCAAGATCCCTCGCGCTGTGTGTCCAACTAGACTCGGCTGACCAGCACTGCGCTAGTGTACAACGTCGAGGCCTACCTTCCGTCCTTCCTTCGCAGTATGCTCCACGACAAGGTGCAGGGGTTGAGGCTGTGGCTGATTCGCAACGGTATCCTGGCCGAGAGCGTCAAGGAGGGCACAGAATCTCAGCTCGTCAAGGCAGCCCGAGAGGCCGTCGAGGCGGCAGAGAGAAAGGTCCAGGACACCAAGAGGGCCATGGACAGCGAACAGGAGGATCTAGCCAAGGACTACGGCCCGTCGGACATTTTCCGCGCCCTCAAAGGCAAGCGCGTCGAAATCGAGGCTGGCGAGTATACGTACGAGCTCACTTGGCTGGAGCAGACGTCGCAAAACTCCAAAAAGGGTCACGGCAACACCAACATGGGCAACTTTGCCCGCATCGACCGCGAAATGGCCGACGACGAAGAGAGACTGGATGGCAAGAGCCTGGGCAAGGGCGAGCGCATGGTGATGCGGTACGAGGACGGGCTGCAGTGCTGGAACGGACCCCGCCGACGGACCGACGTCTGGCTGGGGTGTGCCGAAAAGGAGGAGGTCTGGAGGGTGAGCGAGGCGGAGAAGTGTGTCTACAAGATGGAGGTGGGCACGCCAGCGGCCTGCGAGCCGCAAGGGCCCAGCGAGGAGCGCCGCGGCAAGGATGAGCTGTAGCCACGTGAGATGGCTGAAGCATATGGATGGGACACCCTGAATGATGTACGGGAGAAGTGATGGGGGTGAATGATCACGGCTACTGTGCCGGTTTGTCAGGCTAAGCCGCCCCGGCCCGCGCTTGTGCTTTGATCTCGACCGAGTGTATGATTGGCGGCACTAAGAAGTGCTTTTGACGCTGACGGGCGAGCGTCAGGATGGCCCAGCTCGGGATACTGACCCCGCAGGCTTGTCGCTCGCCGTTGTCTTGATAGAACACTTTCAGCCGTCTATACTTCTCATACACGCCTCCGGGAGGCATCAATCTGGCCGCCTCGCCGACTCATTCAGTCTGCAGTTCCCCAACCGTCCGTCCGGCGAGCGGCGGCGCAACGACGACGATGCGGCGAATCCCAGCCCTGGCCCCGGGCTCGCGGCGCCTGTACGCCCTGTGCATACACTTTGCCGTCGGCGCCTCCATCTGGGGCTACAACATCGGCGTCTTGTCGTCGGTCCTGGTGCATCCGGGCTGGCGGGCGGCGCTGCGCAGGCCATCCGCCTCGCAGCGCGGCGCCGTCACCGCCGTCTACTACCTCGGCACCTTGCTGTCCTACGTCCTGCTGGCCCATCCGCTGGCCGACTGGCTGGGCCGCCGCCGCGCCGCCATCGTCGGCTCCGCGGTGCTGTGCGTCGGCGCCGCCTTCATGGCCGGCGCGGGCGCCCGCGGTGCGTCGGCGCTGGGGTTGACGGTGGCTGGGAGGCTGGTGTGCGGTGTGGGAGTGGGTGTTGTTAGCACGACGGTGCCGCTGTATCAGAGGTGAGTGAATGGGGACTGTTGAGAGTGCGTTCAGGGGGTCCCTCGCTGCCTTGTTGGAGTGAGAGACCGGGCATGGAGCTGACCTGGCGTCGCCGGCCCCGTCTCCAGCGAAATCTCGCCGGCCAAGGAGCGCGGCAAGTTCGTCACCATGAACCACATCGGCTTCATCACCGGCCTAGCCACCGGTTTATGGTGGGTTCAGCAACCGACCCCTTTTCCCTCCTCGCGGGGGCGTTATCATGTCCCTTTCTTAACCAACGGCCAACCCCCTTGACAGGGTCGGATACGGCATGACCTTCTGGACCGGTCCTCACGGGAAGTACTGGGGCTGGCGCGTCTCCATCCTGCTCCAGTTCGTGCCGGCCATCGTCTTCGTCGCCGGCCTCTTCTTCGTTCCCGAGACGTGAGAACCGCCTCCCCCGACCCCCCCTTGCCATCACCCGCCTTTAAACCGCTGACCCCTATCCTCCCGCAGCCCACGCTGGCTCGTGCAAAAGGGCAAGCCAGAGCTCGCAGGCCACGTCCTCGACCGCCTGCGCGAGGGAACCTGCCCCCCGGAGGCCGTCGCGCGCGAGCTCGCCGCCATCCGCGCCGACGTCGAGGACCGCCCCGGCCGCGACTCGGCCGCGCTGGCCCTCTTCCGCCGGCCGCTGCTCCGCGCCCGCCTGTGGCGCGCCTTTGCCCTGCAGTTCATGGCCCAGCTGTGCGGCGCCACCGCCATGAAGTACTACCTGCCCACCCTGCTGCGGGCCCTTGGCCTGTCCACGCGCCTCGCCCTCATGGCTGGCGCCATCGAGATGACGGCCAAGATTGGCATGACGGTGGTGGAGATGTGGGCCATTGATGCCCTCGGCCGCAGGGCGTGCCTGGTTGGGGGCTGCCTTGTGATGGGCGTCTCTATGCTTGTCAGTTGCTCGCCCCCATCCCTTTTGTTCCACCCTCCGCCTCTCCCCACAGGCATATGAGGCCCCCCCTTCTAATCTCGTGCTTGCTCGCTTGCTGCAGATCAACGGCGCCCTCCCGCTCGCGTACCCGAACAATGCAAACAAGGCCGCCGACGCCGCCTGCATCGCCTTCATCTTCATCTACGCCATGGGCTACAGCCTCGGCCTCGGCCCGGCTGCCTGGGTGTACAGCTCCGAAGTGAGAAGGCCCCTTTCCCTCCCTCCGCCCTTCCGTCCTCTTGGCTGTTCAACTATGCACTCTCAGAAGAAGACTAGGGAGGGAACAGAAGAGGAGTAGCGAAAGGGAATGCCCGGCTGACACTGCGACGCGAAGATCTTCCCCACGCCGGTTCGTGCCCGCGGACTTAACCTCGCCGCATCTGGCGGCGCCATCGGGAGCATCATCGTCGCTCAGATCTGGCCCGTCGGCGTGGCCAACCTCGGCAGCCGCATCTACTTCTTCTTCATGGCCGTCAACCTGGTTTGCGCTCCGGTACGTTGAAACCGGCGGCGCCCTCCTAGACCAACTCCCCCCCTTCCCTTGAATGTTGACTGACGAGACCCCACGCGGCGCCAAAGATCATCTGGTTACTGTACCCCGAGACAAAGGGCAGGGCGCTAGAGGACATGGACGACTTGTTCGGCAAGTCTGCCCCTCGACACCCTGCTGCCCTCTCAGACCCGACGATGGCAGTCGAGGATCGTGACAGGCGACACAGGGGCAATGGCGAGCTGACGCAAACGTCGAGCCAGGACAGCGCCGAGGAAGGTGCTCAGCTTCTGCCGTAAAAGACGGCGTAAGACTATCTAGTTGGCGTGTCGTTGAACCATGATTCCTGCCGCAGCCCGGGCACGGGTCCCATTGGGCTAATAGGTGGAAAGTACACACCTTTGATTCATCTTGTCATCAGACGGACTGGCCTGAGCACAATTTAATAAAGCACGCTTCCTGACAACCGAGCTGCTGTGACCTAAAGTTGAGCAAAGCAAACATGGCCGCTTCTTTGACAGATTCCCCTGTGAAAGCTCTCCTCTTCCTGTCGCTCATGATGGTATCAAGACTCGGTGATTCCATGCAATCAAAACATTGGACCAAAGTAGATAAAATAACTCCATTGCCTCCTCAACTCCTCTATTTGTCATCCTCGCTTCCGAGGCCCCGACCGGCGACCAACTCCCTTGCCGCCTTGCAAAGAGTAGAGCATGCGACTCGGGTCACGTCCCGCGCCCACAGTTGCCTTCTACCAGAAGCTGCACCATCCGATGTAGTGCTGACAGAGATTCTCAAGCTTGGTTGCCTCGACAATCAGTTTGTTGACCTGGTTAATCACGTCCAGCTCCTCAGTGTTCTTGAAATCGCGGCCGGTGAGCTTTTGAGCGACGCGGTCGAGAACTTCGATGGCTCTCGCATTTTGGCTTTCAGTCTCTTGCGCTCCGTTGACCATGTTACCGTCCGGAGCCGCGGAGCTGTTCGTACGCGCGCGAGTACGTGTTACGGGTGGTGCCGAGGGCTCGCCATTGGCCAGCAGCTCCGATGGCGCCACGTCCGCGTCCAAAATGGAGTGTCGTCGGGCGCGCACCGCGTTCGGCCCGACGAGAGCTGCCTCCCGCTCGGACTGGAAGTTGGGTCCGGCAGGAGATGCCGCGTTGGTGAGACGCCAGGTGAGGAGGGGGTCGTGGATGAACTATCAGCACTGTCAGCGCCTGGCACACATCAAGTATACACACCGTCAAGACCCGGCGTGGACTTACAGCCTCCAATACCGCCATCACGCTCTCCTTGTTCTCTCGGAGCACCCGCATGACGTGCTCGCAGGTAATCCTGAAGCTGCCCTCGATGTTGCTGACCTCCATGGCGTACGTCAACATGCGAGTCAGTCGGAAAGGTACCCGTTCCGGGTACTTTTCACGCTTCATCGCAACTTCGAAGCAATCGCCAAAATCAATGTGAATAATGTTGCCCGTGATTCGGTCGAGCATCAAGTTTGAGGGATGACGGTCGCCGAGACCAAGTATATAGCCCACCATGGACATGACGCCCAATGAGCGTGTGTAGTTGGTGCGCCGCTCAAGCCATGCTTCCGATGACTTGGACTTGAGCCAGAGCACCCGATACAGGTCCTGACCTGTGGTGTTATCGAGTGCATAACCAAACACCTCTACCTTCTGCATGAGCGTCAAGTTGTCGTAATCGGGGGCCATCTGCAACATGATGCGATGCTCGATGTTGAGCAGGATCTTGCGACTCTCTCGGTATTCGCGGATCAGCACGTGGAGGGTGTCGCTGTTCGGAACCCAGCCCAGAAGACCCGAGTTTTGCGACAGCGGAATGGCAGGATAGCGTTGGATGTTGAGGTGGCGCTTGTAACACTCGGAATCGTTAGCAAGTAGAGTGTTGCAGAGGCCGAAAAGCTGCATGACCCGCTCATCCTGCCGGATATCTTCATGGCCTTTGAGTAGGAAGGCGTACGACACGCCGTCGCTCCCGTTGACGTTCAGTTTCCTAGGCCGTTGCTTCGAATTGATGACGCTGACGGTAGAGTCGAATGACACAATCTTGACGATCGGTTGCCCGCTCTTGTACGTCCCGGGCACAGCCAAGTCAAGGTTCTTGGCAGCCAACAGCTTAGGCGAGCAGTACGTGAGCTCCAGCGTTGTCACCTGCGGGAGCTGCCTGGAGATTCTTCTGAAGACTTGGTAGTAGAGATCCCAGGCCTGGTTGAGATCGTTGACGTCCTTTGTCGTCTCGTACTGATGGCACCACTCTTGCGCCTCCTTGAGGTCTCGTCCAAAGGCTTGGGCGAACGAAATCTCACGTAAAGTCTCCGGACCGCGCTCCAGCAAGTCGTGGAGGGGCTCCAGCGTCGCAAACATGCCTTCAATGTTGTGGTCGCCAAAGTATAGTCGCGATGCTTCTTCCAAGCCCTCGTGCCAGAGTTCATGCCAAAGCACTGCGACGCGGATGAGCTCATGGCTTACGGTGTCGGCTTGGGCCACGAGGTTCGCGCTGTGCTGGCGCATGCTGTCCATAATCTGGGCGGCCGATCTGGACCTCCGCGTGTTTTGCCAAGACTTCATGGCAACAGTCAGGGGGTAGACGAGAGCCTGCGGGTGAGTCCTGCCCACGTCGGCGAGCAGGTTGTGCACGGATTGCTGGACGCGCTTGTTGGGTTGACTGATCCGAGCAATGAGCTGCGGGATGACCTCGAGCCAGGTGTCTATGCTGACATTGGCTATGCCATCCATGACCGCAGAGTTGACTTCTGAGCTACCGCCGTGGGTGAACCAGAGCGTCAGCAGACGAAGGGTGTCCTGAAGAGAGCTCCCAGCGGACAGAGCAATAGACTTGAAGAAGCCCTGAATGGCGGGCACCACGTGCTCGATGATCATTGCTTGATCTGCCCTCGATAGCTGGCCGTCGTTCCGAGCCGACAGTGTCTGCACAATCTCAAAGTTTGCCAGCGCCCACGCGTGCCATGCCTTGTACCAGCGTGGGTTGTATCTGGTGGCTTGAGAGTATGATGTCAAAATCTCCTGGACTTTGCTGTACTGCCAGTCGTCCTTGTTCAGCGAGATCAACCATTCACCTTGCCGCAGATAGCACTTGGCCAGCAGCACCGTCTGGTCGTATAGGGCGCGTTGCGTCTGCGGGCTCATGACAGATGGATCCACCTGGTTCTGGAACCCATAGTCGGCCGTGATGTTCATGTCGCTACCCACCTGGGCTGTGAGATGTGCCTTGGCCAAGTCCAACCGGTGAGCGGTGTCGTTCGTGAAGCGTTGGAGACAGTACAAGGTCCGCTCCGCAACCCCGTCTCGCCGCGCCGTTGGCTGTTGGCCCATTTCCCACTCGTACTTCAGCATGGCATAAATGACCTGGGCAGGTATGCTTCGAGGCGTCGCTGAGTTTGAGCGCTCGTTCATGCTCTCCAGCCAGTAGGGAATCATGGTCTCCAGAGCAGCGTCGGTGCCGATGAGCTGCTTCAGCGACTTCTCCGCCAGGCCCATGCGACCAGACTTGCGACACAGGTTCGCAAACTTGATCCACATGCGCATGTTCTCGGCAGGGGAAATGACCAGAGCTCTCAGCCGCAGCATGCGATGCCAGACTTCGACGTTGCGCTGACACCCCTGAAGCCTAGTCTCCCAAGTCTTGCGCATCGTGGCCTGCTTCTTCTCGTCGCATTGCTTGTAAACAATGAGTTCTTCCAATTCAGCAAGCATTTGAACCCGGACCACCACTTGATAAGCGCGATTATAAGACTCGCTCACAAGTGCGCTGAGTTCGGTGTCCAAGCCCTCGCGAGCCTGCTCGACGCAAGCAATCGCTTCACGGAACTGATTCCGGTGAAGAGCGAGGATCGCTCCGAAGAATGAGCGATCAGGCGAATGGCGCTTGAGCGAAGACAAGTAGTTATCCATCGAGTCCCATTTGCCCAGGCCCCACGCGGCCGCCGTGGCAAGCGGAGCAATCATGCGCTGAACTTCTGGCGCCGAATTGGCCCAGGTGCTGCTTGTCAGGTTGGCAAGCGCATCCCACTCGCCGAGGGCGTGCAGGCATCGCATCTTGCCCATGACGATTTCGACGGGGACCGGTTGATCTGGGGCAACTTCCCGTTCACGCTTGTTGTAAAAGGCCAATGCCTCTTCCCATCTCTCGAGCTTCTCGAACCACGTTTCACGAAGCTGAATGCCTTCCTTGTACAACTGGGCTTTACGGAGAATACCGATAGCGGCGTCGGATTGCTGGAGCTGGTTGTTGATGACGATGAGCGCCTCGACGGCTCCGCTGCTTTGGTCCTGCAAAAACTCCAATTCTTTGTAGTGAAGAGCTTTTGCGTAGGCGTGGCAGCGAGCTGCTTCCCGGCCAAGGACGCGGATGTCGATGGGCAGAGCCTTGTCATCATGCTCCATGAACTCGGCGAGATTGAGCAAGAGACCGAGCAGCTCGGGTGGCACATTCTCGGATTTGATGGCACTCTCAATGTTCTGGATGAGTTCGTCTTGGAATTGCTCATACAACTCACTCCAGCACGAAACAAAGGCCGAGTTGAACAACTCTCGGGCCAAGGGTAGGTAGACGCTCGCAAGGCTGGCGCAGGCTCGAAGTGCGTGGTTTGGCGACTCTGTGAGGAGCGTCGTGCTGAAGCGCCGTAACCACTCCTGCCAGTCTTCCATCGTAGACTTGCCCCTTGTGTCCCACGCGGCCTTGAGGTGAACAGGGTTCATTTCGAGCTTCTTGGTCCCCAGGTCGGCCAATGGCGTTTCGTCCGCCATGTCGGCAAACCGTGACTTAGAACTCAGGTCCTGCGGCAGCACTTCGCCCTTTTTCAATTTGCTCGCAAACAGTTCATAGTTCTGGTGCTGGATCTGATGCTGGTTGATGACTTTATTGACTGTGCCCATGAAGTGAAGATAGTCCTTGCCGAGCTGTTGGATCAAGGCGCAGAGAGCATCCAGTGCAGCCACTCTCAGCGACGGCTCGCCCATGTCCAACACACGAGTGAGAGGGTGAATGATCTTCGCTGCATAGTCGTTTAAGTTGACCTGCCGCGATATCTTCCCGATGGTGTCAATCGCCTGTTTTCTGATAAACGTTGGCTGGCCCTGCTTCTCAAACGTGTGGACAATGACGGGAATGATGAGGTGCATGTACTCTTCCGCGCTGGCGCCGAAGACGAGAAAGGCGTGGAGGACTCGCTCAGAGGGCACCCTTTTTGCGCTCGAGTCCTTGTCGAGGACTCCGAGCATGAGAGGGAGTATCCCCGCCAGGTAGATTTTGAACTCACCCTCGAGGGAACGAGAAATGGCCTCCACCAGGGACAGAATGGTTGTCTGCAATGACATAGATTTGTGCCAATACTCCTGAAGAATCTCAATGATATCTGGAAGATAGTTCCTTATATGTTGACGAACGATGCTCACTAGAGTCGCAAGTTGGTTGAAGTACGATTCCAGGCGGGTCGTGGCCGAGGATCGGATGACGTGGAGGAATGCCGGAACAATGCGATCCAAAAAGGACACACACTCGAGGCCGAGCGTCCTGAAGATGTTCATGATTGCCTCAATCACCGCAGCATGATGCTGGGCAAGTGAATGGTCCTTGAGGATCTGGAGCAGGGCGTTGATGACCACGGTGGGGAAATACTCTTTGTTAGAGGGCGTCAGCCCCGTCATCATCAGCGAGATATCGGTCATCTGATTCGACTCGACTCGTCGTTGCACCTCTGGTGTACGCTCTTCAACTTGCTGTTTCACAATGTCAGTCATCTGCGGAATACCTCCGGTTCATAAGTGGAATGTATGGGGGAGCGCAAACCGAACCCAAGACTTACCTGGTGCTTATAAGGGTCCAGAGCACCCAAAATACCCATCAGCTTGATGGTCTCCTGCCTGAGAGGGCCACGCTGGCCCTCTGTCCTGATGATGCCCTGTAGAATTTGCAGCAACTGGGGATACTCGAGATATGGTCTAATAACGTATCCCGAATTGCTCGCCAGCTGGCCCAAGGCATTGAGCGCAGCCTCGCGTTTGATGTTCGAGCTCTGATCCTGCAGCGCGTCGATGATCAACGGCATCAGCCGATCCTTGTAAGGGAGCATGTCTTCGCCCCCGACGGTTGCCAGCTCCCCAATGGCCTTCAAGATGGTTGCAGCGACCGATGGCAGAGGGTCGCTGGCCTTGGGCAGAAGAACCGAGATCATGGGCTCCACGTATGGCTTGATGAGGGTTTGTGCATTCTGCACAAGGAGGCTGAGCAACTTGGCGCTTTCTTCCTTGTTGCGGGCGACGTCGGAGAATTCCAGCTCGGTGAGCATCTGGATGAGGGTTTTTCGCAGGGACGGGATAACGTATGCCGGGTTGTATCTGGCCAGCCGGCCGATGATGGAGATGGATACCTCCCTGATGGAGAAAATCTCGTCGTTGAGGGCAAAGAACAGGATGCGGATATTTTCGGCCTTGGCCAAATGGCGGTCGAAACGCTCGTCAAGCGCGGCCAGCACTGTTCTCCGAATGCTGGGCTCTGGGTCTGAGACCCCCACGGTGAGTAGCTTCTCAATCACGTCTCCGACGACTTGAAGGGCGTGGTAGCTTGTCTGGTTGACGATGGGGTCTCGGACGTAGAGCTGACAGCACGTGAGAGCGGCCGCCTCTCTGATTTCGGGGTCCTCGTCTTCGACGTATTTGATGGCCACGTCTCGCACGAACTCGTTGAGGATGTGGCCGGAGAAGTCGAAGCTGCCGAGGGTATTGAGGGCAAGTTTGACCTCTGCCCGCCGATGCTCATAGGCTTGGGGATCCTTGGCGTCTTTTGCAATGGCGGGCACAGAACTGAGCGTGTTGGGCTGTGGAGCGCCAAGTGGCTTGAAAGGTTCGCCGCAGAGGACGATGCTCAGCATATCGAGCAGCCTCTCCTGGATCGTGGGCTTGACGGGGGGGATGTAGAACGCCATGTCGACCAAGGCTTGGGTCAACTTTGGAGTCAAATCGCAGGCAAAGATGGGGTCGAGCAGCGCCTCCATGTATTTGCTCAGCGTCTGGCCCACGGCGACGGCAAGGCGACTGATGCAGTCAAAGACGGGGTCCACCGAGCCTCTCTTGCGGGACTGCACGCTGAGGCCTTCGCGGACGTAGATGAGAACCCCATCGAGATACGGCGCAATCGCGCTCTTGACGGAATTTGCAATGTTGCCGATGGCGAGGAAGGCGTCGTTTCGCTCCTTGTCCTTTTTCAACATGCCAGAAAGATAGACCATGAACTTGTGCAGCCAGGCGTGTGCAAAGTCTGCTGGCGAGTAGCTTGCCAGGTCTGGGATAAGGAGCACAACAGTGCTCCTGATTGTTGGATCCCGATGGTCCTTGTGCTTGCAGACAATGTCACAAGCCTCCTGGTAATGCTCCTGCATATACATGCCCCCTTGCTCGAGAAGTTCCTTGAGAACCAGCAGAGAGGCGTGGATCGACTCGACGGTGTTGATCTTGAGGCCCTGCCTGGCCTCGTGGTATATCTTGCTCATCCAAAGCTGTTTCATCTCCTGGTCGCGCTCCCGAATGATGCGGAAGCAGGCGCTGACAGTCTCGGCCGAGGTGGCACGGATGAGTTTTCGAGGGTCTCGCAGGCCGACCCAAATCCAGTCGAAGATGGTGGGGATGAACTGGTACATGAGCGTCGGGGCGTTTCTCGCGAGCTCCCTGAGAACGAGCACAGCGCTGTATCTGCGTTCTTCGACTCGATCGTTCTGGAGCCACTCGAGGGCGGTGTTGACCTCGGAGTCGACGAGTTCGGAAATCAAGGATCCGCCTGGACGACAGAGTTTACCCAGGGCAATAGCGGCAGGCTGCATGGGATTGATGTCTTTGCCACGCAGAATCGTCTTGAGGTTCTGGGTGAACCGAGTGTACTTGGCGGCGACGTCTACTCCATCGAAGTCGACGAGCGAGTCCAGCGCATAAATGCCGCCCAGCCGCTCCGCGGAGTCGCTGCCGTGGGTGATGAGTTGTGTGATTTTGTTGTTGACGGCATTGTAGAAGGCGAGGAACTGTTCCTGACTGAGGTCTGGCGAGAGCATCAGCGTCAGATGGGGGGCTCGATGGAGGGAAGGAGGGAGGAAGCACGTTGGCGGGGCTCTATTCGTACCTCGATGGCATACGGCCACGAGTTCCCGCAGCTGCAGCGCAGCTCGCTTGCGAGTCTCATCTCCAGTCCTGCGCAGCGGTCAGATGGCTTGAGAAAGGGGAAAGGGGAGGGAGAAAAGCCTACCGCGACCGCAGCCCTCGCGTGATGTGCTCCAGCCGCTCCAGCGCAACCTGTTGCTGCTGCGCCATTCTGCTCGTCTTGAGCCCCTGGGCCCGGGCCTCGAAGCCGCACGAACCAAGCCTGAGGATGGGCGGTACAGAAGGTGTATCGCTATCGATGGATGCAGCGCTGTCGATGGGGGCGGATCGAGAGGTGGGCAGCCCGTGCCTAAGAATCGCGGGTCGTCGTTTGTAAGATGTGGTCTGGTGGAAGGATAATGATGCCTGGAGGCTGTCGTGTGCTCCTCTCGATGGAAGAAGTAGAAGAAGAGAACAAGGAGAAACACTGCGCTTGCACAGCACGTCACTGTGGCATGGCGGGCAGCGCCAAGCCCTGCCAGATGGAGGAGAGAGCGATGGTCGGGAGCTGGCTTCGCGCGAGAGTGATGAGGATGCGAGGCTGCACCGGCACCGTTGGTCTGGTCTTGGCAGCTATGAGAAAGGCGACGGACGACTGAGGCGTCGTACAGTGTAAATACTACAATAGTACTGTATGGGTGGGGCTGCCATGCCGTGGCGGATCAGATGGGCACTGTATAGTATATAGTAAGGCGTATTACGATTACTTTTGCTAACGTGAACTCTATAGTATAGTATAAAGTACGTAGGCAATCTAGAAAAAGTAATAAATAAAGATATAAAGGCTATAAAAGCTATTTCTACCTATACCTTAAGAAATATAGTAATAAAAGGTTCTATTATTTTTTCTTAAAAATAAAAACGCTATTATTAATTTTCTCCTTATAAATACTTTCTTTTAATTAGTTACTAAATCTTACTTTTATTAGTAAATTATTAAATTAACTTTTTTTCCTTTTACTTATAAAAAGCTCTTTTTAATTATATTATTAATAAAGCTATTTAATAAGCTATACTTATAAAACCCTTAGTTTATACTCTTAGATAACTTATTTCCTTTTAGCCTTTAAGTATATAAAAGTACTTTTCTTATAAGAAGAGAAGTAAGAAGTATATAAAAGTACTTTTCTTTTAAGGAGAGAAGTAAAAAGTATATAAAATATATAAAGGCAAAATTAAAAGTAAAGAGTTAAATAAGTAAGGTAAAGTTATTTAATTCTTATAAGGGTAGTAGTTATAGTAAGGGAGTAATTATTATATTACCTTAATTATCTTTCTTTCCTTTATTTAATACCCCTCTTTATATCCCTTTAGTATCCTAATTAATAAAGAAGATCCTACTTAAAGAAGCTATTAATATCCTCTTTACTACTAAGCTTTTTACCGGTTTTCCCCCTCTTATTTAGCCGTTGCTAGTATATCCGTTTTATCTCTCGCTACCTCTATAAGAAGCTATCGCTACTTTTACTTCCCCTCTTACCCCTACCCTCCTTTCTATACTTCCTTTTAGCTCCTTCTTCCTTCTTTTATACTAGTCTTTTAGCTTCCTAGGTCCCTCTTACTAAGGGATATCTCTAAGAACTATAATATTAGGCTACGCTTCGCAATATACCTCCTTAGCTATAGCTAGCCCTTATAGTAAGGGTATAGCTAATACAGCTTTAGGCTAGTAAGCGTATAGAGGAGGTTCTTAGCTTTATACTTATCCCTTTACTTAAGGAAAGTAAGGGCCCTTTTAGGTCCTTAGGCTCTTTTAGACCTACTTAAGGAATAGGGGCCTAAAAAAGGAAAAGTCTTATAAGAAAGGGGGCATTCTTAAAAGGGAAGAACCTAATTAAAATAAGGGGCCCTTTAAAAGAAAAACCTTTTTCTTTTCTTCCGCTATAAATATTACCTTCTTATATAGGCTATTAGCTCCTCTTATAGACTCTTAAGGTAGGCCTCTAAGGATAGCTTCTCTTAGACGTCTTCTAGCCTTATTTACTATAAAAAGATAGCTAGCTTTTACTTTAGTAAGGGCTTTATAAGACTATTTACTTTTATCGATACTATTAAAACTTAATAGATAGAAATAAGTCCCCTTTAAACCTCTTAGTATAGCTAATACTAGTAGATATTAATATACTATAGCTAGGTTAATAGCTTTACGTTTTCTATAAGAATTTATATAGTCTATATATTATTATATTTTATAGATAGTAGGGACGGAATCTATAGTTATAAAGATATAAGTAGCTAGCTAAAGAGAATCGCTTCTTTTAACGCTTTTAAAAGAGCTAGTAGCTCTACCTTTATACTTAAAGTTATAATAGTAGCTTATTTTAAAGCTCTTTAAGTAATATATCCCTTAGAAAGAGATATAATATACCCTTATAAGCTCTTTCTATCTTAGGAATTATCTATAAAGGATAAATCGCTTAAATAAAAGAAGATTTTAGTAGCTAGTTTCTTTCTTTCTTACCTTTTTAAGTATAGACTATATAATCTTATTAAATAGAGATAAAGGATAGCTTTATTTACTACTTCTTAGTACCTAGGGCTAGGATTTTAGTTATATCTAGCTAGCTAGGAGACTATAAAAGAGATATCTAGTTTAGTAGAAATAGCTAAAAAGAGTAAGGAGCCTACCTTCTATTAATATAGGTATTTCTCTTACTCCTTAGCTTAAAAGGATAGATTAAGTAAAAGCTCTTTATTTAATATAAGTATAAAGGGAAGCTTCTTATTAAGGGAATTAAGGAGGAATTTATAAGCGACCTTATCGATATAGGCGTCCTAGGTAAGCTAGATAGTCTATTAAGACCTATTTTAAAGGATTCGAATCCCTAGGAACTACTTTAGCTCTCCTAGCTAGATTATTTTATACCTTTATTATAGGCCTTTTATAGCCTCCTTATTATTTACTTCTCCCTCTTTTAAGTAGGCTTAGATAATATTATTAATATAGAAAAAGATAGTAATTTTACTATTTTATATTATATATAGTTCTTAAAGGACTTTCTTAAAGCCTAGGGCTTTAAGGGAACCTATTAAATACTATTACTAAAGAAAAGGTAATCTTTATAGTTTATATAAAGCTTTCCTAAGCTATAGAACCCTTTATAGCTATTAAAAGCTTAGTAGAAGTATAACGACCGGTATTATTCTTAAGGGATAAACCTATTAAGGGGTTTATATTAGTAGATATAATAGGGCGTGGTCTAAGTAATAATAAATATATTACGTTAGTAATAAGTCGGAGGTTATAGACTATAGGCTATAACTAGGTAATTAAGTAATTAGAATTAAAGATAAGATTATAATAGAAATCGTAATAATTATATTAAAAGCTATCGAGCTATCTATCTAAAGGAGTAAAAGTAGGTAGCTATATATACCTATAGAGACTATCCTTAGATTATAGGCCTAGCTATAATCCCTAACGTTAGATCGTATAAAGTATAGTAATCTCGTTAATCTTAGATTACTTAGATCTCTACGATCCCTTTAATCCTATATCTATTAGATAGTCGTGCTAACTATTTATCTATTAGACCGTATTACGTGCTTAACGCGGTCGACCGTTAGCGGCCTAGTAGCTATAGTCGTAATAAGAAGGCGTATATAAATAACTTCTTCTTCCTTAAAAGGGTAGTTAATAAAAGCGTTAATAGTATCTATTTAATTAAGCTTAAGGTCGAATTCTACTACTATAGCTATAAGGGTCTAAAAAGATATCCCTACTAAGGTTATTACCTTAGTAAGAAGATCCCCTTTTTCTTACTAGTTCTTATAAATAACTAGCTAGGCTTTATACTTTTAAAGGAAGCTATATTTATTAGTTTTATAAATAAAGACCTACTTATAGCTAAGGACTTATTTTCCTCTTACTTTTTCCTTAAGGACCTTTTTAAAAGACCCTATCTCTTTATATAAGGCTAGGTAGTCTTTCTAGTCCTAGAAAAACTAGTCTTTAAAGGGGTAACTTTATAGCTACTTTTATATTACTAGTAAGTTTAAGAGGTCTCTTTTATATACCTTCTTTACTAATAACTATTACTTAAAAAGCTAGCCTACTATAAATACTTTATAGGAACTATCTTTTATAAGTATAAGATAGAAGTTAGAAATAGGATCGAAATAAAGAAATAGTTAGTCTTCTTTAGTAACTATATTAGGCCTTATACCTTCCTTTACTTCTTAAATTAAGAATAAAAAGGCAGCTAGGTAGTCCTTTAAGAGAAGAGGTGCCTTTCTTACCCCCTTAAGGGTTAAAATAAAAAGACTAATAAAAAAAGCAGCTTTTAAATCTACTTATTTCATAAGAAGAGGTATAAGAAGGTAAGCGTATTTTAGCTCTACTACTTTCCTATAGTTTCCTTCCTTATCTAGATTATTTAATTTAGTAGCTTCCTTTTATTCTTTAAAGTTAGCGTTATTCTTAACTACTTTAATATTAGTTTTTTTTTAATTTCCTTATCTAAGACCTCTTTCTAAGACTATTAAAAAGGGGGGATTTAGATCTTTTAAATTAGCTAACGTTAAGAGAGTAAAAAGGGCTATTAATCTATCTTTCTATTAAAGAAGCTAGATTTATTAAAAATTATATTCTTAGTTAAAATTATCGCGAAGTATAGCCTAATTTTATAGTTCTCGAAGATATCCCTTAGTAAGAGGGACTAAGGAAGCTAAAAACACCTAGTATAGAAAAAGGATAAAGGAGCTAAAAAGAAGTATAAAAAGGAGGGTAGGGGTATAAGGGGAAGTAAAAGTAGCGATAGCTTCCTATAAAGGTAGCGAAAGATAAAATAGATATACTAGTAACGGCTAGAAAAAAGGGGAAAAACTAGTAAAAAGCTTAGTAGTTAAAATGATATTAGTAGCTTCTTTAAGTAGGATCTTCTTTATTAATTAAGATACTAAATAGGTATAAAGAGGGGCGTTAGATAAAGGAAAAAAGGATAATTAAAGGCAATATAATAATTACTCCCTTACCTTAATTACTACCCCTATAAGAATTAAATAGCTTAGCCCTACCTATCTATCCCCTTACTTTTAATTTTACCTTTATATATTTTATATATACTTTTTATTTCTCTTTACGTAAGAGTTATAAGCCCGGGAGGAATAGTATTCTTATACCTTCCGGCTACTATAAAAGGCACCTTTCTTATATCCCTTATAGCTTCCTT